CGCTTTTAAGAGCAACACGTGTTCAAATGGAAAGGGGCAGTATATGACGCAACAATCGTTTATCTCGATTAATCGGTTTTCATAATCGTTAGAAGCCAAAATCGAAATTGGATTTCCGATTAACTGCACAGACCTATCCGATTGGTTATTTTTGTATTGATATTTAACAAGACCATACACAGTAGTATATAATAAAGAATAAGAAAAATTAAAGAGTGTCCTAGTTTCTTGTTTTCCCACTATTCTCTCAAAATTTTATTTAATTAATTAAAAACAAACATATCCTGTGAGAAAGAAAAACAAGTGAAATTTTTTTTAGCAAGTTACAAATAGGAGTTAAAAAAAGAAGAAAAAAGATAAAAAGATCTCCCTCTAAGGAGTCAATATTTCCTCTTCCCAGTTATTTACTGTGTATTAGATCAAATCGGAATAAACAAATCTGAAAAAATATTGCCGTCTCGATTTGACCCACCACAAGATCCTTATCTACTACAAGATCTACAACTCAGCCAATTATATTTTCAAGTTCGGAAGAAGGGAGTCGTACAAGTCACATTGATTTATATACGTTGCTCAGCAACATGAACACCTCAATGATGTTAAGTGTTACATACTGTTTTATTTGACTAGATATTTTTTAAAGACACTTCTCTACAGCTTAAAGTCACATTTAAAGGCTTAACTAGGTTATGCATATACTATTATCGCAAAAACAAAAATATTTCAGATACATTGTGTGGCAGCTCTTACATCCAATTATAATCCTGATTATTCTAAGTCCTTTCAACCACAGCTATACATCAGGCTATAAGGGATGAGAGTAAAAATAGCTCATCTGCAACCCTCACAAGTCAATGTTTCCAGCCGAAGGGTTTCACTGTCAAGATGTGACAAGCTTCTCTTTGGTGTTGATCAGCCCACGCGGTGAAGAAGAGACCAACACCTGGCACGAAGCTCAAAGAAGACCTAATAGAGCCTTTGGGTAAAGCCAGCCTCACAATACTGTGCAATTTTTAAGTGACGTTTGTCAGGACTGTTCTAACATAAACCCCCATGTCACACTGTAAGACACATCGAAAACAAAGAGGAGATTCGTCATCGAGATTTAAATCATCAATTGAAATTGAAGTCAACGAATGCCATACCAACAAAATAAATACAAGTATGCAGAGTGTGAATTACAGAAGGGTTTGGGGGGTCTGACCCCTTAATTAACGTTTGATCCCCCCTAAAGGCTCATTTATACTTCTGCATCAAGTGCACACGCATGCTCCGGTGCAGCCTTCGCGCGGTCGCATAGCCCTCGCCGTGGCAGACACTAACGCGCACCTCTCAAAAAATGTAACTACACGTCGCAACGACGCATTGCACAAACTCTGTGATTGGTCAGCTTGGTCCCGGTGACAAGCTGGGCGGTACTGAGAACGGTGAGCCCGATGAAGTGAGTGTTTACAAGTGTCGAGTCTTGTGAAGGAGCTCCAGATGGAAACTTTTGTTTTGTGTATACCTTACTATTAAAGTTGCTGCACATCCACCGGTTCCCGCGAGTTGAGCAAGTTTTAGCTACTTGTAGCACTCAAAAAATAGTTTAATAGTTTAAGAGATAGTTGAGAAATAGTTTGCTCTGATCTGCATCTAAAATAATATTAATAATTAAAATAATGAATAACTTTAAAATACATACGACCACCCCTATAACGGTTCATATCACTGTGAATGCATGCTTGCACCAAAAATATTAATTCATCAGACAGTGCAAGTGTTCACAAAACGTATTTCTTTTAAAAAGACGATTGTAGGTGTCTGTACAACTAGATGCATAGTTTGTATTTCATCACACACTGGTTCGTACATGGAAGTTACACTGTAAAATGAAAAAAATATGTGCAGTCTTTCATAGACAAAGCAAACCTCTCACCGTTAATTTAATATCAAAAATGTCATTGAGAACCACTCAATATCCCTCAAAACACTGAAACTGGATTAATGAATTGGATGTAATTTAATTAAACATACAAATTTAGTTTCACCCTGATTTAATAAATAAATCAGCAAATGAACACAACTAAACATATTAACATATATACTAAAAATAAACTAAGGCTGCACGATTTACTAATACTTCGGTAGCACCGCGATACTATCGCTCCAAAATACTGGTGGTGCCTCTGTAGTTTGTAAACGGTAGTATCATCATTACGGTCCAACAATAGTTAATAGCATGTGGAAAAGTCCCTAAAATGCTCACTCATTCGTGCCAGCAAATAATTAATAGACTACTTTAATTTATCGTAATTGTAACTCTATTGAACGTTTTTCTGATGCTTCAAATACACATCTGAATCAGTTCATTTCTGTTCCTGCGAATATGATTTAGCTACAATGACTGTGACAATCTCTTAAAAAACAACAAAGTGAAATTTGTAATTATGTTGGATTCTTACCATACAATAGAAGAGAAAATTGAAAATAGCTACAAGAAACACTAAGAAAACCATCATTTTTCACTTCATATTTTGTTGAAAAAAATCTCTTCTTGTAACGAATTTTGTTTTGTATAATTTGTATCTAAATTTTTTTGTATTTTTGTTGGTCAGTTATCAACAAAATAAACAAAGAAACATTTTTATTTGAGGCACAATATTTATAAAACATTTACAAAAGATTTATATATAAAACAATATTTGAGATGAAGTGACATGCGTCAAAAACCGCTATACTTGGTATCATGATATTTACTGGTACTATCATGGATTGAATTGATCGTATCTTGACAGCACTAATGTAAATTGTACATGTATTTGCGCACTATTAATAAAATATATTAAATCACATTAAGTAATAAATTCATTTTACATTGATTCCTTCTTTCTTAGTGCTCCTATTAGTTGACTGCAGCTTTCAATTAAGAAAATTACAATTTTATTTTGATTGATTGTTTATTCATTCCTTCATTCATTTTTCTTCGGCTTAGTCCCTGTTGATCAAAGGTGGCCAATCCTGTTCCTGGAGATCTACCTTCCTGCAGATTTCAGTTGCAACCCTTATCAAACACACCTGTCTGTAATTATCAAGTGGATTTCAGGTCCTAATTAATTGGTTCAGGTGGGTTTGATCAGGGTAGGAGCTAAACTGTACAGGAAGGTAGATCTCCAGGAAAAGGATTGGCCATTGATGGAATGAACCGCCAATTTCTCTGGCATATATTGTACGCAGTGCATGCCCTTCCAGTCGCAACCTAGTACTGGAAAACACCCACACAACACTTCGATTGATTGTGCAAGTCTAAAATTTTTTGACATTGCCAGAATTTTATTGGAGGAGAAATTTGATCACAACATCCATTAATCGGCTGTCAGTGAACATGCCAGCCATGCGATCATAGATTAGATTTGAGCCTATAGAATTACAGTAATCTTTTAGGATTTTAAAATTTGGTCACAGATTACCATATCCTTGGCAAAATTCATACAGAGTGAGTCTGGATTAACGGCCTGCGATCATCACTGTTGTTCATCTAACGCCATGGTAAAGATAACGTCCCGAACACTGCAAACCACACACAACTAATGTCATCCAAACCAATGTGCCAGTCACAATAATCCCGATAATACCTGGAATATGAGATTTAGGAAAGATAGATCTGTCTGACACATTATTGCACCTGATGCCACGCCAATAGTATTATGATCAAATACGTGCTTTGTGTTGCTGCCTGAAACAAATGAGTCAGTCAAATCACTCACAAGTGAAATCTGAGAAAGCGGAGGCTTCTCCAGCAGCTTTCCCACCATCAGATGCTTCATAAAGAGACCATAAATGCCAGTCCCTATCAAATAACAGCCGCCAGCTACGGTTAGGACAATATTGTGTCTGACTTCTCCTTCTCAGTTGATAGACAATGCCTTTAAACAACTATAACATAAACTAAATTAAAATCTAACATCCCAATGCTGCCCATACTAGTGTTTAAATAAGAATGTAGAATATTTTTGTCTTAAATAATTCAAAATATGCCTAAGAAGCAATGTAAATTGATCAATTATAGTTAATAAAAACGTTGTAAATAATGTTCATGTTCTTACACAAATTACTATAATTGTGCATCATGAGAGCCTGGCATTTGGTCAGGTATTAATTCTGTTTTGCCTGTATGTTTTTTGACTCTTAAAGTGGTGGTGGGAAAATGTCAATAGCTTCAACCACAATATCCACAACATGAATTTTTCATGAGAAAATGTTCATGACAACATTGTCAATAACGCTGATACGTCTTAAAAGGCTTTTTCAGATACTTTAAGTGACAGTAAACAAATTTGTCACTTTGCTAAGGCTTTTATACAAGCACAGCCTCAAAGTAATTCATGCATTTCAGCAACACTCTGTCCAGAATGGGCAGTCGTGCTGGTGCAACACATATTGGGGAATAAACCTACAACCACAACCGCTCATATACTCTGAGAAGCTAAAGACTAGAAGGTGAACACTTGCAAAACCCTAATATACACAATGTTTCTACTCTGGATGGGGAATCAAACAAGATCAAACTCTCTCCTCTGATACTTCAATTTGATATTCTGATACTTCTTACAGCCCTAAAACCTTAATTTCTCATAGTGGTCGACAGCCTCAGTTCTCATCTGTCAAATTATTTTTTTTTTAAATGGTTTGTTTAACTCAGTGTTAACAGCGTTGGTTTGGTAGGCACCAGGCCATTACAACTATTGTTATTCACGAGAAATTGTTGGTTGAACTGTGCTCTTTTATTGAACACACTTCATCACACTACCTAGACAACATGTTTAGAACGCAAAGAAGTGTTTGAACGCATCCATGATAGGTCTAGATAGCACAAGATTTCGCAACAGCCCAAGAGTCATGGAGCATTTCCGCTGATCCTGGCGGATTCATCTCATTATCTCTGCAGGCAGCACATTTCACCATGATATCAATGTTGACAGTTAATAAAAAACCAAACACGCATCTGAATGGGCTCATACCTGAGTGTAGGGTGAAAACATTGATCCCCGGGTCCGGCATGATGTTCACTGCAGCAGCGGCACTTCTGCCTGGTGGAGTCCCGGTGAGGGTGAGAGTGCTGCTGCCGCCGCCGCCGCCGTCTCTGGGTCTCCTCCCGGAGCTGCTGGCCCGGTTCGACCTGCCCTGCTGCTGTTGCGACTGCGGTTGGGTCTGGATCCCCGAGGAAGCCCCTTCTCCCACGCGGCCTACCTGTTGTCCCATCCTACGAGTGTTCTGGGTGGGAAAATAACACAGATCCGTGGAAAGACCCGCCGTCCGTTTGGACCGTTCACATCCCACAACGGACGAACGGCAGGACTACGGCCTGTTCTGCTCGGGATGATAGTCTTGCCGTTTTCGGTCACTCTCCTCCCCTCTTCCACCTCCTCCACCGGACCGGACCGAGCTCCGTTAGCTTAGCTTAGCTATCTCTGTGTGTGTATGAGGGAGAGAGCGAGAGAACCCACCCACCACCTAACAGCGAACAACCACAATCTAATCGTTCAGTTCTGCTAAACGGCACCCGGTATGCGGCTCTGTTCAACGGGAATGTACGATCCTCCTGCGCTCCAGTGGTGTTTCTCTCAAAGCAGACCCGTTTGGGGTCGTTCCGTTCTGCTCCAGCCGCTGCGAGCCCCCTCCGCGGCCGCCATCTTTACCGCAGGATCAGTGGCGTGCGCTGCACGAGCCAATGACGGAGAGCGCGCGCACACCATCATCACCGTGATGCAAAACATCGCTCTTTTTAATACATTAATAATAACATAAGCACAACTAAGAGAAAATGTACATTCATAAAGTACAGCAAATAAAATCTTGCGGATGATAACCAACGTAGCCTACAATTAGCCCAAAACAGATAAAAAGTTGTGTCTGCTAAGAACGCTTAAGTTACATAGGCCTAACAATGTCATTTTTAACGAATATATTAGATGTCATAAAAACTGTGCTAATGTGAATACTCATTCATTCATTCATTTTCTAGCCGGCTTAGTCCCTTTATTAATCTGGGGTCGCCACAGCGGAATGAACCGCCAACTTATCCAGCGTGTTTTTACGAAGCGGATGCCCTTCCAGCCGCAACCCATCTCTGGGACACTAAAGTGAATAAAAATATGTTATATAAATATTAAGAAGCAAAACGAAGAGTTTTGTTCATAATATACAGTGAAAAGCAAGCTCAAATAGGAGCTTCACTGCTAGACCCTCTTATGCACCGAGCTTTTAATTTTACTGTTTGATTTTCATTCATTCATTCATTTTCCTTCGGCCTAGTACCTTTATTCATTAGGGGTCACCACAACAGAATGAACCGCCAACGTATCCAGCATTTGTTTTACATAGCGGATGCCCTTCCGGCTGCAACCCATCACTGGGAAACATCGTTAAACAGTCATTCACACACATACGGCCAATTTAGTTCACTTCACCTGTACCGCATATACTTGGACAGGGGGAAACCGGAGCACCCGGAGAAACCCATGCGAACACAGGGAGAATATGCAAACTCCATTCAGAAATACCAACTGACCCAGCCAGGACTCAAACCAGCGACCTTCTTGCTGTGAGGGGACAGTGCTAATCAGCCACCGTGTCCCCCTTTAATATACTTTAAAAAAAAAAGAGTAGTACATTTTTGAGCAATATATTTAATTTGTCTTACTTCAGAAAATCAGTTGCTGTTTTTTATAATAATAAAAATAATAATAATTAGGTCTACTAGTAATTTATCAGTACAAAAAAAAAAGTAAATTCAACCTCAGCTTTATTTTTCAGTGTTTTGTCTCATTGTGTTTGCAATACCGGTTTACTTACAGCATCTTTTATCCTCATGTTTTCTTCTGTCAGTCTATAAATCTTTTCATGAGATATATGTATATGTAATACATAATGATAAAAATTAAAAAGCAAAAAAAAAAAAGTGTGCATACATTTGTGTATAACAATAATAGCTACTATAACAAACCTTTTGCAACCTTTCTGACACATTTACACATTTTTAATAGCACAGAAATGTAAACAGAAAAGACTTTCACTGTTGATTTAAGTAACAGGATACATTATAAACAAGCTATCTGATAAAAAAAAAAACAAGATATAATTCCAACAAGGAAACCACACTGATGTCAGTAAAACTGTTTATTTATACATTAGTGAACATTTCACTAGATCATTTATGACAAAAATATTTAAAAATACTTAATGAGTTTTCATTATTCCAAAATATTGAACATTTTTCCTGATGACAATCATCAACTATTCTGGAAATCACAACAAAGACTTTACATGACAGAAACCATGAGGAAAACCTGTATCCAGTAGAACTAACATTCAACTCTCCATCACCACCTGCTGGTCGTCATAGTTATTGCATGTACACTTCACAATGTATAATACAGCCCAAGAAATGTTGTGGAAATCCTAGGAAAACCTGCAGTGTACATAATAAATGAATAATGGGACAGTGCTTAAAATCTGTTGATAGTAATTATAATATGGCATGAGTGCAGCCAGCTGCAATGCATCAATCCTCACAAATATATGAAACCTTAATTTGTAATAAATACGATTTAAATTATGTCTTTTAAATTAGTATCCAATTAGTATAAGTCTAATATCCAAAACTCTGTCCACACCAAGGAGAATTATAATGATAACAATAAATATGTAATTCTAGAAGTCAGTTTAGGTACAAAAGAATAATCAACACCACAACTATAACAATACGAGCACAGAGAAACAATATTTCTGACGTTAACATTGACAATCAGTCAGAATACTTTGTTTTACAGAATGCAACGTTTTAAAATGGCAGATGGCAGTGTTGACATTAGTTATCATTATAGTTATCATCCTTGGTTTAAATCGGCTACTAATTTAAAGACCTGGTCACAACAAAAGAATATAAAATAGTCCACATCATAAACATATTGATAACAACACAGAAGAACGATATCACTGAAATCAATTTCAGAACCATGTTTTTAGCTGATTAAAGACAAAAACATTGGCATCCAATCAGAAGCCAACTTGCTTTAAAAAGCATGGATGAGTCAAGCATTAAAACTGCAGTGGAAACTTACAATAAACACAATGTTGTTAGTTGGTTTCCATCCTAACGTGAAGAGAATCTTTCCCAAAGAAAATGTGAATTAGGTGAATTTCCATTAAGTTGTTAGAGTGGTTGACTGTAGTATTGGTAACCTTGTAACCAACAATAAACAAGACAAGCATAATGGACAGTGTTGCCAGATATTTTTTTTTTCCAGCTGCTTTTTTCCAGCCCTAAAGCTGTCTAAAACCCGCCCAAACTCACAAAAAAATTGATCAATATTTTATAAAAGTGAATTCGAAATTAACCTAGTTACTTTAATTGTCATAATTTTTAACCAACACCAGCAGTCACAGAACCACAACATAACCGGGTCACATCGAAACTCTGCCTCCTCTCATTGCACTTAATCTTATGTAGATTACACTACCTATTAGAGCAGGGGTGTCCAAACTCAGTCCTGGAGGGCCAGTGTCCTGTATAGTTTAGTTCCCACTTCCTTCAACACACCTGCCTGGAAGTTTCTAGTACACCTAGAAAGAGCTTGATTAGCCGGTGTGTTTAGTTGGAACTAACTCAGCAGGATACCGGCCCTCCAGGATGGAGTTTGGACACCCCTGTAGTAGAGTATGTTTTACTTTCGAAAAGGGGTATGAAATGCATTTGACATTTAAAAATCTTTTGAACACAATTAGATGCTGTTTGTCAAACAGACAACACTTCTATGTTTGTTCTTGCTGTCAATTGCGGAATAAAATGATCAATAAAAGTGTCATGGTAAACTGATGTGAGTTTAATGTGATGCGCGCATGCGAAGGGGAGTCAGATTTGTCTGGAGAATCAGATTTTGATAACTTTCCTTCACCTCGATCCTCTTGAAGGTGGGCCCACATGGTTTGTGCTATGCACTTGTCCCTACTAACTGAATGGATTTAGAGCACACACTTATGTTTTGTTAAATAAGTTGTATATAAAATTTACTTTTCAAAACCGCCCACATTTTCTGGAAACCAGCCCATCTGCCTACACTGATAACAGGGACAGTCGATTTGCCATGTGAGTTTTTTGTAAAATGCGTTTCCATCTTCCATTATTCAAATGAACCCAATATCCAAAGTCCAAAATCATCTCAAGCGAGTGTAAAAACTAGTTTCATTCATCATTTGGCATCACTCGTTTCCCATGCGATACTTCAAAATGTGCATTAACATGTGATGATGGAAACCCAGCTATTATGAGTTGATAATATAGTCCTATTTTCACTCCTGGTGTGAACCAGACTCTTCAAACAGTAACCAAAGAGAACAAATGAGCAGAATGGAGAACTTCCTCCAAATTAAAGCTCTAGAATTAAATGAGTTTTTATGTTTCACAAGGGTGACACGATGGCTCAGTGGTTAGCACTGTTGCCTCACAGCAAGAAGGTTGTTGGTTCGAGTCCAGGCTGGGTCAGTTGACATTTCTGTGTGGAGTTTGCATGTTCTCCCCGTGTTCGCATGGGTTTCCTCTGGGTGCTCTGGTTTCCCCCACAGTTCAAAGACATGCGCTATAGGTGAATTGAATAACCTAAATTGTACTTAGTGTATGTGTGACTGAGTGTGTATGGATGTTTCCCAGTGTAGTCATGTCAAAGTCATGAGTTAAAGCATGTCAAAGCAGTCAGTAAATCAGCATACTATCATCTCAAAGACATTGCAAGAATCAGATGCTTTGTTCCCAGTGAGGACTTAGAGAAACTTGATCATGCTTTTATCAGCACCAGGGTGGATTACTGTAATGGACTCCTCACAGGCCTTCCCAAAAAGACATTCAGACAGTTGCAGCTCATCCAGAACGCTGCTGCCAGGATTCTGACCAAAACCAGGAAATCACAGCAGATCACACCTGTCCTCAGGTCTTTACACGGGCTCCCAGTTACATTCAGAATAGATTTTAAAGTATTATTAGTTGTCTATAAATTACTAAATGGCCTAGGACCTCAATACATTACAGATATGCTCGCTCAGATTTTAGGATCAAATAAATTATAAGCTCCAAGAGTTCAGTCAAAGCAGGGTGAATGGGCTTTCAGCTAATACGCCCTCCGCTGCTGGAATCAGCTTCCAGAAACCAGAAACCCCAGTTGAATAAAGGGACTATGCCGAAAAAAAAATGAATGAAGGAATGTTTCACAGCAGTATGGCACATCGTTTCCTTTGGGGTTTTAGATTTCAAAACCCCATTTGTAAACATTTTAGATTTTTTTTGTGGTCCAGGCAGAAAAAAACAGCCAAAATATACCACATATTCACTCTTTAAGTCCATGGAATAACACAACAGTATCAAATACTAAAAATCTAAATAAAACGGCAGTAAACTAAATCTGATCTCAACTTCATGACATCACAAAGGCGTCTAAAAATAGAATCTCTTTAAGCCAGATCAGATTGAACCTAAAATAGATTGTCAAATGCTAACTAGACTAAACTATTGAAACATTATAGACGTTCCACATTCTGTTACGGCTGTCATAATAAATAATATCTCAACAAATAACATATCTAAGGCCCCATCATAAAACATTGTCTTCGTGATTTTCATTTTTCACTCATAGTGCAATACCTAAAGAATGTTCTTCTGTGTTAATCCCATTCAGTGAGAGTCAAAAGCAGCGTTAGTCTGTGGATAACAAGTCCAGGATCGAGGCTTCAGCAGGTCAATCAAGGAAGGCTGAGGAAACAAAAATACACTCAAACACATGAATAAACCAACAATGATCTGCATTAAACACATCAGGCTCCACTAGTTTTTGTTTACCTCCTCAATGGGACAGTAGCGTTGTGCGTACCACTCTTGAGAATACAGGCAGATCATTACCCCCTGTCCCAAGAACAGAGACGTCCACATAATCACGTTCCAGATCGGTCCTTTCCTCCGGTCATGAAGGACGAAGTTAAACACCACTGTGAGAAATAGGACATGTTTAGCTTCTGTCGTGTTAATCAGTCATGAAAACAGCATTTTTAAGTGGTTATCTGGCATCCCAGCCTGGCCAAGCAGGTTAGATTGGTCTGTTTGAGTGTTATTTGGTTGACCAGTTGCTGACCAGCTAAACACATGTTTGGTCTGCTGTAAAACCAGCTTAAGACTAGCTGTTTGTTTGTTTGTTTTAGCAGGGGTGTTTGACATGCTCTTGTGGTTAATGAGTTTTTTACTTTTGAATAACATGCAGAGGCACAGGTATAGAGGGCACATTTTACAACAATTGTGACTCTTCTTAGCGTGTAATCTTTATTACAATACTTATATAAGCATCTTATCAGTTAAAGTAGGGGTAAATACTGTAGATATGATTTTTTAAACTCAAACAATATGGATTTTAAAAAAATAATAATTTAATTCCGATACCGATATAATACTGTTACTGAATTGCATTTAGTACAACCCAGGTTCATTCTGAAAACGTACCGCTATATACATTTCTGGAGAGCACCAAATACATCCCAGAAGCTACATTTTTTTTTCAGTTTTTGCTTTTGTGAATCCATCAGAGGCCGCTGAGTACGCTTTTTCAGATCTCAAATTTCTCTCACGAGTGCCATTTGCGCCTGCTGTTCTCAGGTAAATCCACCAGAGGCGGCTATCGACTGACTGACTGATCAATCAACTGACCCACCCTTCTCCTTCCCTAAACCCAACCAATAGTGTTTTCAATAGCACCGATTGATTTGCCCACCAACTTCCCTGAACCTAACCGACAGCTTTAAAAAGCAATTCAGACAAAGAAAAGATTTTACACATTTTCACCCTGTTATTTACTTATAATTCATTTATTTGTTTGGCTTTTGTTTTCATCTTTCTTGCTTTCTGGAACCGTTCTTTGCTGAACTCAAACCCCGTTGTTGTGGCCAACTCCTCTCTGTGTCTCAAGTCTGCCGACGTACATGGCAAGCTAACTGGACAAACTGTTAAAGCCGTCCATACGGAGGTAAGCGTTCAGTTGGTAAGCATGAAAAGGAACAGCATCATACCGCCCGCATCATTCATTTTAAAGACGAAAAGCTGCCATACATACGTCTGGCTACATAATTTGCAATCGTCAAAAAATGTATATAGGGCTATGTTTTCAGAATGAGCCTATGTTGCTGAAGTACTATACAGCAGTGTTTCCCAACACATCACATCATCACTACATATTTTGGATGTCTCCCTAATCTGACCTAACTTCAGGATTTGGAGTCTCTTCTAATGTTCTGATGATGTGATTCAGGTGTGTTTGATTAGGAAGAGGTTGAAAATGTGTACTGTTGTAGTGGTGTGCCTTCAGACACAGGGTTGGGAAACAGTGCTATACAGTACTAGCTACAGTTTTATTCCATTGATTTAGCTTTACTGAACATTGATTGGATCCATTGAACATTCAACGTTTCAACATTTTACGAGAGGGACAAACTAGGATAAAAATAATTACTATATGAAAATTTCAAAGTCATATAGTACCCTCATTGGCAGATTATTTTGCTTGTTAAAAAAAAAATCACTTCATTTTGTCATTTTATTTGCTTCTTGATTTAAGTATTTGAAGATATTTGGACTAGACAGGTGCATTTCTAGATGATATTATCATGTAATTATTAAACTATGGTGTTCTTGTATAATTGCTGATATGCAGCTTTATATCAATCCAAATACCAACCAATAAATATTGGCAGCTGATACATTGGTGCATCCCTAGTAAAATTAATGTTAAGTAATGTACTTTAATTAAATGGATGGTTCATACAAACAATTACTGACCAGCCACATGTTACAAATGTGTTTCGTATTTATCCATTGAAGGTATTTTAAGAATGTTGATAACCAATAGCAAAAGTCCTCAATATATTTTTCTCTCTATTTTCTAACCACATGAGGGTGAATAGCAAAGTAAATTGCAACAAATGTTAATTTTTGGATTAAATATCTGTTCAGATATGTTTGGCCTGTTGACAATTCTACCTGTGATGACATGTCTTTGTAGTAAATGGGTTTCTTACTTCCAAAGCACATGAAGAGGCAGAACATGACGGGGTAGAAGAAGCCGAAGCAGATGGCCAGAACATACTCGTGTACTACAGCAGACACGGTAAACACAACCAGCATGGCCACCGCACGAAACCGCTTCTGTGTCATCTGTACAAGTGAAAGAGTGAACTTGGTTTAGACTTGGTTATGCATGTTTGGACAAAATTCTGCACAGATTTCTACATCCATTAAAGAAAATGTCAAATTTATATGAATTATTTGCTTTCTCACTGCCAATGTGCAAACAGCTAATGATAAAAGAGGTTGTCAACAAAAGCCTGTAGAGTGAAGGACTTGGGATGTTTTGAGAGTGAAAAAAATCAAAAGATGTGACATTAATGCATTAATGAAACCTCTTTTGTCTCCCATTAAATAAATAATACAATCTTCAGGATAATGTGCAAGAGCTAAGAGCAAATAATGATTTAAATTTGTTTTATTTTGTACGTTACATGCGCAGTAGTGCGGAATAAGTTGCTGGCTGCAGTGCACAAATTGCCAATAGTATCACTAAAGATGTAAAGATGAACTGCAAGGCATTTCAAATCAATTAAAATGTCTTTTGTTACGACTGAAGTTAATTTATTTGTCTATTATTGCGGTTTGTACTCTTTTTCTTTTGTCCCGCCTCCTTGCTGTTTTTCTGTTGTCTTATAGGCTCCCACGCCGGCGTGATTCCCTGCTCTGATTGGCTGCTGGTCTACGAGGCCTGTATAAAAGGGAGCTTCCGGCAGGAATCGGAGAGCTCATTTCTGCTGCGTTCGGTGTTTGGAGTGGAGCTCCTGGGTTTCCCTCACCCCTTCGGCCGACTACCAACACTAATCAACTTTGTATTGATGACCATCTTATGCTTGAATATTTATTGAGAGTTTGAGCGTGTAGGGGTGACCTGCCTATTTATTTGATTACTTTTGACTTGTTTATGTTAGGGAGTAAGGTAAGATTCTTGTATTTTTATTTATATAGTAATAGGTAATTTAGTGGATTTATTTTATAGATTCTTTTGTTTGTTATTTTGGCCTGTGGTCACCCTGACGAAATGCTCATTTATATAAACCCTATTTTTCTATAATAAATATCTTCATATATACTCTCAATTGAGTGTGTGAGTTTGGTTGTCGACCGAAGGGAATCTTTTGCTTTAGGTTTTGTTTAGTTTGGGAAATCCACCACGCCAACACATTTGTTTGTTCTTCGTTTATTATGCCCTTTTTGTTTCCCCTAGACTTGGGGTGTAATACTTTAGAAAAGTTAAAATGGTATTTTTTTGTTTCTTTTACCTCTGAATGATACATATTAACTACTCCACCAAGAAAAAAACATTTGGATTGCATTTCTTAACTCCTTTATGTCGCAAGTTAACACACTCAATGCATTTTTTTCAACACATCCCATAATTTCTAAAATATCAGCCTCTACCAATTGGTTAATATGTCATTTTATGGTAAAAGGACCAGAATTAATACATAAACTATGAAAAATCTGAAAGTCACATGTTAGACCAACTTATTTTTACAAAATATCCAAAATAAAACATTATTGAACACTAAATTATCTTTATTTTTTGAAGTATGCCATATAACATTTAAGATTCTCATTTAAAATTTTCTTGTTGTTTTTTTAACAATAAAACCAAAATCAAGTGCAGTCGAGCAACAGGATTATGTTTGTTTGATTCCTTTGTAAACCAACAATGCTGTGTGTGTAAATCGTTTTTTAAAATAGTCATTCTTTAAATGACTTTAACAGTCATTATTTAAAACAGTCATAACATGGTCAACCATTTAATAGAGCGGGCAGTCAAAGGGTTAAAGTTGTCACAAGTAATCCAGGAGGCACTATATGGGCTCATTCACACTGAATGCGTCTCTGCTTCTTAAAACGCAAGACGCAATGATTGGGAATGGTTTGAAAAAAGCCACAGAGCACCTGAAAACAGACACCTGCAACAGTTTCCCTGCCACCAAGCTCTTCTGATTGGTCAACTGCTATGGAATTGACATTGATGAGCTGCATTCATTAATTTTACTTCGGCTTAAAATCTTATTTAACAAGGGTCGCCACAGCAGAATAAACCGCCTGAGCTGCATTGAGTGTGAAAGGTGTGTTAACCCTTTGATGCACTACATGGGTTTAATGTGACCCGTCTAAGTTTATTTTTTCTATATCTATTTTATAGCTTGTGCATCAAAGGGTTACAGTTCTTTCAACTTGACTGAGCGTCTAAAAATCGTGGCGCTGAGACATGAGGCATGACCGTATTGGTCATACACATCCGTCAAATGCGTGTTTAAATTGACAAATAATCCAAAAGTATCACACTGGAAAGGAAAACCACATTTCGTGTGAACGGCCCCTAACACTGCTGCTCATAATCGCCACCTGCTGGCAGATCTGCGTCTCTTTCAGCTTCAGTTTTCTACAGATACAGTATGTTTTATGACAATAGTTTCACAAACTTAAGTCAGGACATTCTGCTTTTGCTTAAATTTTTTCTTATTACACGCTGTAATTTAGATTAAAAACGGCTCAAGCTGCATGTAAGCTGCACTACTGTTTGGATCATGATTAAAAATCATTTTAAATGGATAAAGCACAAGAAAAGCCTAACTTTGTTTAGATGAAGAAATTTCATTTATTTGTGTAACTTATTTGATTTTTCGTTGGTTTTAAATTTCTTTTTGAATTAAAAATTAAAAAATTGTTTTTACAATTGTACAAGTCATGTGCAGCAATGACCAATTAAAAGGACGTCTTTTTATTTACAGTATATCTTCAGTCTCAGTTTATTAAAAAAAAAAAAAAAAACAGTTGTGTGAAAATCGAATCATGAAATCAAAATCAAGGATTGGTTGAATCATTACATCCCTAGAGAGCACTAATAACAAATGTTTCAAAATTTGACATATGGTCGCTTTAAAAATAATAATATATAAAAAATATAATAAAAATACATAGCTTTATAACTAGAATCACTACTATAACTATATATGCTATAACTAGAATTATGAATGCTTAGCTGATAACTCACCCACAGGAAGTCCCTGTAGACATAGTAATAAAGCCAGTCATGAACTACAACATTCCATGTGCGATAATAGTTTGCATATGAAGTGGAGTTCCACCAGTCCTGGCGTAAAACACATTGATAGAAAAATGCATTGCATTATGAGGACTTCATTTGATATTTCGTCTTTTTAGAATTCATCTTTATTTTTTTTATAAAATCATATGATATAAGCTTAAATATTAGTGATGTTTATTACCTTATAAAACATTCGGTCTCCAAATCGTAGCATTTCAGCAAATGCATTAAGCCAGCAATGCAGAAAAGCAAAGAATGCCAGGAAAAGCACAAGCACTCCTATACAAAGGAAAACAAGAAAACCATCAAACAAACTACATCCATTTATACAGTTTTAATACATTTGTGACCCTTTTCAGCTTGAAATTCCTATCTAAGCATCTTATCAGTAAAATGGAAAGTGAATACACTGCAAAAAGGTAAATGACTTGTAAAGTTAAACTGGTTCAACTAAACAATTTAAATGAGCAACATACAGTATTTCTTTGTTTAAAACCCTTTTCAAACTGTATCGTTTAGACCTGGATCATTATTTTATATTAAATGTACTGTAGTTTATTGAGGATGTCTGATGACTAGCGCGCTTCTGCTGAGCCAGCTGTGGTAGCTTAGCAACCGAGTCGCGGCGTCAACACACAGAATCTGTCAGCACAGTTCAGCACGGTTGTCTAACCGTGCCGAGAATTCCGGGCCGAGAACGGTTTGTAATCGTGGCGCGCCGTTCCAGGCTCAGTGGAGAAACAACCGTAACTGTACCGAAGTGTTCTTAGAACGGTTTGGCACGATAGTGGAAAAGCAGCTTTATAGTGTGTTCAGTTATAAGTTATAAAGAGATCCTACTTCCAAAAAAAAAGTGGTGTGTTCTTTTCATTTTCGCTTTTCTCACTTATTTTTTGTTTTGTTTCTAGTCCAAACATCTAAAAAAAAATCTTAAATCTAGAAGCATATTCTAGACATGCAAAACACATTGTCTTGTTATAAGAACTAATGTATCAAAATTAAGTAAGTTTTTCTTTAAAACAAGTCAAATAATCTTATGTCAAAAAAATTAGCCTCCCCATTGGCCGATTATTTAGTTTGTTTTAATCAAAAACTCACTTAATTTTAGCCTATTATTTTTTAAAACAAGACTATATTTTTTGCTTGTCTAGAAAATACTGCTTGACTTATTAAGTAAATACTTATTAAGTATTTATATGTGATCTAGAAACGCACAATTCAATTAACAATTCAATTAAAAGAGAATATTTACTTGTTTCAAACCTTTTTGAGTTTCTTCCTTGTGTTGAACAAACAAAGTAGATATTTTAAAGAATGTTAGTGTTATGTATGTGCCTGTGTTGTTTTGTTAGTGCCCGCTCCTCTATCTCTCTCTATCGATCTGTCAATTTTGTTAGGATTGCTCACTCCAGTTTCCCATTCATTCCTGAAGACGTCAATCATTATTACTCCCTGTGACGTCACCACCTTCACTGCCAATCAGGAAGGAAGCTCAAAGTTTAAAGGGACGTGAACTCTCAGATTAACTCTCTTGCTTTAGTCTTGATTGCCTTTTTGCTGTGTGTGTGTTTTGGCTTGTGTATGAGATATTTTGACTTTAGAGATTGATTTTGTTCTTGTTTCAGTTTTGGTACTCTGTTACGGTTTTGTATATACTCTTTCATGATGCCCGATCATTAGTTTCTGAATTCCCCTGGGAATTGAGTTTAGATGTCATGTGACATTCAAAATGTTTTGTTTGTTTATTTTCTATTAGGTAGTTTGGAGGATCATTTTCAGCCAGTTTGGGTTTTATTTTCTTTTATTTGGCGCTACTTAAAATCCTCTTTCCCTTAATCACACACATTAATTGTTTTATTTTTCTTTTGTGATATACTTCAACTTGTACATATTATTTTGCCGATTGACTTATGATACCTCTTTAACCCCTACAGCTAAACTTTAAAGTTGTAACAGTTAGACCTTCATAGTATTTGTTTTTACTATCGATATAAATGACTTCAAAGTATCTTCTTTTGAGTTCAACAGAAAACAGAAACTGATAAAAGTTTGGTTTAATTAAAGATAAGTAATTTTTAGAGGAGGCGCCGCAGTGGCGCAGTAGGTAGTGCTGTCACCTCACAGCAAAAAGGTCGCTGGTTCGAGCCTTGGCTCAGTTTCTGTAAGAAGTTGCATGTTCTCCCAGCGTTCGCGTGGGTTTCCTCCGTGTGCTTCGGTTTCCCCCCCAGTCCAAAGACATGCGGTACAGGTGAATTGGGTAGGCTAAATTGTCCGTAGTGTATGGGTGTGTGAATGAGTGTGTGTGGATGTTTTCCAGAAATGGGTTGTGGCTGGAAGTGCATCCGCTGCGTAAAATAGCCCTGGATAAGTTGGCGGTTCATTCCGCTGTGGCGACCCCAGATTAATAAAGGCCGAAAAGTTTAATAAAGCTAACAAGAAAATGAATGAATAAATGAATGAATGAGTTTTTAGATGAGCTATTCGTTTAGATATGGTGGCTCAGTTGACAGTCTACCTGGCAGTATGGAGTTGAAGACGCACAGCACCATGGCCCTCGGGTCGAAGAGCTGCATGCTGATATTGCGAAACTGAGGGATACACAGCCGCACAAATATGTAATATGCATAAAATAAACTGCCCAGCACCTGGAACGACACAGCAAAAAAAAAAAAAACTGTTCAATGTTTCAGTGTTACAATACAGTGCAAATCTCAAAATAAATGTTAATGGCATAAATAGAAATGGCAGCATAAACATGCTGTTTTTCAAAGAAGCCCACCTGAGAAAACTTTGTAGCCACGTAACCCCACCGAATACAGGGATTTCTACAAAAACAACAGTGACAAAAGTGTCTGAGTAAATAAAAATTAATAACTCAACCAACTTTCTAATATAGCATCCCTACTTTTATGAATTGTCACTTAGATAACAGATTTATTGACTACATTAACTTTTACTACACTGATAGCATTTTAGAAGGTGTCTTTTTTAAACTATTGTAAAATATGTATGATTGTCATTACATTCAGCTTACAATTAAATAGTGATTGAATGAATTAATGAATTAATTACATTTTTTATTCATTTAAATTCATTTAAATAAATAAAAAAATACAAACAAAGTAAATGAAGATGTATTTTTATTGTTAAACATTTTATATACAAAATAAAAAATTTAAACACAAATATATTTTCTTAAAAACCAACAGACCGTCAGTCTTACCGTGGATAATTGTCCTTGTATATTAGTGTGGGTGCAAAAAGAAAGTAGATGTACTGGGTGAACTGAGGAACAGCTACTAAATCTGGAAAAAAAAGAAAAAGCTAGATTAAAACAAGATGTTGTTATTAGGTTTTTTGTGTTTGTGTGTGACCTGCATTTAAGTGATGCTCTTACTTGATTTATTTCGATCTAAGGATCGGACTCTTGGCACATTTTCCCTGATGAAAGAGTGAGACTTCATCATCAGTCGCACCTATTCACACCAAAAAAAAAAAGACATTCAGCTGGAAATTCATAATTAAACAAATATTTCAAATAGAGAAATGTAAATACAGTTTAAGTCAGAATTATTAGCTGTATTTTATTTTTTCCAATTTCTGATCATAAGAAAGATTTCGTTAACACAAATCTAAACATAAAAGATTTAATAACTTATTTCTAATAACTGATTTCCTTTATCTTTGCCATGATGACATGATGATAATTAGGTTAAGTTAGGGTAATTAGGCAAATCATTGTTGTCATAATTACCAGTGATCTAGCCTGGGCCGATAGCTGCAGAACTACAATCTATCACAGAACTGGACTACAAATCCTGTCAAACAACCCACACACACCTGTTCCAGAATCTCCAATGATTACACACACAGCTGTGAGATTATCAAGGACTCATTACAGACTATTAATACACCACACTTGCGCGCACACACACAAGGCTGAGTCTTGTTTTTTTACCCTATAAAGTATTCCCTTCCTTTCCCTTGCTGTGAAATGTTTCCTGACCCTCACTTTGTTTACTGTTTCTTGTTGTTAGCTGCCTGGACTGATCCCTTTTGCCTGTGTAAATACAACTTTTTTGGATTGCTCTTTATGTCCCTTGTTTGCTCCCATGATCGACCTTCGCCTACCTGACCATACTCTGTTTAATAAATACTGCACGTGGATCCTCAACTCTATTGTCCAATGTCTGACCATTACAATTGTATAGTGATGGTTTGCTCTGTAGACAATTGAAAAATATATTGCAAAAGAGGGCTAATAATATTGACCTTAAAATAGTTAAAAAATATATATAAAACAGCTTTTATTTAAGCTGAAATAAAACAAATAAGACTTTCTCCAGAAGAAAAAATATTATAGTAAAAGCTGTGAAAAATTCCTTGCTCTGCTCAACATGATTTGAGAAATAAAAATTCACAGGGGGGCTAATCATTTTGAATTCAACTGTCAATTAGATTACTTAAGAACCAATTGAACACACAATAAACACATGAATGAAAAAAACAGAGCAGCAGAGTGATACTAAAAACATTTAGCTACTTTTACCTGTTCTAGAATCAGTATGAAGCATGAAGCAGGGGGAAGGCCGTTCTTCAGCACCACATATGTGGGAAGGAAACCCAAACCCAGCCCCTGGTAGATGAGCAGGATAGAACCAGCCAGCACTGTCCATAACAACCGATGCTGTGAAGAGGAGTAAATACCGGCCCAGACAACCAGCAGAACATATGGAACGACAAGTGTGGACAGGAACATACACATCCACGTCACAACCACTAGAGGGAACTGGCCAAACGCATACACCAACAGGTCAAACTCCAGCACCAGTCTACAGAGAGCAAGACAAATCACAAAAACATCACAAATGAACATCTCAATATTATTGCTTACTATTTAAATTTAAAACGATCGCTGGTTATCGTAACAAACAGCTTAACAAAAAAATACCATGCAAGTCAGTAGTTTCCGGTTTCCAACATTTTTCAAAATATCTTCTTTTGTGATCAACAGAAGAAAAAAAAAACTTAAACAGATTTGTGACAAATGAAGGGTGAGCAAATGATGACAGAATTTTTATTTTTGGGTAAACTATTCCTTTAATAATGTATTAGAAAATATTTAAAATACCAATTGTTTGATCAGTTATAGAATTGAATAGTTCAAGAGCTCTTTTTATTCATAAAGGAGACCTTGCTTACGCTGAAAACAAAATATATCTCTTTATATCTCTTAGCAAGGTCAAACTTTAAACATAAAATAAGGCTGCTGTCTCAAAAAAGGTGTTAATGAATATCCCCAACCTGCCCTCATCGATGAAGTCCACGACGAGCGTGCTGAAGATGAACAGAATGAGCAGAGCGATGAACATGTGATAGATAGTGCGGATGTGGTTCACCTCAAACAGATCACTGCAGAAAAAAATTGGTTGATATGATAATCACTATTAATTCACACACATCCACATTCAGAATGATCATGTGTTTCTCTGGTAACCTCAAGGACCAAACTGTGTTCCTGAATAACCACATAACTTGTGCATTAACAAAGCAGTTGATTTAGGTCGGCAAATCAAATGAAAGCCACATCTCATCATCTACATCTCACCACAGACGGAAACCAATCAGAGATTTCACGCACATCAATACAGGTTTGTGTATAAAGTCTCAGAAAAGGCACTCGTGACTTACTCTAACAGTGAACGGCGAATCACAAACTGCTTGCTCTGGCCTTGGGAAGGTTGTGCATTCCTACAGGAAAAGATAGGATGATTAAAAAACATGTGTATAAGTTTAAGCACTGAAGCGTAGGGCTGCACAATATTGGAAAAACCTGATATTGCTGTATTTTTTTCTATAATATACAGTTACAAAAAATGATTAGATCTCCTCTGAAATTTGTATTCTTTTTAAAATATTTCCCAAGTGCTGTTCGATACTGATCGATACCAATGACTGAGTTTGTTTAGATTTTAGTAAGTATAACTTTAACTATTTATTCAGTTTGTGGTCTTATTTTATCTGTAACACTATAAGCTTTGACATCGACTTGCCTTTTACTACAAATACGCCATTTTCACATGTAAGTCCAATGGTAAAGCGATGTAAACAATAGGTCTCCAGCAGAAAAGGTGACAAACAAATGAATAACCATCCATAATTCAACACTATTATGTCGGTGGACTAAATGTGCTTGATGGGATGTTTTTCTGTGGACTCTTACCTTTCAAATAAACCGTGATGTACAGCAATAAATGTGTGTGTGTGTTGTAATTCGAGGATATTCACTCCATATCTAATAAACGTTTTCTGTAAAACTTACACTAATTTAGCAAATACATTCTTTATAAGCTTCCCATTGTAAAACAACTAGCTGCAATGGGTGCTTGAGAGTTGTAGCTTTAGATTAATGTATAGTTTGTCAAGGCTACTTATGTTCTTTTGGGTGTAATCTATTCATAAACACTGCATGGTTAATTCAATTCACCTTTATTTGTATATTGCTTTTACAATGTAAACTGTGTCAAAGCAGCTTTACATTATAGATCATAGTAAATTAAATCAGTGTAGTTCAGTTTTCAATGTTTAAGTTCAGTTTAGTTTAGCTCAGTTCAGTGTGGTTGATAATCACTACTGAGAGTCCAAACGGTACTGGCCAGTGGCGAGGAAAAAACTTTACCAATTGGCGAAAGTGAAGGATTAAAAAACCTGTTGACGTGGAAAAACAGCGCCCCAGTGCGTCCACATCAGGGTGCTGGCTAAATAGACCAAGGAAATTTTTACAGTATTTCCTATTATATTTTTTTCTTCTGTTAAAGTCTTTTTTTTTTTTGTGGGTTTTTTTTTTTTTTTAAGGTCAATGTGATTACCCCCATTAAGATATATGCATTTTTTGGATTATCAACAGAACAATCCACTGTTATCCAAAAACTTGCCTAATTATCCTAGCTTGCCTAGTTAACAACACAGTCAAGTCTTTAAATTTCAACTTAAGCTGAATACTAGTACCTTGCAAAACAAGGCAAGGCAAGTTTATTTATATGGCACATTTCATACACAGTGGCAATTCAAAGCGCTTTACATATACAAGAATAAAAAAGACAAGTACAAGAAAAAAACAAAACAAATAATAAAATTATTCAACCAGATAAAACGTGTTAAATTGTGCTAAAACAGGTTATAAACGAATGAAAAAGAAAAGAAATACATAATCTGTCGGACGTAATACAGTGCTAATTCAGTAAAGGCTCAGCTAAACAGATTTGAACAGATGTGTTTTTAGTCTTGATTTGAACATGCCTAATGTTGGGGTATATCTGATCATTTCTGGAAGCTGATTCCAGCAGTGAGGGGCGCAGTAGCTGAAAGCCCATTCACCCTGCTTTAACTGAACCCTTGAAATTTCTAGTTTATGTGAGATAAACAAGAAATCTCTAGTGAGATTCTAAATCAATATGATCCAGAGGCATTTTCACAGCTGTATTTTTCCGTCCCAGGAATGTAAGAAGTTAGCAGCGGGAGGATTGTTTAGACGATTATTCCCTTCTTGTTGGTAAAGTTGTATTCCGGAAAGTTTGTAGTTTCGATGTTGATCTTCGAGCGGTGTCGTTTAAGCACTGTACTGACAGGCTAAAGTTAATATTAGAGTATAAAATATAGAAGCAAGAGTGCAAGGAGCGAGCAGTAGGCAAAGACGTCCGAACAGTAGCACAGCAGGAAGTGAGCAACCACTAAAAAAGTAGTAATAATAAGTTGAAAAATAGTACACACAAGGGCGTCACGGTGGCACAGTGGATAGCACACTCGCTTCACAGCAAGAAGGTCACTGGTTCGAACCTCTGCCTCTTTCTGACATTTCTGTGTGGAGTTTGCATGTTCCCCTCGTGTTGGCGTGGGTTTTCTCTGGGTGCTCCGGTTTCCCTCACAAGTCCGAAGACATGCGGTACAGGTGAACTGGGTAATCTAAATTGTCCGTAGTGTATGTGTGCGATTGAGTGTGTATAGATGTTTCCCAGGGATGGGTTGCAGCTGGAAGGGCATCCACTGCATAAAACATATGCTGGATAAGTTGGCGGTTCATTCCACTGTGGCGACCCCAGATTAATAAAGGGAATAAGCCAAAAAGAAAATGAATGAATGATTTTTTTTTTACTTAGTAAATAATGTATTTTCTATTCAGGCCACTTAAATTTATTTCGGGCTACCAAGAACTAATGAGTTCTTACTCAAAAGGCTGCCACCAATATTGAAAAGCCGTAAGACACACACATTGCCATATCGATGCTAAAATTAAATATTGTGCAGCCCTACTAGTATAGACTGACATAAACAGTGGGATTAGAGTAAATAAAATAATGCTGTTTATCAGACAAACACTGCTGTTCGCAATACCTGAGTTTGCTTTTCTCCTTATCTGACAGAGGAAAGACTGTGCTGACATGCGAAGAGCCCAGACTGGCAGACTCCTCTATCAGGCTGTCCATGAACTCATTCACTTGAGCGTCAAACTGCCTCATCAGGTCTGCTTTCAAATGCTGGACAAAACAAAGAGTAAAAACACAGAACAGTGAGTCTCTTTTATATCTTGGAAGAAGCTTACAAATACGAACAGAAGGACATCAAATGCACAAGATACAAGTAATTCAGATGAAGAATCTAGTCTCGTGATCAGTCGAGCTGTTGAGGTCATTTTGTTTAGATTGCTCATAATAGAGACAAAGGAAGGTCATTTATAGATACTAGATGTGATGACTAGGAAAATACAGCTGAAGTCAAACTTATTAGCCCTCCTGTCATTTTCTTTTTCTTTTTCAAATATTTTCCAAATGAACAGAGCAAGAAATTTGCACAGAATTTCCTTAAATATTGTTTCGTCTGGAGAAAGTCTTATTTGATAGATTTCAGCTAGGATAAAAGCAGTTTTTTTTAAATCAGTTTAAGGTCAATATTGTTATCCCCCATAAGCAATATTTCGATTGTCTACAGAACAAACAGTTTAGAAATGTGCTGAATTTAGTTTTTTTCTTTCCATTAAACAGAAATTGGGGAAAAAGATATAAATGGGAGCTAATAATTCAGGAGGGCTAATAAATCTGACTTCAAGGGTATATAAAAACAACATATTTTTCCATCATGTTGCTGCAAAGCCTCAGCACCCACATACTTCCTTTTTCTGTCTACACTTCCTGTAAACTTTTCAAGACCTTTGCAAAGCAAAAAAAAAAAAAAAAAAAAAAAAAAAAAAAAAGCGAGGGATTCATAAGAACCTGATTGTCATTTAGTTTTTATGTGCTAATTGCTCACTTGTTGGCTAAATCTATAAGATATTTCAAAATAAAATGCTATTTACACAATGACAGATATATCTGGATAAAATTGTAATAAATTTATTACATTTTCAAACATTACAACTTGAGTACAACTACAAGTACTAACCTGTGAACAAGACAAAAGGGAATGAAAAAATACAATATATAAGAAAACAAATAAGAATAAATATTAATAAAGTAAATTAATTAATTAAATTAAGGAAATTATATATTCATGCTTTATTTGAGTTTTATCTGTAATCCACTCCAAAAGAATACTTTGACTTGCACAAAATGTTAGAAACTTGCAAAGTATATTTTTGTATATTTTTAATATGGAAAGTAAATTTATTGCCAGGTGACCAGAAATTCATTTAGGTCTGTAATTTTTAAATTCTTTTAAAAATCTAATACTTAAACAAGCAAACAAACAAACAAACAAATAAACAAAATAAATAAATTAATATGTTTTGAACTATGTTTGAAAATATTTTAGCATTTTGTACACTCAAAAAAAAAAAAAAAAAATCCTATTAGTTTCCTTGCTGGTTACAATTGTGAAAAACGTCCAAATGGTTTAAACATTTTTTCAGAAATGTATGAAACATTGTGGTGCAAACAAGATATTTAAATGACTTCTTTTAATTTACAGTTGAAATCAGATTTATTAGCCCCATTTTTTTATATATATAGAGCAAGGAAATTGTCACAGTATGTCTGATAATATTTTTTCTTCTGGAGAAAATCTTATTTGTTTTATTTCAGCTAGAATAAAAGCAGTTTTAATTAAAAAAAAAAAACATTTAAGGTGAAAATTATTAGCCCCTTTAAGCTATCTAAATATATAAATATTAACTATCTATAGAATGAATGAATGAAATGTGTTGAAAAAAAAAACTTCTTTCCGTTAAACAGAAATTGGGGGAAATAATAAACAGGGGGGCTAAAAATTCAGGGGGGCTAATAATTCTGACTTGAACTGTATGTGTTACTTTAATATATTTATTTTAGACACTATCTAAATATTGTGAATGCTATGGAGCCTGAAAAAAAAGCAAGAACTAAGCAGAACAACCATCAGGATTTGAAACCATTAGTCAGTTTTAAACATGCGCAAAATCACCAAACCAAAGGTCACCCTCCTATCTGTCAATCTGTGACGTGATTTGTGATAGCAGTGGATAATACTGATAGTCTGCAATGATACAGTGATAAGAAACAAGATATGCACCAATCTCCTGCTCTGTTGCCTTCATGGTTTAGATATCTGATTTGTTTAAAGAACAACAAAATGCACAGAAAGCCAGTGAGCCACACAGAGCACCATCTTACCTCAGCTTTCTTCTTCAGCTGGAGTTTTGCACTAATAATCTGCTCCACCTCCACTTTTCCTGAAATCACACATCAACACAGATCCCCCATGAATGCTCACGTCTACATACAGATGGACGCAGGTCTTGTGGGCACAGTATCCTGGTTACCAGACCACTAATATGTAACCTATCCAACATAACGCAAACAGAATATCTGCATCCTTTACAGTGCAAACAGACATAAAACACTGTATGTTAACACACACAGACGGTGACATCACAAAATTACTATAAAAAAGTGATATTGTTTAAAGGTGTGTTTGTTCTGCAGTAACTATTCATTTAACTACTGCGTAAAATTAATTATTACATGTACTTACTACATGGGTTGGGTTGAAATGTTAGGATTGGTTGGGTATAATTATGCATAATTACTATAGTAAGTACAATAAATGTGTAATGACACCTAAAGTGCTACCAAGAAAACTTGACTTTGAAAAAAAGTATTAAGCCAACATGTGTGTAATCAACCATTTAAATCAGTCTGTTTGATAGGCTGAAAACCCAAATTGCCTAAATGAGAGGAAATATTTGCCATTTGAATTAATATGCTGATTATAATGAGTATAAATGTTGCCCTTTCATCCTCATAGATTAGTAGATCATAGATAGTTCATATAGATTAACTTTAATTTAGGAAAAACAAATTTTACATTAAATAGATAGATAGATAGATGGATGGCTGGATGGATGGGTGGAACAATAGGTTGGATGGATGGATGGATGGACAGACGGACGAGTGAATGTATAGGTTGGGTGGATGGAAAGAACAATAGGTTGGTTTGTTGGATGGATGGATGGATGGATGGATGGATGGATGGATGGATGGATGGATGGATGGATGGATGGACAAAAGGATGTATAGGGTGGGTGGATGGATGGAACAATAGGTTTGTTGTTTGTATGGATGGATGCATGGATGGGTGGGTGGATGGATGTATAGGGTGGATGGATGGATGGATGGATGGATGGATGGATGGATGGATGGATGGATGGATGGATGGATGGATGGATGGATGAAACAACAGGTTGAATAGATGGATGGATATATGGATAGTTGGATGGATGGATGATAGAGTAAGTGGGCGGATGGATGGACGCATGGGTGGATGAACGGTTAGAAAATAGGTTATTTGGATGGATGGATGGATGAATGGATGGATGGATGGATGGATGGATGAATAAGGTGGATAGATGGGTTTTGCATGGGCGGGTAGATAGATAGATGGATGGATGGATGGATGGATGGATGGATGGATGGATGGATGGATAATAGGTTATTTGGATGGATGGGTTTTGCATGGGTGGGTAGATGGAAGGATGGATGGATGGAACAATAGTTTGGATGGATGGAACAATAGGTTGGACTGACAGACGGACAGACGGACAAACAGACACATACACTGGACAGACAGACAGACAGACAGACAGACAGACAGACAGACAGACAGACAGACAGACAGACAGACAGACAGACAGACAGACAGACAGACAGACAGACAGACAGACAGACAGACAGACAGATAGATAGATAGATAGATAGATAGATAGATAGATAGATAGATAGATAGATAGATAGATAGATAGATAGATAGATAGATAGATAGATAGATAGTGATTATTGAATTCATAGTTTAGTGGAAAACCTGTTGGATTTGAATGTAACAAAAAGAAGTAGTTCAACACTTGGAAAGCACAAGTGACATGATGTACCACAACCAGAAAACATTAACACCAATTCAAATATTGCTGCGCTGTATTTGGCAGCGAAGTTGCTCAATAAAACACCACCTCAGCATTTTCAGTGTCATCATGTCACAGTTAATGTGAATGACTGCATCATTGATAACAGCACTGGGCAGGACATGGCAATTTCTCAATCAGGTCACACGGCAAATCACATGGCAGTCTGTACATCCCAGAATTAAGCTGGACGGTCGCACTAAGGAAACCTGAATGTGTCATTGTTTCCTTGTTTTGACTTAATGCATAAATGATTACACAGCTCAATATTTGCAACAGTAATGTACTACAGTAAGAACGAGTCATCATAACTATCATTTCTAGTTAGTTTTGCAAATTTAAACCTTTGGAAAATATATTTTACATTCATTTAGCAGCACACTGATTTATTAAAGGGTTTGCTGGTTGATAATTGCCTGATCATTTACTCTCCCCCATGTGATTTTAAACCTTTATGAGTTACTTTCTTCTGTTGGATACAAAAGAAGATATTTTGAAGAATGCTAATTTGCATTGAAACATTAAAAGTAAAAACATTAGTATGGAGGTCAATGAGTCCCAGAAACCAGCATTTTCTACGTCATAACATTGTCTTTTGTGTTCAACAGAAGAAAACAAAATTCTAAATAGGTTTTGAACAAGAATGACAGCAGAATTTAAATGATGGAGTGAATCAACCCTATACATTAACACATAATCATTGTTTTTCATCTACTGTACTAAACAGGCCAAGACAACAAATAACCTGCAGATGATCAATGTCAAAGGCATGTATTCAGTTGTATGATCTGACATTCAAATAATGTGTTGCACAAGTTGGTCTTAGTTAAGAGACTATAGGTGAAACCTGTTGCAACTGATTCCAGGGGGTGAAAGTTGAATGACCTACATAACCAACAAAACATACTAAATGTGACAAAACAAACTTAAACTGTTTTGCCTCCACTGATTTGAATATTCAGCACTTCAGGATCAGGTTACGGATGTTTGCTTTAGTGATTTTAGTCTCACCATTGCTAGAGAGAGGAAACTCTTCTGCGTCTCTTTCAGGTCCATCCTTGTCTGATGACGAAGCCACCTTATGAGAGCTCTTGCGACTGCGAGGGCCTCCAGCACCCTCATTCACCATCCTGCTGCTGAAAACACAACACAAACCCAAAATAAACTACATGTTGCTTATGCATTGTTCAAAAAGATAAGTGATATGTGAAAGCCAGTCTTATGTTGAATTTTTGTCAAAAAGCATTAAGTACAATATACAGTTGAAGTAAAAATTATTAGCCCTCTGTTTATTTTTTCCCCAGTTTTGGTTTAACAGAGAGCAGATTTGTTAAACAAATTTCTAAACATAATAGTTTTAATAACTCATTTCTAATAACTGATTTATTTTATCTTTGCCATGATGACTGTAAATAATATTTGACTAGATGTTTATCAAGACACTTCTATACAGCTTAAAGTGACATTTAAAGGCTTAACAAGGTTAATTAGGTTAACTAGGAAGGTTAGTATAATTAGACAAGTTATTGTATAACGGTGGTTTGTTCTGTAGACTAACGAAAAAAAATCTAGCTTGAAGGGCCTAATAATATTGACTTTAAAATGGTGTTTAAAAAATTAAAAGCTGCTTTTATTCTAGCCGGAAAAAAATAAATAAATCAGACTTTCTCCAGAAGAAAAAAATATTATCAGACAGACTGTGAAGATTTCCTTCCTCTGGTAAACATCATTTGCTAAATATTTAAAAAAGGAAAAAAAACAAAAATAAAAACAAAGGGGACTAATATTTCTGACTTCATTTATGGGACATAATCATAGATTTTTTTTTTTACTTTTGTGGCAAAAATGATTAGAAAATTGAGGAAGTAAAGATCTTTTTCTCTGCTTATAAAGGAGCCAACATGACAAAAATAATTACTAAATTATATAAAAGTCTACAAGACAATAAATTAGAGAACACATATTATATAAAAAATAAATGGGAAAAAGAAAGTAATATTAATATTACTGAGGAAGAGTGGAAAAGTTTTTTTTAAACACAGTGGAAATCAACATTCTCCTCAGTCTGGAGGGAATTTGGTTGAAAAAACATAATTCGTTTTTACATCACCCCTAAGCAGAAGAGATACTTAAAAAAACGCAGTCTGCTGGAGACTATGTGACTCAAATGAAGTGAATCATACACATATTCTGGAAAAAAAATCAGGCATTTTGGCAAAACATTCATAAATATTTTGAGAATACATTACACTGTAAAACCTAAAAAATTAAGCTAACTCAAACCATTTGAGGAAACTGATTGCAACAAACCATTTAAGTTCAAAAACTAATCATAATGAGTACTGTAAACTTAATCCATTTGAGTAAATGAAGCAATTTGAACACAGTAAAACCCAATAAATGAAGAATACTCAAACCAACTGAGTATTGTAAAACCTAATGAGTTAAGGCAACTCAAACTCTTTGAGGAAACTGATTGCGACAAACCATTTAAGTAAAAAAAATAATCTAACTAATCGAAATTTAAAGTTAAAATAATGAGGTATTTAAATAACTTATTACCAACTCAACAATTAGTTCAAAACTCTTTTCAAATTAGTAGAATTAGATTTCAGTAAGTTTTGAGTTAACTACACGCATTTCATTTGATAAAGGTAACTCTTGAGGTTTACAGTGTACATATCCCCAATCGATTTTTCTTTCTCAACACTATACTTAGGCCTAAAAACCCTATGTTAGAAGAAAATTCTGACAAAAAAAAAATGCTGAAAGTTGCTGATAGCTTGTAAAAAAGACATGACTAAAAAATGTTTACAGCTCGAAATACCTCAAATTAGTGACTGGTTTGAAGTAATTTATGAACAAACTGAGGAGTTTATTGAGACATGGAGAAAATGGGTAGAATATTCTTTCATTAAGACCAGATTCATTATAGAATGTACAGTCAGAAAGACGTGAATTTAATTTTGTTTATTTTTGTATTACTTTTTGTAATGAGCGAAAACATAAAATAAAGATGGTGAGAAGAACAATACATATTCAAATAATAATAATAATAATAATAATAATAAATAAATAAATAATGTACATTTAAGATCCTAAAAGTACCATCTTCACAGTTTCATATGTATATAATTTAGGTAATAAAAAAGAAAAAGGTATATTGGGTGTCACAATATGGGTTAACAAATTTTAACTAAAAAGCAAAAAATCAGTTTTATGTTTTTTTTGTTTTTTTGACAATATGCAAAATAGTTATGAGTGTATTGTTTTGATTGTTCTTATAATGTCCTTTAATCATAATTGTAACTTCCATATTTATTTATTTATTTATTTATGTAATTTCTTTTTATAACTTAATTTATAGGCAGCACTTGGCTCAGTGGGTAGCTCTCTTGCTTCACAGCAAGAAGGTTGCTGGTTCGAGCCTCGGCTGTATCAGTTGGCGTTTCTGTGTTGAGTTTGTATGTTCTCCCCGTGACTCCAATGGGTTTCCTCGAGGTGCTCTGATTTTCCCCAGAAGTCCAAAGACACGCGGTATAGGTGAATTGTCTGTAGCGTATGTGTGTGGATGTTTCCCAGTGTTGGGTTGCAGCTGTAAGTGCATCTGCTGTGTAAAACATGTGCTGGATAGGTTATCGGTTCATTCCGCTGTGGCGATGCGGGATTAATAAAGGAACTAAGCCAAAAAGAAAATTGAATGAATGATTGAGTTTAATTATTTCTACAATTTCTGAATTCCGATGTTTGGTTGTTTTTGTGTACCCATTGTGGAAAACCCTATATACGATAAATTTGTATCATCTGTATGTAAATTTGGAAACTGCAATAAAAACAAAATGTTAAAAAAAAAAAAAAAGCAAAGATCATGTTCTATGCACTGTAAAAAGCGATTAGTTGACTTTACTTAAAAAAGAGAAACATTGTTGCCTTATAAGTATTAAGTAAATAAACTATGTGCATAACTCTAAAACTTAAGATAAGACAAGTCTTAAGTCTTAAGTCTTTTTTAAAAGTAAAATCAACTTGTTGCTTTTAAGGTAACAGGTTTACTAATTTAAAAAAAGTAAAATAGATAATCACTTTTTACATTGTGGAGATATTTTGTAAATTTCCTACTGTATATATAAAAACACATTTTTTATTAGTATTTACAACACCCTTTTCGCGGTATTTTGTTTTTAGATTCTTTGTTTTTTAGATTCCATATATTCAATGCTAACAAACCATACATCAATTAAATGCTTATTTATTTATTAAGCTTACAGATGATGTATAAATCTCATGACTGGTTTTGTGGTCTAGGGTTACATTTATAAATATATTAATAAAATTAAATCAACCATTCGTAAAACTTTAGTCTTTCTCACATGGATTATTATTTTAATCTCACTGTAAAAATGTAACTGAACAATAAAACTAGTCATTTTTGTATAAGTAAGAATATTTTATAAATTTTACTTGTATTCTCGTAACAACATAATTAATTATATACACTTACAGTTACATTATAAGAACAAGTGATATACAGTTGAAGTCTGAGTAATTAGCCCCCCTTAGATTTTTTTTTCTTTTTTAAATATTTTCCAAATTATGTTTATCAGAGCAAGGACATTTTCACAGTATGTCTGATAATATTTTTTTCTTTTGGAGAAAATCCTATTTGTTTTATTTCGACTAGAATAGAAGTAGTTTTAAAATTTAAAAAAATCCATTTAAAGGTCAATATTATTAGCACTTTTAAGCTATATTTTTTCGATAGTCTACAGAACAAACTATCATTATACAATAACTCACTTAATTGCCTTAACCAGCCTAGTTAACCTATTTAACCTATTTAAGCCTTTAAATGTGACTTTAAGCCGTGTAGACGTGTCTTGAAAAATATCTAGAAAATATGATTTACTGTTATCATGGCAAAGAGAAAATAAATCAGTTATTAGAAATGAGTTACTAAAACTATTTTGTTTAGAAATGTGTTTAAAAAAATCTAAAATAATAATTCAGGGGGGCTAATCATTCTGACTTTAGCTGTAGATTGAACCACGGATAGCCATACATTTCATTGACAAATATGCATTATAGTAGCTAATTTCTTACATTATAGCCACTGTTTTAATACATGTAACGTTACATTATTGTGAAATGGTTATTGTAAAACAAATGATTAAAACATTTACCAAAACCAAAATACCACTGAAAAGTATTTAATCCAAGTTGATGGGAAAAAATGAAAGCTTCAATAAATTATGTTTAAACTAAGCCGTTATTTTGAGAGGATTTATCCCAATCATCTAACTCATCTGACAGAAAATACACACTAATCACGACACTCGACTATAAACACAGAAGACGTTTATTAACCAGGAAATGTTTGATATCTATTATATCGGCTCTGTTTAAGAAAGACAGAAAACCCCATTTAAGTCACTTACCCGTGTGTTGTTCCAAATATACACCTCCTAATTGAACAATTCGGTGTATGAAGACAAACTCAGCTCGTATGTAAAGCGGAGATGATCTGTATGACAGCAGCAGCATCAGGCCAAGTGAAACAACAGGCGCTTCCTTCTGAGCTGGGCGGAGTCTGAACTGAGACTCCATCTGATTGGTTGCTGCTTCGAGTACGTGTTTTGATCTTAAGCGAACAGTAACAGTGTCATTTTTCCAGTGATGTCTAGTAATTAATGTAATGACAGGTTGTCTCACTCTTCTCGAATGTGGGTTAAATATATAAACATCACAATCCTAAATAAATTAAACCAGCTCATTTTTTAAGAAGATGAAGTAGTATGTGAGGTAAAGAAAAGATCAGGCAGTTTAAATCTGAGGAATAATTGGGTGTTGTTTTGGCAATGTTGTAATTAATATTGGGGTTACCGATTATTTAAATTTACCCTTGGGCACATAATCTTTATGACATATACAGTGTTTAATCTGGGGAATATAAAGATGTTGAAAGCACAAAGTAAAGAAATTAAAGTGTTTATTGCATATTTAGAAATACAGGACATTTCATGTCACTTTCACATATTGAACAAATAATTTTTAGCAGTAAATAGTCTGTAAGGTTTCTTATGTTTAAATATAAAAAGCTGACTACCTTTCCTCCAATACAAATTCTCATAAATAAAAACATAATAAATACTGAAAATCCTCTGACAAACAAGTCTAAATAAACTTACATGCTTTATAGCACACACACATACATGGTTTACGGGGACACTCCATAAGCGTAATGTATACTATATAGTAAAAATCGCTTGTGATATAACCAGGGTTTCTGCAGGTTTCACCAAGTTAACTATAAGAACTTTAAAGACATTTTTAAGACCATTATGAGTAAAATTTTAGACTTATACAGGGCTAAATGCTAAGGATTTTTTTCTGAGTATCCCACTTGGAAAAGATTTTCACTTGCCCTATCAAAAAATCTTTATAATTTAATACATTTAATAATACAATAATAATAATTTAATAATATATATATTCAAAAATTGAACATCAAAAGACTTTGTTAAATATGATTTTTAAGCATTTTGAATTAGAAGGACACGAGGTGTGAACCTGTAAACCATCTTAACAGAGTAAAACTAAGTCATACCCATGGCATTATACAACTTTGTGTCCTTGTACACCGCATATACCTGTACACACACATACACATACACACATACATGATTTACAGGGACACTCCATAGCCGTAATGTATTTTATACAGTAAAAACCACTTATGATATAGCCCTACCCCTAAACCCAACCCAACAGGAAACCTGCGGCAAAATTTGAACATCAAAAAACTTTGTTAAATACGATTAAGCGTTGAAATTAGAGAGACGAGGTGTGATCCTGTAAACCACCTTAACAGTATACAACTTAGTCATACCCATATCATTATACTACTTCATGTCCCTGTAAACCCTATATACCTGTATACACACACACATACACACACAAACACCTGCACACACATACATGGTTTACAGGGACACTCCATAGGCATAAAGTATTTTATAAAGTAAAAACGGCTAATGATATAGCCCTACCCCTAAACCCAACCCTACAGGAAACCTGCGGCAAAATTTGAACATTAACTTTAACTTTGTTAAATATGATTTCTAAGCATTGTAAATTAGAGGGACATAAGGTATGATCCTGTAAACCACCTTAAAGGAGTAAAAACTAAGGCCCAATCCCATTTCTATTTTTGTACCCCTTCTCCTTGACATTTAAAACTGAGTGTGAAGGGGAAGGGCTTTAAAATTTACCCCTAAGAATTGGGACAGCACTACAGCACCTGCACATGTCCTCATATGACATAGCAATCTCTTACTTGATATGAGATCAGACGATCGAGACTGCTGTAGTGATTCCAGTTGTGCTATTTTTTGGTATTTATCTTCAGGAAATCACTGAAGGCATATATCATGTTATCATAATGATATATTGTGGCAATAAGATCATAACTATACTGTGCGTTTACATTTATAAATGGCCATATTCATTAACACACAAACACAACATTAACATTATAGCAGACACTGTAAAAAGCCCATTCCCAGCCACTAGACTTTACTGACAGGGTATTCGAGTGTCATCGAGTGACAGAATGTTGTGGGACTGCTATACAGGAGTTATTATTATGGATTATAGATCACAAATTTAGCTACTTTTTAAGCGTTTTTTTTATAAAAGCATGACGGTAAAACATGAACATGGTTATGAATGTAATAAAGCATGTGCTTGTTTGTTGTAAAAATTCATAATAACAACAGAAAATACTAATTTGTGGATCTCCTTACTGATCTCTGGGTGCTGCGATCCCATTGTTGTGGCTGGTGTATTCTGGGAATTTTTCTTAACCCTTGGTTTCGAGTGTGGTCCTAAAAAATCTTTGTTCGAAGAGCTATTCACCCCTTCCCCTTAGCCCTACGCCTTCAAGCTAAAGAGAATTGGGACACCCATACCCATTCACGGGAACGCGCAAAATGAGGGGTAGGGGTAAGGGAAAGGGCAAAGAGGTAGAATTGGGATTAGGCCTAAGTCATGTCCTTATAAAACTTTGTGTCTCTGTAAACCACATATCTATCCACACACGCACACATACACACTTAGTCAGTCAGAAATCTAAACCTATAGAACAATGCAGGAATTCACTGATCCTTATGTATATAAACAATAAAATCCCCTAATATCATCCAGCAGCAATGCAATCCCCGCAGAAGCTCTACGCATGACATCTATCTTTGGAAAGAGACTATAAAAAGCACAAATGTCCCAGGATAATGTTTGCATGTCCTTTCCAGGTCTCTTCTCCGCCCTCCACAAAAACATCTCTGATAGGAAGTAGCTGCATGTCTCCCCTGTGGAGCTCTGAACTCCCATGAACCCTCACCTGTGCAGTTACCTGCAATATAATGCAAGTGAAACCTCTTGTTATGCAATAGTGCAAAGTGCAATAATTTACTTGACATGCTTTGACTGTGTGGAAATTTCTCATGTTTTTTGTCAACAGTATTACACCATTTCCACAGCCATTGATTAATTCTAACCTCACAACCATGCCGGGTTATGATGACATGGGGCGGATTGATTTCTTCATAGGAGTCTCCTCGTAAATGCAGCATCGTCTTCCAATGATTAACAGTGGGACTGTGTTTTTTGGGACACTTCAAGCTGATGCTTTGTGTGGCAGAGTTGCTGTGTAACCGAAGGAATCGCAGTTGGACAACATCGAGATCTTTGTACTTCAACTATGGAGCACAATAATCAGAGAAATACACTTATTGAGATAACTGCCACTCTTAATAATGAAAAACGAAATTAGTAATTTACCTTGAAGCCTTTGTGAAGCTCACTAAACCACATTTTGGATCTGTCCACTGATGATGGCCACACTCCTGAAATCTTACAAAATGATTACCACAAGTATAGTATTATTTGTAGATGTTGCTGTACTCTGTGTCTGTGTCCATGGCTCTGTTGTTCATACGTGGATTACTCAATTAGCTGTTTTTGGTTATTGACACGATTTAGGATTGTTTCTTTCTTCAAAACTCATCTGAGAGTTTTTGTCATAGCAACAGGTCTGGTAGCTCAAACCTGCTCAGGAGCAGCAGCTTATTTCATATAAACAGGATTAGATTGGGTCATTTCAAGCAAAGGTAATAATGAAAGTATACCGAATGCTGATATTTTCTTACAGTAGTAGCTAGATTATATATAGGGAAAGCAGTATATAATATACAGTACAGTGCTCAGCATTTATGAGTACACCCCTCACAAATCTATCTTTTAAATAAAAGCTCTACAAAATTATATTTGTGCATATACATTAGATTAGTCAGTACTGAAGCCAAATCTGGAGCTTATTCAAAAAAATAACTTACGATAATGGTTCAAAAACTAGTACAACCACATTTGTTATAGAAAAATTATTAATACAAATTTTTAAATAAGAGAAAAAATCAAAAATCAAGAGAAACTTAAGAACTGAAAACTTTAACTGAAATTTTGTAGGTTGTAATTTACTTTGCAATATTTTGCTTGAATTTAATTAGTATTATATTTAATTTCTAAATATGTTTGGTGACTTTAACAAATCAGTTTTTGAAAATTGATATTTGCATCCATTTCTCAGTGAATATATGCAATGTATTTTGGTGCATTTAAACACACACACACACACACACACACACACACACACACACACACACACACACACACACACACACACACACACACACACACACAAACACACACACATAATAGGTGTTTATGCAATACATGACGAAATAAAAGCCAAACGATACAAACCAGTACTGTTTTAAGATACCGGCCCAGCTTTAGTACAGTTTCTGTATGATAATAGACATGGCCAATATATATATATATATTTTTTTTAAGGAAAGGAATGACAATTTATGCAGTCATGCACATGCTTTGACAGCTAATATGGCGGTAATTTGATGCTTGGAAAAAAGTTACAGACACCTTTACCAATATCAAAATGCTTTTTTGATGTAAAATTAATTTAAACAGCCATTTACTAAGAAACATCAACATGCCTACTAAAATAAAGAAAATCCGCTCTAAAAGTAAAACTAAATAAATTGCTAAATATTCTTGGCACATGAATGTGTAAAGCCTGCAGCCCACAACAAATGTGGAAAGTTATTGCGTATCATATTTAACAAACACTACGAATTTTATATAATTTTGCTCACATGGATAATTGAATGTTTATCACATGATGTTATTACACTGCTGTGCCGTCAGCCAATCGTTGCATTGCTGATCATGATTTCGAGGATCGATAGATCAGTCCTTCACAACACACGCAGCAATCTCAGACAAGTTCATCCAGACATTTTATTCTGATTCACAACCTTGTTTGAAGAACCAAATTAGCCAGATATCAGTTATCCCGCTTAAAAGATCCATGATTTGCCAAATCATCTTAGATCATTTAAGCAAAGTACAAAGAACGGACCCTGTGTCTATATATTATTGTTGTGTGTATAAGTTATTAATGCCAAATCTTTTTTTATATATTCTGTTTCTGTAATATTGAAATTTTTAAAGGTATAGATCACCCAACAATAATAATTTGCAGTTAATTTACTCACTCTCAGGCCATCAAATATGTACATGAGGTTTTTCTTCAGTAGAACAATAAATATGTTTGTTTGTTTTAAAATGTGTTGATTCATAAAATAAAAGTGCACTTGGAGAGTCAAAAAACATATATAGGCCAAACAAAAGTAATACTGGTGTCTCCTGATGATACACTGAGGTCTTATGAATCAATGCAATTGGTCTGTCTAAGAGAATTAATACTAGTTCACTTTTTAAGACCTGAATATATCATCAGGTGCTACAGTTATTTATGTAGTTTTACATGTATTTATTGCCATTCATTTGGGTGGACCATGCCTTTTGTCACACTTTTGGCGATCTCAGAGACAAAAATATTACTTTACTTGAGTTAGAGTCATCAAAGAAGATTGACAAAATGTAAACTTACATTAGATTGGACAGGAGACACACAAGTTAGACCACCGGCAGTAAAATTACAGAAGACTCGGAGAGCATCAAAAGGACATCCGTGGTTAGGATCGACATAGTAGTGTCCTATGAACACAGGTGCACAGTGAATTCCAAATATCTTTCTGTATGATTTCTTTACCACTTAAAAATCCGGCAATATATGCAAATCACATGTATGACATACAATATGCGTCCATTTATGGCCATATATCGGATTTCCAAATGAGATGGTTTTTTGCTCACCGTCTCTGAGGTGAGGCTGGATGAGACTCAGCTCTCTGCATGAGGATGCTGGGTTGTCTTTAGTGCCTTGTAAGTGGCTGTTTTCCTCAATCCAATCATCAAAGTTATCAAATCGCAACATTCTAGATAATGCTTTCTGAAAAGAATATGCAAAAATATTGGATAAAAAAATAGGCCATATGATTTAACTTGGGTCTTTCTGCTAGCAGACCACTCATTTATCTTAACTCTAATTGACACAAAAAGTTTTTGAGGTTGAATGCTTGGATACAGACATTTTGTGATCCTCTTCTCTGAGGGGGGGTATGAGGTCCTGGTTTCACCTGGCTGACAATACCTGGTTTTCCCTTGTAAAAAAACACATAGAATAGATAAACAGACATATAACATTTGAAATTAAATAATCACAGACCAAGCAAATCTGTGTTTAAAAGATGTCTAAACATTTTGGCTAAACATGGCTAAATTTGGGCTGTCAGGGAAAACCTAATAGACATCCTAAAGTCTTCAAATAGACAGATGGGACAGACTTCCCATACGCAGTTTGTTCTTGTCTATTTGATGGTCTGTTTTGGACTGTTGTTAGATGTTTATTATATTTTCACAGACAGCACAGATTTTGCCTTGTTTTAGCCTAATATATTTATTTTTGGACATCATTTATATGTATTTTAGATGCAAAAAAACTTGCTGTGTATAAAATGAACAATATTGACATTATTAGGCAAAATATACTACTTACAGGTCGTCCTCTTTGACCTTTCACACCTTTTTGCCCAGATTTTCCCTGAACTCCTTTTATTCCCTGTTGACATAAACAACAAATAAGGAGGTACACACAAATTTAATATATATTTACTGACTGTAGCATTTATTGTTTCAAATAAATATTAGCATCATTTATTAAAACACACTTTTAACACTGACATTCATCCCTCCATTATATATTTAAACAGTAAGACTAATAAAAAATGTATAAAACTAGTAAAATACTGTTGTGTGTTTTCCACTTATTTGATTAGTGATTTTTACAAAAGTGCATAATTTTAAATATTTATCATTCATTTTTAAATTTATTATTATTTTTTTTTTACAAAATATTAAACAATTATTTCAGTTTTAAATCAAAATATGCATTTCACATTATCGTTTCAACCTGACCCTATTGTAAATTGTCTTTTCCATACACAACTGGTCACTCTGACTGCAATGACACCGGTATCTGTACCTACCTGGTTCAGGTACAGGGTAAAGATAAGCAGAGCTATATAAATGACTTAATCACACCTGCAATTTCAGTACACACCTTCCTTCCAGATAGACCCTGCGGAGCAAAACGAGAATCTGTCTAATATGTGCCAGTGTTCTGAAGTATAAAGATAGTCAATGAGTTCACAAACAGACGTACAGGTGAACCAGGAAGTCCTTTTCCACCAGGACGCCCACGAGCACCAGATTCACCCTGTAACAAACAAAACATTTATGAAAAAAGAAATTAATAGTTGTAGTACATATGTGCACACTGTACTTAAGACAGTAATTTACCTTAATGCCTTTTGGTCCAGGGCGCCCTTTGTAGCCTGGAGTACCTTGATTTCCCTGCAAGACGAAGAAAAACATTCATAAAGCACTTAAAAACCCTTTTTTTTTTAAATGTGCTGCCATTGTTTTACTGAAACTTACCTTTACTCCTGGTGGTCCAATGGGCCCTTGCAAACCTGTTATACCAACTTGGCCCTGTGAATTGCATTAACAATTAAATAGCAAATCCATATTAGTATTATTTATTATATTTATATTTGCTTTAATAAAAACAAGTTTAGATATGTCCACCTGTCTGGTGTTGTAGACGTATGTGTCACCATGTGAGGCATAAAAATAGGACGTGGGTTTGGATATAGTTTTTTGACAACACTTCATTATTATTGTTCATTTATTCGTTTGCTGGAAGTTAAAACTAAATTTAGAAATAGTTTGGAAACAAATCTTTGTGCTTAACAAAAAAAATAAAATATGTAGGCTAATGGATGTCTTTAGTGGACTGTGTACAACACCGTTTCCTTATCCACCAAAGTAAATGAGTAATGAGTAAAAGTAACATAAAAAAAATTAAAGAGGCCGATTGGAGGAGGCTCGTTCTTTATCCTCGCCCAGATGGTTTGTTTAACTGTTTTCTCACAAGTGAAGCATTCAGTTTTCCACTTACAAAGTTCGCCATGTAAATAGCAAATGTGCCATGGCGTGACAACTGTCTCTTAAAGGGAATGGCGGATGAGACTCTGATTAGTTTAAAGCAAGTTATTTTCAAAACACACCCATAATTCATTAAGAGAATAAGCACAACCCTGTTAGACCATGTGTTGGGCGCAAACCGTATTTTGCTTAAAATAGCAAAAGGGGATTCGGATATGCCCTTAATGCTTTTGCTCCATGCGCTTTAGACTTTGCGTCTAGATTGTTAAAATAGAGCCCATAGTGTATAGTAAATATAGAAAGAGATACAATAATACCATTGTTCCCTTCTGTCCGTCATCTCCCTTTTTACCTTGAAGTCCTGGAATACCCTTTAAGTGAACAAACAGTAGACAATTAAATCCTCGTGGACTGTTGAAGGCAAAACAAAAAACTTTAGTTTATTACCTTTGGTCCTATTGGTCCAGAAGGCCCTGTTTTCCCTTTCAGTCCAATAGAGCCCTGTGGTGAATGTCATTAAACTGCAGTAGGAAACTTTTCTTTTTTTTTAAAGTCAGAATGGCAATTACCTTTGGTCCAGCAGGACCTCGACTCCCTTGCAAACCTGGTATTCCTGTGGCTCCCTGTGAATGAGTATTGAAACTATGCCAAAAATAATAACAATATTTTATAACTGACACATTTTTCATGCCTGTACAAAACAAGCTTACTTACAGCACTACCTTGCAGACCTGGTCTCCCTGGACGTCCTCTGAATCCAATATCACCCTGCAAGTTTATGTAAACATTCACTTAACAGTACCTGTACAATAGGCTAGTGGGTACTCACTTCTGTGCTAAATCTGTCATCCAGGATGTCATTCTAATGAAGGAATATAAGATTTATAAGCAATCTGACTGATTTTACATGGGCTAAATCTCACATAAATAACGCAAAAGGCCCTAATAAACATAGCAATGATAAATTTGACATTTTATTCATTATAAAATAAGATCAAGCTACTCACTGGGTCCCCTTCGGTTCCTATAACTCCCAGCAGTCCATCTGTTCCACTGCGTCCCTAAAATGAAGTTAGATTAAGAGAAAACTTTGACACAATCATTAAAAACTCAAAAAGTTTTAGGATCTGTATTGGGGATACTTGCTGGCTTCCCAGGAAAACCGCGAATGCCGTGTTTCCCTTTTGGCCCTTGAGGTCCCTAGTGAACAAATAAATCCAATGCATGCATTTTTATTGGTTTGTGTTGGCAAAATATGAAGTAATACAATCTAAGCTGCTGGTAATCACAATCATAAAAGCCTGAAAAACTCACTGGCTTTCCTGCAACACCTTTACTTCCTCTCCTTCCTGGAAATCCCCTTGTTCCCTGTGTGAAAGGATCATGAAATGTTTTTAATGTGTTGGCAGGCATTCAGTATATTTAGTAGCATATTATTCTCAAAATATCTTCTGAACTATTGAGTAACTGGCCTTTGGCCCTGGTAGACCCTTGACTCCTTTTTTCCCTGGAGCTCCTAAGGATCCTTGTTTCCCCTTTGGTCCTTGAGGACCCACAGCTCCTGGCTGACCCACATGGCCCTAAAAATAAAACCCACAGATGACCGTTCAAACGTGCTAACACTGTAATTTAGTAACAACTGTGAGTTTTGTCTCAAAGGATTTATAATCATGCAGAAAAAGGCTTAAAATGTGCTTCATAAGAACTAATATGCAAGTTTACAAGCATCTAGTTTAAAGTGAGTATTAGTCTCTATACTAAAATGTTAGCATACACTTTACTACATGCCAAAGTGAAATGTCTTTGTCTTTGTTTTAAAGGTTTATGAAATTAAAATGAGGTCTTTTTAAGAATATCTATTAGCTAGTGTGTTCATGTTAATTTGTGTTCAGAAAATATAAAACTGATATAAACATCTAAAGTTTGCAGTTTTTCAACTTTTGCTTCCTCATGCTTCAGGTTTCTCATTAATTGATATTTTTGAAATGCCCTGCCCCCTTTAAGATGCAACTCATTTTTCATTTGATGTGCTTGAGTTCAACCATTCTCACTGGCAGAGCTGTGATAAAACCAAATGCTATTAGCTGTTTTTTTTTCAAGGGGAGAGCTACTCGATGTACCACCCTCTCTTAATTTTTTCACTTAAGATTACGTCAAACGTAGAATAAAAAAAATCACATTTCAAAGCACTTCACAGAACTTTCAATAGCAAAAGCCTTATGTTTTGTTGTTTGTATTGGAAATAAATGAGGATGTAAAGTGTATCTCACCACTCTGCCTTGTTTTCCAGGCTCTCCTTTCTTCCCAATTAGACCTATTGCACCCTGTAACAACATATACAATTCAGGTCAGTTTTGCCAGATATTTTATTTTATAATGCATGCACCACCAAAGGTAAGTACATACAACTGATCCGATCTTCCCAGGGCCCCCTGAACTCCCTTTAAGTCCAGGCTCTCCCTACAGTGCACAAAAAAGTTAATTTAATTACTCGATTAAAGATGTAAGTTAGTGTGATGTATGTCATTGCATATTATTTCTATAAATATGGTACCAAAATAATAAATAACAAGCAAAAAAACATACTTTTGGCCCATGTTTTCCACTTTGTCCACCAAATCCTTCTTTTCCAGTCAAACCCTACATTTAGATGAAACATAAATCTGTAATGGGTATCTCAAAAAATACAATACCTCAAATATAGTAGTCCAAACTTACTGGCAATCCTATAACACCACTTGGACCTATTGGCCCTGTTGTCCCTGTCTCACCCTATATGTAAAAAAAACTGTAAATATGACCATGTATTTCTTCAATAGCTTCATCGTGCATAAAGAAGGGCGAGGCACTCACAGCAAGTCCAGGTAGACCTTTGTCACCTTTATCTCCACCTTCTCCCATGTTTCCACCAGGACCGTACTGTCCTACTAATCCGGATTGACCTCTTACACCTGGATGACCCTAAATATTCACAAACCCACAGAAAACATAAAACAACAAGAATGTGCAACACATTATCTCTTGCACCAAAACACATATGCAATCCTCATCAAAAAAATCCTCACTTTTTCACCAGAGGATCCAGGATCTCCCTTCTGCCCTGGAGCACCGCTCATTCCCTGACAAAAACAAACACACAACATCTTTTTCACAAGTTTACACCATGTGTAAATATTCTTATAAATGCCCAAAGTGTTTTTGAACCAGGATGTGTATTTGAAGTGCTACAGCCTGATGGAATTTGCACTTTTCCATCTGAAACCTGAAGGGCGCGACATGTTTTTCAGGTGCACTTAGTTGAAAACATCTCAACCTTTCAGAATACCACAAGCGTACCAAGAGTCACGTGAGAAGAACTGACCAATCAGCTTCATACTTTGTGAAGTTTATTTAAAAACTAATTTCGAGAGGATCACGTGCTTATGATTGTTCTCAGCTGTTCCAGCATCAGCTCATGATAACTCGCTATAAATAACTAGAGTTTTTCTTATCTCAATACCTTCGTCTTGTAGAACACCGAATCCTGCCAAAACCAAGCAGCAACTCTCAACAAAATTACCTACCATTATGGAAAACAACTACAACAACAACAATAACAATACCAACAATGACCTTTCCAGCCACCCAACCAACAACTTCAACCTCTTAGAAGAAAGCGATCTCCCCGGATCGACAGTGGTGGCGGCCCAACAACACCCAGCTCCGCACGGTTCTCAAGACGAGCCTGTGAAGCAAGCAAGAGGTCGCCGCTTGACACGCTCCTCAACTGTCAGAATACACCTTTAAGCATCGCCAACACCTTCCACTTCAAGACACCAAAACATTACACCCACCTCTTCATATGTCTCATCCTCCTCCTCCACCTCCGTCCACCCAGCCAAGTGAATTACAGTCACAAAACTCCACAAGCTACTCTCTGATCTCGGCGTCTACGCTCCATGTCATCTCAATAAACTGGAACTCTTTAGACTACCTCTGCATAGGCCCTTACTCTCCCAGTTCCGACTTCCACGGGCTCCCCCTAGCTTCTCTCCAGAGTCTCGACTCCCGCAGGAGTAACTCCCAGCCCCTCCCTTGCCAGTTATCCAGACCCGTGAAGTCTGTTTAAAATTTCGCTCCAGCAGGAGCCTCTCTCCTCAAACATCTTCCACAATATTATATCCAGCAGCTGGATATAGCATTGATCTATGCTTCTTGGGCGGTTCCTTCAATTGTTCTCCTCGCGTTTGCGTGGGTTTTCCCCGGGTTCCCTGGTTTCCTCACACAGTGCAAATAACATGCACCCTAAGTAAATTGAACACACAAAATTAAAACTATAGTCAAGCTCTTAGCGAGGACACCTCTCCTCAGTCATCTATATCCGTCATTTAGCTAGAAATAGGACAGGGGAATTCATCGAGATCTACCTGAGTTCAAACTCCCTTCTCGCCCTGCAAATGGGAGGGAGCCCAGGGCTCAAGGATCTCATAAGTTCTCTCCCAAGACAGCATGCCAAACAAGTGTGAACTCTTGAAGTATGGATTATACACATTTTGGTGGACTAATTGCTTAACTAATACAAACTCAGAACACTCAAACACTGCAGTGCATATTAATTTTCTCAGTAAAACTCAGTAAAAGTCTTTCAGTCATTTAAAGTATTAAAAAAAAATCCAACACTTAATCATCTTACATCTCTTCCTTTTGGTCCTTTCACTCCAGATAGTCCTTGATTTCCACTCTCTCCTTGGATTCCCTTTGGGCCATGATCACCAACAGAACCTTCTTTACCCTTTTCACCCTGCAACCAACAAATCTGTCCTGTTTATCATTTACAGCACATAACACATAACACAATATACATGTATGCAATGGAGTTGGCAAACATGCAGCATGGAAGTATTTGTACGTACAGACAACCCTTTACTTCCTGCTGGTCCGGCTGGTCCAGTTTCACCTACTGGGCCCTAAAAAAATATAAAATCTGAAAAGTTTGGGGTCTGTATACGTATATGTTCTTTTATTCATTAATTTTCCTTCAGCCTAATCTATTTATTCATCAGGGGTCACCACAGCGGAATGAACCGCCAACTTATCCAGCATATGGATGCCCTTCTAGATGCAACCCAGTACCCAGTGCAACATCTATACACACTCATTCACACACATACGCTATGACCAATTTAATTTATTCAATTCCCCTATAGTGCATGTGGACTGTGGGGGAAACCCGAGGACCCAGAGGAGACCCGTGTGAACACAGGGAGAACATGCAAACTCCATACAGAAATGCCAACTGGCCCAGCTGCGACTTGAACCAGCAACATTTTTGCTGTGAGGGGATAGTGATAACCACTGAGCCACCATGTCACGTTCGTTTGATGTTTTTGAGAGAATTGTTTTATGCTCACAAATAAATTTATTTGATCAACACACAGTAAAAACAGAAAGATTGTTACATTTTAAAAAAACGCAATTGTTTTCCTATTTTTACATTTTTTAAATATATTTTTACAATTTTAAACAATAATTACTCCAGTTTTTAGTGTCAATATCTTTAAAAATCATTGCAATATGCTGACTTTATGCTCAAGAAACATTTCTTATCGCTATATGCTGAAAACTAGTCGTGCTGCTTAATGTTTTTGTGGAAACCTGATTTTTGTTTTTTAAGATTCTTTTATACCAAATGTTAAATTAGGAACACATAGCCACACCTCAAACCAGTCTGGTTGATTTGTTTGTTTATCATTATTTTTTTATTTTGAGAGTTAAGTAGAGAAGGTGGGTGCCATTTTTGTTTTGAATTAGTTTTCTCCTGTTAATGACAGTGAACGGAGTTAATATAGTTTATGCTGATGTATTTTAGTTTTTTTCTTCGTTTCAGATTAGCAAGAGATCATCTTAGGAGCTAGCTTAATTTTTGCCCCCTTCTGAGTTAATACCCTGTTTTCTTTGTTATATTTGATTTTATGTTAAAACTTTTTTTTTATTTGACCTTGTTGTTAAGTCTCCAGCCATTCTGTTTGAGAAGATGAGAGTTTTCTCTTTTTCCAGCCGTTGCACATCACCCATCATCATTCAGTTATTTTTTTTTTTTTTGTTGAGGTTAAACCAGATATTTAGGAGAATCTAAGCAAACTGTCTTTAAACACAATACATAAACTTTGGTAAAATCAGATATTAACTGATTAAGGCATGACCATAAATAAGATTTATAAGCAATATACCTCCTCACCATCGATACCAGCAACTCCCTTCAATCCACTGTCTCCTCTCAGTCCCTTTGGAAAATATTTTTAAAACTAGTAAGTACAGTGTGAGAGAACTCGTCATCAAAAATGAAGATAAGAAAAGAAAAAAATACAGCCTACTTTATTGCCTTTGTCTCCTTCAGGCCCGATGGGTCCAAGAGGTCCATCTTTACCCTGAAAGAGAGAGAGAGAGAGTCAATCAATACTCCATTAGTTTCCAAATGTGAGAGGTTACACACTCTCATAACAATGAGTTGAATAGAGTAACATCACATACTGGATACCCTGCTACTCCATGGGGCCCGGGCAGGCCTGGTGGCCCTTGATGTCCTTCTAGTCCCCGCACACCTGTCTCACCCCACTGGCCTATGTTTCCCTGTAGCCCCTTCAGAAGATAGCATTCACAGATATTTCATGATTTCTAGACAGGTCTTACATGTAGTATTATTGTTATACTTTTCCATTAGTGCTGCTTCCAAAATATATATATATATATATATATATATATATATATATATTTTTTTTTTGTAAAGCAAAAGTATGTCTTTCTTCTTTTAGACAAAGACAATTGGAGTTTTGTTATATTAATATTAAAATCCTGACTTTTCTCAGCTTTGTAATGGCAGAACAATTTTGAAGCATCCACCATAAAAGTAATCTAAATAACTGGGTGGGTTAACAAACGCCTTCTGAAGTGAAGCAATGGGCTTTTGTAAGAAAAATATCCATTGAGTAAACTATTCCTTTTAATCATTATAAGCCATAAGGCAAACCAGCCTGGCACAAATGTGAATTGTGACAAACATAAAACAGATTTACATCCCAAAAGTATGGTATATGAAAACTAGACACAAAAGTACAAGACTGTGCACTTTAATTAGGGTAAGAACAACAATTATATGAAGCATTGTGAACACAAATGAATAATGACAGGGACATATAACACTACACTGTAAAACCCCAAAATTTCCGGTAACTCAAACCATTTGAGCAAAACGATTGCAACAAACCATTTAAGTTCAAAAACTAATCCTAATGAGTACTGTAAACGTAATCCATTTGAGTAAACGAAGCAATCAGAGAACAGTAAAACCCAATAAATGAAGAGAACTTAAATCAATTGAGTATTGTAAAACCCAATAAGTTAAGGCAACTCAAACCATTTGAGGAAACCGATTGCTACAAACCATTTGAGTTAAAAAAAAAAAAAAAAATCTATATGAGTACTGTAAACTTGAGGTATTTAATTAAGTCATTACCTTTAATGCTGAGTTCAAAACTCTTTTCAAATGAGTAGAATTAACTTTCAGTCAATTTTAAGTTAACTACACTTATTTTATTTGATAACGTTAACTGTTGGGTTTTACAGTGTATCTACAGACACATATTAAAAATTATTGCAATGTATATATACGAATAATCTAAGATTGAGAACAAAATGAGACTCGATTATATCATGGTGGTCTTTACTGTGAAAGGCGGAGCTAATTATGTCTCTTCTCTCTGATTGGTGGAAGTAGTTTTTAAATACATTTGTTAAAAAAAGTAAGTAAACAATTAGGTTTTACAAAGGCACATCTTCAGTCTTTAAAGGTTTATTCTTATTGTAAAAAATCTATTTCACTATGGAGAAAATGAAGCATTATGGAACCTGACAAAAGATTGGAAAAAAGTTTGTCTTACTGGAGGTCCCATGTAGCCTTTCCCTCCTCCTATACCTCGAGGACCCTAGATATTAAAATAGATAGATTTCAACCAAGACTTTTATTTATTGCTCATGAATTAAAATTACATTATATATAATAGGCACTCACTGGCTGACCAGGCTTTCCTTTTGGCCCCTCAGGGCCAATTTTGCCCTAAAACCACATGAAAAAGTGTATTTGGATACAGATTGCAAGGAAATAAGTGACAGATGATCATATGGCTTGTGAATCAAATGATGTTTGGTTTAAATACAAGAATTAAAGGACATTACCTGCGGCTAACTATAATTAAACATGGCTAATGTTCAAAGATGTTTGTTGCACTAAAGTTTGTCATCATATTTAGGGATTTATTATCACATGACATGACTGCTACAGTTTACGAAACCACTAACCTTTTCTCCGGGTTTACCATGAAGCCCTACTGAACCCTCTTTGCCTTTAACACCCTGAGAAAAACAGACCACAACATGTTGCATTATTAAACACCCTATTAAAACTGAACTAGCCATTTAAAATGGATCCAAAGTGCAATAAAGACCACCGAAGAAAAGAAAATCTCCGAAATTGGAAAGAATTTAGTCTGGAGAACTGGGTGTCATGTAATATATCAATTGTTTGGAATTTTATGAAATCATTCCTTACACTGATTCCAGGTTTTCCGGGTTTGCCAGTAAGTCCTCGGCTCCCTGTTTCCCCCTATTTAATAGCAGTCACAGGTCATATTCTTAGACATTAATGTCAGAACGGACAGTTTGAAAATTTTGTCAATTAGGAAAGGAAAATAAGCTAACTTTTTTTCCAATGGGACCTTGAATTCCTGGTGCGCCAGGCTTTCCCTGTAAACCCTGTTCAGAGATCAAATTTAATCAGCTGTGTTGTCCATGCAGCAATGGCTAACAAATGCATAAAAGAAGAAGATACCCGGGGTCCTCGATGTCCTCTGTCTCCATTTGATCCCAATAGTCCAGTTGATCCCTGTAACACAATTTAAAAATAACTTTTTGCTAATGAAAAAAGAAGGGGAAAAAAAGAGTATTTGGGGCTCTTACATGTGCACCTTGAGTGCCGTCAGGTCCTCGACTGCCTGAAACACCCTGCAGACCCTAATTGATAACAAACCGAGCTAGATAATCCACTTTAACATGTACTGTAGTTAAGCAATGTCATGTTTAATATGCATATACTGCTGGAGTATGACATACATTTGACTGACCACTAGGGAATTTGATATACCTTTCGGCCTTTAGATCCAGTCCCTCCAGGCACTCCTGGTCTACCCTGTTCCATAGTAAAATAAAAACAATGTCAGCAACCTGCTTTAGTGGGTTGATCAGGCCTTAAATGTGATTGTCTAAAATAATCCTGATCAAAGAAATGAGAATAGCATGGACAACAGTTATTTGTCAAGATATAGTTTTTAAAAATGAAATTGATTTGTTATTGATTCAATTTCTTTCACATAAAATACAGACATTACTTTGATTTTATTCAGCACGAAAACTAAAATATTGCTGTTAAATGCAGTTTATGTCCAGTCTTTAAAGAACTTTCAACTGCTTTAAACTTGACAGGAAACTTGTTCAAGCGCTCAAATAAAAAAGGCTTTCTACTTGTCGCCAAGGAGGACACCGGCACCCAAAAACATGGCGGCCCAACTCAACCTAAACAGAATGTGAAGAGAAGCGCACAGTAGCTGCTTATGAGGCCCTTTATATATCGCGTCTTTTGCGTGCATGTGCATATTGAGAGCACATATTGCATGCGCTGGCATTTCCCAGACGCACCTAGATAAAAACCGTCCCGTGACAAGAACTGACCGATCAGCTTTATACTTTGAAATACACACATTTCGGTAGACTAATTACCTCAGACAAACACAGAACAGTCAAAGACTGCAGTGCTTTTTCATACTATGGATGTCAATGATTACAGGTATCCAGTTTTCTTATTTTGTGCAAAAAAAAAAAGACAAACAGGTGAATAATGCGAGAATGTCAAGCTGCTGTGATCAACCCTTGGTAATGTTTTTCAGAGGATATTAAAATTACTGAAAGAGCTGCAGTTTACTTTGTATTTTTATATGTATATTTTATGTTTTAAAAGTAACTTCAAAGTAATCAGTAATCTGATTATTTATTACATTAAGTAATCAGTAATGTAATCAGATCACAATGTTCCAGTAGTAATCAGTAATTTGTAATCTATTACTTTTTAAAAGTAACTTTTTTTGAAGTAACACTGCAAACAAATATACTGTTCTATGTCTTATATTTAATGTTTTTATATAATCATATTTTATTTACTGAATACTATCTATTAATAATATTTTTTATTAAACACAAATAGCATTTATTACATCTGTATTGACTGAATTAAATTAAGAGTCAAAAATAAAACCAATAATTTAATAGTATTGAAATGGGTGCTTGTAAATCAGAATCAAATCAAATCAAATCAAATCAAATCAAATCAAATCAAATTAAATTAAATTAAATTAAATTAAATTAAATTAAATTAAATTAAATTGAATTGAATTACATTAAATTAAATTAAATTAAATTAAATTAAATTAAATTAAATTAAATTAAATTAAATTAAATTAAATTAAATTAAATCAAATTAGGGTATTTAAATCATTATCCATCTCTATATTCTAATATATTTAAAAAGTAATGATTTGATGTACAAGGGAACCTTAATACCAGGCTCTCCTTCAGGTCCTTGGTCTCCTGATTCTCCCATTTCTCCCTACAAAACAAACACTTAGAATAGCTTAAAATGAATCTACTCAAACTTTTGTGTTGTCCTCGCTCTTGTAACTATGACAAAGTTCATGAAATAAAAGCTTACCAAAGGACCTGGAAAACCTGAAAATCCTCCTTGGCCAATCCGACCCTTTTAAAGTAGAAAGCTATTTTAATGTATTGTTGATTATGTATGCAAAATCTGATATATAACATTTGTCAACATCATCTGTCACCTTATCACCTCGTGGTCCAGGGACACCTTGGATACCAGGTGAACCCCTTTCCCCCTAAAGATGCCATTTAGATATGATTACTGTGTTTGTCTTGCATTGCAACACATTTTGGCAAATATCTTTGACATTAGTACCTTAGGTCCATCTTGTCCCTGTCTGCCAGGCTCTCCAATAAATCCATCATTGCCCTGAAGAAACAAAGCAATGCTTTGGCTATATGTGTTCTGTTTTTAACCAGATAAAAAACACCTGTTTCTCACCGTGGGTCCTGGTAAACCAGCAGGTCCATTAGAACCAGTCTCTCCCAATACCCCGGACTGGCCTCCTCTACCTCTGAAGCCTTGTTTACCTGGCAGACCTGCAGCACCCTGATGAAAACAAACCACACATAAACAAAGATGCATTCGCTATTCGCTTGCTCAACATTTACTTATTAGTTTTCCAATCCTCCAATTATTAACTTATTTATGTTTCATTATTCTGAGGACAGCATTTATCTGGCTATGCATAAGTATTGTTTACTTGGCCAGAATTGTTGTAAATAGTTCAGTGAACTCACTTGATCTCCCTTTTGGCCAGATTCTCCTTTCATTCCACGACGTGCTTTTAAACCCTGAAGGTTTCAAGCAAAGACAACAAGAAAAAATTTCACAAAAGGTAGCTTCTCTTAGTTTGGGCAGCACAATGTGATTAAAAATTCCGTTTGGGATTATTGTGACAAGTGCTGTAGCCTGCTGTGATTTTATTAAACTGTTACATAATAAATATTTAATACCTCATAATTCTGTTGTTAGAAATCAATCAACAACTTATCAAGCATTACATATTTATACAAACAGAGGGAAATGTAGATGAATGACAACATACTGAAAATGCTCAATGTATATTTAAACTAAAATTCTAAATGTGTACAACATAATGTAATAAATCATAATAAAAGTGTTTAGAAACAATCAGACGTCTAACATATTAAGGAGCTGTTTGAGGTAATCTTACTGGATCACCTGAGGGTCCAAGATTTCCTGGTTTTCCAATGGCACCCTAAAACAAAAAAAAGTGGCTCTGAGCTTTGTTTTATTATCATAGAAGCAAATGAAATGGAGTAACAAAAAATTTTGAATAAATTAAAAGAGATTGTAAATAATTCATAACTCTTCATTAAGAGTGAACCGCAGGCTTACTTTTATACCCGGTGGTCCTGGACCTCCAATGCTTCCCTCAATTCCTACATCTCCCTGTTTCAATAAGAAATACATTTCATAATTAGAGTTCAACTGTGTATATAATTTACAAGTTTTCGGAATATAATATTGGATGCACATACACGCTCTCCTTTTTGACCTGGTGGTCCATCACCTCCTGGTTTTCCCTGAAGAGATTTAATAAGATAAGCAGTTATAGTTTGAGAGAGGAAGGAAAGAAAAACACACTCAGTGACTATACCGAATTTCAGATTGATTTAACAACTAGGTTGTATTCAAGTGTTTTCAACATCATTGATCACAATGCAGAGGTTAGCACTGTCACCTCAGAGCAAAAAGGTTGCTGGTTTGATTCCTGGCTGGGACAGTTGGCATTTCTGTGTGAAGTTTGCATGTTCTCCCCAGTCCAAAGACATGCGCTATGGAGGAATTGGATAAACTAAATTGGCCGTAGTGTGTCTGTTTATGGGTGTTTCCCAGTACTGGATTGCGGCTAGAAAGGGCAGCTGCTGCGTAAAAGATTAGCTAGAATAGTTGGCGGTTTATTTCACAGTGTGCGACCCTTAAAAAATAAAGGACTAAGCCGAAGGAAAATGAATGAATGAATAAATACAATGTTCATTCACACTAATTGGCCACTTTATTAGGTACACTTTGTTAGCACCAAGTTGAACTCGTAGCATAGATTCAACAAGGTACTGGAAACATTTCTCAAAGATTTTGAACTATTGTACACGGTTACATCAGGCAGTTGCTGTAGATTTGTGATCTGCACATCCATGATGCAAATCTCCCATTTAACCATATCCTAAAGTTGCTCTATATTAAACTGAACCTACGTTTACATGTGTTACCCAACACTTGAGCAGCAACAACACTACAGTGTACTCCATTATCGTTGAGTATGTCTGTTTGCACTAGACTACACTTCCCTAATTACGCATTATGCACAAGCATGATGGCATCGTTTTCATAGACTCAAGTTTTGAGGTGTTTTCATAGACACAACAACAGCAGAATCTTCAAAAGTGTACTCTTTGTAACCCATTTTCAGATTTATGTGCATTAAGTCACAAAAAAAGCCATTGTCATGTAAATAAAATAAAAGGTTTTAGGCTGAAGATGCTGTTGTGTAAATGCTTTGTGACATGCGGTGCTATTCTGCTGGAAGAAATCATCACAAAATGGGTAGACTGTGGTCATAAAGAGATAGATACTGTTCAGCATCATTATTCAAACAGACTGGGGCGTTTAAACTGTGATACATTTCAACTGAAGGACCCAAAATGTGCCAAGAAAATTGCCATTACACCATTAGCAGCCTGAACTATTAACAAAAGGCAGGGCGGAAGCATGCTTTAATGTTGGTTAGATCAAATTCTGACCCTAAAATGTCATGCTATGAAGTGCATAGTGAATGTATGTCTACATATGTCCAAACTAGAACAATTTCTTGTAATATAAGACAATGAGAGGTCTTGTTCAGAACGGGGCTTAACCAGAATAAAACATTCATGTAAAGGTAATGACAAAACATAAATACATTCAAGAAATACTGTATGTTAAAATGTACAGTAAACACAGCACCTGCGGTCCAAGAGCACCCAGAATACCAGTAACACCATCATGCCCTTCCTCTCCCTGAAATTTGTAACAAACAAGCTATTAGAATATATAAAGTAAATAAATCTATTGGAAATAAAATACTGACTTTACACTGGAAAAATAATTACTGGTTTGCCAGGTGGTCCCCTTGGCCCAATCTCGCCTAGAAGTCCCTGTGAAGAGAATTACAATTCAGATTTCACAGGTTTTAGTTCATGAATTTCTATGGCTTTCCTTTAATAAGAGGGCTTGTAAATAGCAAAGTGTTTCTTACAGGAGGTCCGCTGACGCCTGGAACTCCCTTCAGCCCTCTCGGCCCTGTGTGTCCCTTTAATAGTTAAAAATTGAGTTATGAACATGACAAATTGAGATGTCATATTTGGATAAATTAAGTTTTGTAACATACTGGTGGTCCTGGTGATCCTGTGAATCCAATACCCCCTTTCTGTCCCTGGGAAGGAGATCATTACAGAAATAAAATGACCAGTTTGCTAATCATTTTTATATGGTTGAGTCAAATAAAATGACATACAGATGCACCAGGTGGCCCCATGAATCCCCGTGGTCCTCTGGGTCCGGGCAGCCCCTGTTGTTGTTGTTTTATGCATGTTATAAAAATGTTTTGACCTTGTAAATTCTTTATGTACAACCACCACAGACCTTTTCATTAATATATACTGTATATTCAAAAGTTTGAGGTCAGTATGTTTTTTAATGAATGCTCATTCAGGAAGGATACTTGTGTGAAAGATATTTTTTCTCTTTTCATTAAAGAGAACTTATTATGCAAAAATCCTTTATTAAGAGTAGCAGTGTGTTAATATAGCCAGCCTATAATCATAAAAAAAACTATTAATCACTTTTTTATAATCACACTTGTTTAAAAACACTCTCTAGGAACCCTTTGATTGACATTCCCTTTTTTTACATCATTGGGGAAAGCCCCGCCTATTAGGGACGCTCTCTCCCTCATTAGCATAAACAGCCCTGAGTGAGAAGCAGCCATCCACTATTATGCTGTGTTCACACCAGATACGACACATATAAATAATAATAAATAAATTGTAATTTCAAGAGTTCACACTTAGCTCATGACTTACGAAAGCTTATTTGGCATGCTCTCCCGGGAGAGAGCCCTGAGCTCAAGGGATCCTCGAGTCCAGGGCTCCCTCCCTTTGTGGGGCGAGGGGAGACTCAGGGCGATCTCAAACTCCCCCGCAGCTAAGGCCAAGGTGAAGTTCCTGAGAGCGAGACGACTAGAAAAAGAGACTTAGGTTTAAGTGGTCTATAATGCAGAGCATATTTAGGCTTTGAGAGAAAACCGAAACCACGGGGGAAACGTGCCAGCTCCACGCAGAGACACCAGATGCTCAAGTAAGGAGCCAGAGCCATTGGAATTCCTACTGGTTGCTGGGCCGCCGAGCCACCTATTTTGGATAAAGGTGGAAGAAGGGGGAGGATGGGGGTTTCTTCAGACGAAGATAGTTGTAAATGGAAAAGGAGGATATATATAGGAACTTGGGATCCTTTGATTGGAGGATCATGATTAGCTAATATGAGCCAGCTGGGTTAATCATGAGTGCGTACTCCTCTCGAAATTTTTATAAATTAAACTTCACTTTGCACGCAAATTGATGCGTGAACATTTTGAGTTTATTTGCTTCATTTGCGCGTCAAATGATTCATTGCTAAATAGCAAACATGGATTTTACTAAGAAAATAGCTGTGTTTGAGGCTTAAGGAAGGCTGAACAACAGCGTAGATTCGTTTGGTGCTGTGTCTAGGTCCACTAGATCCTTTTAGCAGTGCACCCAGCTCTGTGAGTTCATCAACTCCTCTAGAAACTGTACCTGGATGATGGAGGCTTTCAGCGGTGCTTCAGACTGAGCCCAGGCCAGTTTGATAAACTGTTGTCCTGCATGTGTCAGCAAGAGGATTTTCCTTCTGGACACCAACAACAGGCACTACGCCATAATCATGCCCCAAAAAGAACAAGCTCCTGATTGGTTAACGCAGTGCGAATGTCCACTGAAGTTCAGATTTTCTAACTTGAGTGATATGCGTGTTAATTGCGGCAATCACATCAAACGTGTCAAACACACAAAATGCTAAACTTGCAGCACTTAATTTGAGCAAAACACATCATTCGCACCGCAGGATATTTATTTGTGTCTTTGCATTGACTTAACATGTAAATCACTCGCACTTGACGCTTCATCCGCCTCTGGTGTGAACGCAGCATTAGAGTTTTCACACTGTACCTGCTGAAGATAATGTCAGCAACTGAGAGGATTATAAATGTCGAGTTTAGAAAAGGCATTTGATCAAAGCCTAAAAAGGGCGGATTCAAAGAGTTAGAAAAAAATGATTTGTGAGGTATTTTGAGCTTAAACTTTACATAAAATACTCAAGGGACATTAGAGACTTATGTTACATCTTGGTAAAAGGGGCATAGAAGATCCCTTTAATATTAATTATAATAATAATATATCTTCTCCAAGCACCAAATATCAAGAAAGCATCCTGAATGATCACTGAGGGCTGCAGTAATGACTACTAAAAATTTAGCTTGACAATTACATTCATGAATCCCATTTTAAATTATAAATGTAACCAAATGTACACTACATCTTATTTTAAACTATAATATTTTACAGTAGCTTTTAATGTATTTTAATCAAATGAATGAGGTTTTTTTTACAAAAACATAATGAAAAACCTTTATAATAATGATGCTGTGTAACAGTGGTGTACAGACAGAGGAATACAAATCTTGTAAATAAATCAGAAACAATCAGAAGCATTCTTTTGCTACTTACATTATATCCTATTACCCCAGCCAGACCCTTCTCTCCTTTCTTTCCCTAATAAAACAGAGTTGACCGGTCAATTTCATCATATGCACTTATAGTGGAAGTCTGAAAAGCAGAGGAAGCTTTGTACAGTACCTTCTCTCCTTTCATTCCTTGGGTTCCCTGAGGTCCTTTCTCCCCAAGATCACCCTAAACACATCAGTTACACTTGCCTTAAATTGGAATAGTGCAATATGCAGCGTAAAAGAATCAATTGCTTATTTTGCTTTACAGCTGATTTGTCGATAAACACCCTAAGGGATTTTATGCTTACGTTATGGTTAGGTACATGTGGACGTTCAACAGAATTGATTGTATTATCATGTAATGTGTTTAGTAAGAGTACTATGAAATCAATTAGTCAAAATATTTCCCAGATAAAGTGGATGAGAAATGGCAGAACATGACACATGGCGAAAGTTCAAATTTGTTGTAAAACTAAAGCTTTCAAAGACACTTACTGGCTTATTATGAAATTATCCATAGAAAAAGTCTGGTCATACTTCAATTCAATTCAATTCAATTCAACTGTTTATTGTCATGTGCACAGTAAGGAAACACGTCTCCCTGTACAATGAGATTCTTACTTTGCCGTCCACAGTGAAGTCATACACACAACATACACATCATACACAACATACACATAAATACACATATATACACAGAAGTGACTGAAGATTGATTGTAAAATGTAAGTTTGTAAATGTAATAAATATCTATGAAAGTAAACAATATGTAAACCTGATTTGAGTAATGAAACAGATGTAAACAGTGTACAGTGTTTTTTTTTTTTTTTATTGTGCTTATTATGCAAAAAGTGCCTAGTGCAATTGGATTATGTGCAAAAAAAGAATAAAAAATAAAATAGTGCAAAATGGGATGGAGTATGTAGTGTTGTACTGAGCAGAAAAAGAGACTGTTATGTGCGTTGGTTATCATACTTACCCACTCACCTAGCTCCCCTTTATTGCCTTTCTCTCCATCATAACCTTTTGGTCCCTATATAAAAACACACACTCACAAAAATCTGTACAAATACAGTATAGACTTGTGTTTAACATGAAAACCCTTATAGTAAACGCAGGCTCATTCTGAAAACGTACAGCTATATACATTTCAGCAGACCACCAAATACGTCCCAGGAGCTATGATTTTTGCAGTTTTTGTTTTTTTGAGAATCCACAAGAGGCTGCTGTGTATGCTTTTTGAGATCTCAATTTTCACTTGCAAGTGCCATTTGTGCCTGCTGTTCTCTCGTAAACCCAGCAGAGGCCGCTGTCGACTGACTGTTTGGCTGACAGACTCATCGACTGACACACCCTCCTCCTTACCTAAACCCAACCAATTGTATTGATTGACCCACTCACCTACTTCCCTAAACCCAACCAACAATTTTCAAAAGCAATCCAGAAAAAGAAAAGCCTTTGCCTGATTTTTACCATGTTTTCTAATTTTACCACATCCTCACCCTGTTTTTTACTTCTTTATTTAAATTTTTTTGAAATTCTGTTTTTGTTGTACTTGCTTAATAGAATCGTTCTTTGCCAGACTCAAACCCCATCGTTAAGGTTAACTCCTCTTTGCGTCTCAAGTCTGCCGACGTACATGGCGAGCTAAAGAGACAAACTAACAGCGGGAAAGAGTAAGCATAATGCATACGGAGGTAAGAGGTCAGCTGGTAAGCATGAAAAGGAACGCCGTCATACAGCCCAGTAGCGATCGTTTTAAAGAAGAAATGCAGCCATATATACTTCTGGCTACATAATTCACGATCTCCAGAAATGTATGTAGGGCTGCGTTTTTTTAGAATGAGCCTTTGTTGCTTATACTACAGTATATTCCCACAGGTCAGACATACAGTTGTAGTTTTAGTTGAATCTGTGGTCATTGGTGATTTTTAAAATGCATGTCAATGGCTATTGACATTTTGAGATTCAAGAAAATAAATACAGGCAACGCAAAAATCAATACTCATGGCTCCTTGCAATATACTGAATTCTTGTGAAGTGAAATTATCAGTCTTGGTAAGAAAATTAACATTATTTAAAACATAATTATCTTTTATCCACATTCTGAGTGAAAGTATCTACAACAGTTTTTCTTAAACACTCTATTTAAAAACATAATATCTGAAAACTAATTAAGAAAACTCTTGTGTTAACGCAACATAAAAACATGCTTTATGAAAATTAATTGGGTAATCTGGCTTTGCACATAATCTCTTCATTTTTTTCTACACTCGAAAAAATACGTTATTCGTTATCCACTTAAATTCATAAAATTAGTAAGTTAACTTTAATTCCTTCATGTTGTCCCAATACAAATCAATTGTGTTTTTGTAGATTTTTCCTGTTTATGTTTTTATTTGTGAACATTTATGAAACACCAAGGGCCACAATTTCATTAATGTTCTACTGAAAACAAATGCACTTGCATAGCCTGGAGAGTGACTAAATTAAAATAATTTTTGCATTTCTTGTGTGAACTGTAAAACAAATTAATACGCAAACACTTTGAAAAGATGCTACATGAAGTATTTAAATTCCCGTAAGCCTTACATCTTCCCCAGGTGGTCCTGGTGGGCCTGTTTCCCCATCCTTCCCAGCAGTGCCCTCAGGTCCTGCTCTCCCTGGTGGTCCTGGCATTCCAATTGGTCCTATTCTCCCCTAGTCAAACATTTCATACAGTCTCCTTATTATCATTTGATAAATACTAGAGGTCTACATTTTCATATTATACAAATTATTCATATGAACTTTCAAGATTCTTAAGGAATATTCAGGCAAACAAGTGACCTCTTAAAACAGTTTAGACTGAACCATTAGTGCTTTGACAGACAGGTCACGTGACCATGACAAAATGACAGATTTAGTACATCTGAATTCCATTCATACTGCTCGCATTGATACTGTATAGTATGTACTTTTTTAACGACCAAGTAGTACATTTAAATTAAAATGGAGTAACTTAGAAGTAGGCAGTTTCGGACGCAGCCTCTGTGTCGTCCTAATGAAGTTCCTGTCTTCGAGATTGAGGGTTGGCTCCGCCTTCAAACCTCATTCCTAAGGAATACACCTGTCGTTGACTTCTTTGTACCCTTTAAAAACTGTATGGCTGGCAATTTGAGGTGGGGTGCTTCATTTGACTGAACTCTTTTTCTTGTTTTTTTTTTTTATTTATATCGAATTACTTTTGTACATCCAACATCCTACATTACATATTCATCGATGCACATGCCTCTAAAACACCACTGATTGCTGACTGGTACATTTACATATTTTTGCTTTAATTTGTGTCCCAATGCAACCATAACATGTTTCTTGCATTACTTTTTTTTATCATTTTGGCTTTCTTGAGTGTCCCTGTTTTTATTAACTTACGTCCTTGTGTGCCATGGGGCGTAACAAGGTTACGTAAAGGTGCGGGATGCTTTTCTTCTAAAACACAAAAATACAATAATATGCTTGCAGATATTTAAGAAACATGTCAAGTGAACATTCTTGTCTATCTGAAAAACAATGATGAAGTCAGATATTCTGCTTTGAGTAACAGAAAATTTTTCTCTTTTGCTTATTTTAACCCACCCAAGTTTTTCCAATTATATTTCAGCACTTTGGGTTGCCTTGTTGGAAAACCGCATGTTTCATTCATTCATTTATTCATTCATTCATTCATTCATTCAGAAAGGCTCTCAAAGCATGTGTGCGTGACCGAAATGCAACCTCCGGTGGACTGTAGCAAATGAGACGCAAATTCAGAGTTCCACATGAGGCTATGAATTAGCAAAAAATACAATACGTTTAAACATTAGGTGAGCAGGTTACATTCAAACCTTGCATCCTAAAAACACGCTACATGAAAAGATTTGTAGTGATAAGCAATTTGGCTGTTTACACCAGCCGAAACACGACAAAAAAATTAAATACAGCCATTCAGAAGCACAGAATCTGCACTCACTCATGAAATGGTAAGGTTTATAATCTAATTAATACATATTAAACCTCTTTAACAGTTTTAAATGTACATGCTTCATCACTATGTCTTGGTTTTGAGTTACAGTCCTAAATTAATTTTATTTTGAAGATCCGAGGTGTAGGGTCCACCCAGTTGGCCCAATGCCGGTGTCCACTGGTGGATGAAGGTTCACTGCATGTTCGGTCTTTACAGTGCACAATGTTGATTTATATTAACTTTACTCATATCTGACTCCAATTTTAGTATGAGGTGGTTTAGAATATTAATATATTTATCCTCATTTTATCTGACTCCAATTATAAAACATTAAGAAGATTATATCAATATGTAATTTAGATAAATGTTTGAACCGTTTGTCTTCACTAGTAACTATTACATCCGTTCATTCGGGTGCTCATGTCGCTCAGAGAAATCGCCTCGGCCGAAGGCGTCCCTCACGGTCACACTCCGGTCAGTCTTGAATATTAAATAGAGGTAAATTGACTAATACTTTAGATGGCCGCTACCAGCGCGCTCGTTCTAAAATACTTTAGTTAGTCCCGCTTAGATGTACACCTTTGAGTTAAGACAATCATCATTTCTAATTAGAGGTTAGGGCATTAATATAAAAGTACCCGACTACTGGACTCTATAGTAACTTTGGTTTTCACCAAGCCCATGGTTTCCCATATGAACTTAATTTAGAATAATATTACCTTCAAACAAAGGTCGGGTACCCAATCTAGGTTAGTCGTGCAACACCTTGTTGACCTAGACGGAAGTTATCGCCCTTTCCACCTAAGTACACATGAATCAATATCAAGAGTCAGCCGGATCGCTAAAACACAATTAGTGTGCCAATGCTCCATCTCAATTGGATTTTAGTCCGTCTACTGACCTGATGCAAGACGTGCGGAAACAAGGATACAGCGTAATCTACTTGAATTAATAATTACAGAGTGAGCAAAATATGGTCAAACATTACAATTTATTAGTCAGGTAAATGTATTATGCCAATTCAATCAGTCAATTCATAAATGATCAATACAAAACATCAAATTATCAAAGATAAATCCAAGATGCATTCCTGACTTTGTAATATACATAACATGGCGCAAGCCATGTTATGGGCTGATCTGGTTAGGCAGAATCGCCCTGAGCTTTTCTTAGACTTTACCTTAAATAATCCAAGAATTCCCTCAAGGAAGGGGGTGTGTATATAAAAGTCACACCCTTCACAGTGGTTCAAAAGATGCCTGAAGTTATATATTTATTGTTCTGATTATGTCTATTTCTGAGAGAATGAGACCATTGTACCAATCGCACTGAGACATTTCAAATGATATCAAACATGATAGTTAAAGTCAGTTTGGTTAATTTAAAACATTCAAATGACCATATGCGTGAGTTGGGGGGATGAAGCTGAGTTCAGCAATCTCAGATGCAAATGCAGCAGGAACTGGTTTTTCCCGCATTCCCCACTGGTGGGTTGTGAAGTCACCAGTCTCTGTTTTCAGCTCATGTTTTGAATTGTCAAAGATATCAGAATATTTGCAATATTTCAATTCTTACAGAGGTAAACTATAAGCAGCTGCTTTCAGCATATAGCAATAAATGTCTCACATTATTAGCATTTAACACTAAATAAAGCACATGAAGTGTGCGTAAGGTGATTGTTTCTACAAGAAATAGAAGCTATTTCTAATGTATCAATTAGAGGTGTTGGTTAGAACAGAAATTCCTTTTAATATGTAGAATATTCCCTCTTTTGTGTGCCGTTGCTTTTATATAGAACACGACTTAAATCAGTCTTTATCCTCAATCATCAGATTATTTTTTTGGACCTCAATCTAGTAACCTGCTCTTGCGTTTGTTTTGATCCAGGAATGCAATACCTGGTTTAACCATAGGGTGTCAAACATACTGCACCTTTAAAAAGAAAAAAAAATAATAATTCCCTGAAATGGCCTTTTCCTGCATGGACCAATGTGTAACAAAATTGGATAATATTAGCCTATGATTGTATTATGTTACAATGGTTGAAATAACATTTAGAAAATCTTTGAAGTAATCTTTTTTCTTTAAAAAAAGCTTGTGAATATGTGAGAATGCATGGTGAGGCAGGCGGCAGAAGTTCAGATCAATGTCATCTGAATCGCTCTGTTCCCAGGATACCAAAGATTAAACAACAAGTGTGCATGAGTCAAACAGTATGGTTGAGCTTCTGAATCAGTGGAACAATGTGACTCTTGTTGACCCACTAAGGCTGTCAAACATTTACAGACCTGATGTCTGCGCTTGGTTACATCACACTTTTATAAAACTCCACATGGTGTATTTTTTTTGATGTAACAGTGATCTAGCATTTATTTGATGGTTATGTGATGAAAAGAGGAGATACCTACGAGTTTCCCTTGCTCCCCTTTCCTCCCTTGTTTGCCTGAAACTCCAGAAGGGCCCTAAAACAGGTATAAAAATGTGAAAATGTAGAAATATCACATGCAGCATACTACAGTGTTTCTCAACCACGCTCTTGGAGGACCACCAACACTGCATGTATTGGATGTCTCTTTTGTCTGTCGAACACTCATAACAGGTCTTTTAGTATCTGCTAATTAGCTGATGATCTGAATCAGATGTGCTTTGTTAAGGAGACTGGAACATTTGCAGAGCTGGTGGTCCTCCAGGAACGTGGTTGAAAACCACAGGCATATAAGAATTTGACTGGGGTTTGAGAAAAAGAAAAGATATAAAAAGTAATTAAAATATACATCTCTGTTGAAATCATAGGGAGATGATATGCATATCATTTATTTTTTTTACTTACTGGTGGTCCAGCATCTCCCGGTGGTCCCATTGGTCCTGGTAATCCCTTTACTCTCTAAAGACAAATGTTGTATCTCAAACTGTTGAATATAGTATCTTAAATATAGCTGGCAGTGGTAGTTAAATGTTGAATGAATAATAACTCACAGGCCACAGTGACACTAGTTTTTTGTAGAACTTCTTGCTCTGCAAACCAAGTGAAAAACTGAAATAAAAATAAGCATGTATGCCTGCAGGCAGCACTTCAATTTCAGCTGTTCGCATAATCAGTTGTGGGTTTTTTCAGACTAAATGTCAGCAAGATATCAAAATGTAAAATGATTTCAAATGAGCAATATTATAAACGTAGCCTAATATACATTTCTGGAGAGCGTCAAATGATATGTTTGGTATGTTTCTTTGCAGATTTTTTCGCCAATCCACCAGAGGGCGCTGTGTATGCATATTGAGATCTCAGATTTCTCTCGCGAATACCATGCCTGCTATTCTCACATAAATCCACCAGAGGCTACTGTCGACTGACCCATTCTTCACCTTCCTGTGAAGGTGCCGCTTCCTGTGGTCCCTTTTAAAGACAAAATGCAGCTATACGTACTTCTGGCTACATAATTTGCAACCTCCAGAAATGCATATAGGGGTACGTTTTCAGAATAAGCTTATTGCTGTTATGCACCTTAAATGCTTGCCATTCTTCTTCTGATGAGTACCAGACAAAAATAGCAGGCATGCCAGGAGGCCCGATTGGTCCCCTGTACCCTGTCTCACCCGTTCGACCCATCACTCCTGCATAACCCTGTGTCACACACAATTAAGTATTCATTCTTTAGAGCTAAATAATTAAAATGGAAAGATTTTGTTTTTACAAAATAAAATATATTTAGATAAAAAAAAAACATTATAATGTAAATGCAATTAATGTACAATTAATACATACTTTGTCTCCTTTGTCACCCGGTAGGCCTGGTAAACCAGGTATACCTGGATATCCCTAAAATGAGACATGGTTATAATATAATAATATATATTAATAATATAATAATATATATTAATAATATAATATAATATAATATAATATAATATAATATAATATAATATAATATAATATAATATAATATAATATAATATAATATAATATAATATAATATAATATAATATAATCAATCCACTCATCATTTCAATTTTCAAGCAAGTATTAAGTCAAAATCAGAAGATTTGATAAGCTTTGTTAACATCTTTTAGTTAACTCTTCTACCACAGGAGGGCGTAAGTGCTCAACTAATGGCTGCTTTGTCACTACATCACTACAACCATCTCTCTCTCTCTCTCTCTCTCTCTCTCTCTCTCTCATCAGTGATGTACTGCAAAGTATTGCGACACTGCTAAAGCATTCTAGAGTTTGCCTTACCCACATGCAATAAATAAACAACTCAGCAGCGTAACGTACAATAACGTAACACTATAAGTAGTTCACAAATGGTGCATATCATAACTGCTACTCTCTCTTGCTCTCTTCGTTTCTAGCGCTGCCATTATAAAATAATTTCTGTAACCCTGTTCCCCTATTCAGGATGATATTTCTCTCTCAATGTCACTGAATGAGTCAGTTCTTGTTCATAAGCTCCATTCACTAGAGGTAAATGACCCTCCTTCTCCAATGCTCCACACTTAATTGAATAATGCCTCTGCAAACTCAATTTTCTATAAAGGCTAGCAGAGATGACCATGTGGGTGAGAAACACAGGATAGGAGCAAGGAGAAGAGGATTTCTCTTCAATAATCATCTGGTTGTATTGACGCACTGCATTCAAGAGTTATATATGATAGAATCCTAGCAAAAGAGTAATAATTCTCTCTAACCTTCTCTAAAATGCTGCTTTTTGCTCACTTTTAAAAGCAGAATAGAAATGTTACATTGTCAGTGTATTAGTATATAGATATGGCAGACACTAAAAAACAGTTGTGAGGTAAATTTGAGGTGAAGTATCATCACAATGTTATTTCAGCAACCAATATTAATGTGAATATAACAGAAAATGAATGTATTATAAGTGAGATAAGTGTGTTTCATACCCTTGGACCTCTGAGGCCTGATTTACGTAACGGTCCTCCTTGTCTGAGTATGTTTCTGTGCAACTGATTGGCTGAGGGAAAAACATAATAAATGATTGATAAATAAATGAATACATTTAGCAAATCAATTCATTTATATAAGGAATAAATTAGTGAGACTAATTAGCATTGTTTATGTGCTGTTCTTAATAACTACAGTGGAGGAAATAAGTATTAAACATGGCACCATTTTTTTCAGAAAACATATGGCTAAAGGTGCTGCTGACTTGAAATTTTCACTGGATGTTGGTAACAGCCAAAGAAATCCATAAATGCAAAGAAAACTAATTAGTTTCCAAATCAAGTTATATTTATATAATTGCAGGGAAAAAGTATTGAACACAAAACCCAGACAGCAGCTAAAATCTCAAACTTCAGTAGTTTTTCAACAAGCCTCTGGTCTTCATCATTGTACAGTAATATCCGCTGCTTCAGTGCAACATCTACATTTGCAGGATGATGAAGATGAAACCACATTTCAGCAAGACAATGATCCAAAACACAGCAAAGGAAACTCTCAAATGCTTTCAGAGAAAGAAAATCAAGCTGTATACTGGCCCAGCCAATCATCTGACTTGAATCCAATATGAAATACAAAATAAAGCTAAGATTTAATAGATGAGACCCACAGAACCATCAGGATTTGTACACTCTATTAAAGTCTTCGGAAAAATCCTCACTCGTGAGCAATGCATGTGATTTCATTCTCCATATGAGAATCTTTTAGCTGCCATCACCAAAAAAGCCTTTTAGATAAAGTATTAATACATTTCGGTATTTTAACCAAAATCTGGTTCAATTCCATGTCAACAGCTCCATTAGAAATATTATTACTTGGAAAAAACATGACATGTTCAATACTTATTTCCCCACTGTATGAAGAAAAATTATATATAGAAAACTATTAATAATCTGTATATCGATCAAAATAAAAACAATAAAATTGTACAATTAAGCAATTATCATTGTATAAATATTATGTATTATTATTGTATTTATATTTAGGAATAAAATAATGATACTCAGATCAGGAGCCAATACCAAGTACCGATTCCTCGTCGTGGTGATCGGCCAATACTGAGTACTGATTCTGATGCTTCAAGCTTTATTTAACTGTAACATTTCATATAAAGCACATTTTCCCTCTAAGTATGATACTTAAGTGGAGATCTCTCCTTTCCTAAGAGAAATATCCCTTAAACACATCTCGTTTACCATTTAGTGTGTATATGTTATGGTCAGTGGATATGTTATGGTCAGAAGCAGTTTACAGAAAATATTGTATAAAAAAGATAAATAATTTGGTAAGAAAAATGACTAACAATGCAATCTGGAAACATTGCAGATGATTGAAGAATAATGTGCCTCAATGAAGAAAAAGATTGGAGTGCATATTTGATGCATAAGAAGTTAAAATGCCTCTTCCCCTGCTTGTTAACCCATAAATGAACACTTACAATTGGTTCATGTGATTGGCCAGATTAGCGAGTACCGATCATAATAAAATGTGAATATCGTCCGATTTCCAGCTGATAGATCAGAGCATGCCTAGAATAAAGCTTCTATTACTGTGACTAATGTAATTTAATTTTAAAAGTTATTTAAATAGTTTAATTAATTTATGATATCAAAATTATTCTTAATATTACAGTTTTTACTTGTGCTATTACTATTAGGGGAGGCAGGGTGGTTGGTATTCAACCAACATACGCTCATTCTGAAAACATAGCTCCATATACGTTTCTGGAGATCGCGAATTATGAATTATGTAGCCATAAGTATGTATGGCTGCATTTCCTTTTTAAAAGAAACACTACGGAGTGCCATGATGCCGTTTCTTTTTGTGCTCACCAGCTGACGATTTACCCCCGTAGTCAGCTTTGTCGCTGTTAGCAGTTTGTCCAATTGGCTTCGGACGAGGGCTTTTCTTTTTCTGGATTGCTTTTGAAAATTGCTGGTTGGGTTTAGGGAAATGGGTTGGCGGGTCAATCAGTACAATTGGTTGGGTTCAGGGAAGGAGGAGGGTGGGTCAGTTAATCGGTCAGTCAGTCAGTCAGTCAGTCAGTCAGTCAGTCAGTCAGTCAGTCATTCATTGTCAGTCAGTCAGTCAGTCAACAGTGGTTTAAACCGAGAACAGCAGGCACGAACGCACTCTAATGGGATCCAACTCCGGTGGATTCGCAAAAACAAAAATTGCAAAAACAAAAAAAACATTGATCCTGGGACGTATTTGGCACTCTCCAAAAATGTATATAGTGGTACAATTTCAAAATGAGCCTGTGTATGTATTTCACATATGGTTACATATTACATTTATAAAAATCAGGATTTCACAATGAACAAAACTATTAATTAATAATTTATTTTTTATTCTGATGTGCTTTTAAACTTACAGTTAGTCTCTGCTGTAGTATTTACCGCAGTGGAAAGATGTCCCGAACAGGTAGAAATATCCCCCATAAAACAATCATCAGACTCTGATTCTCTGTTCACAGGTGTTTTTTGTTCACTCGTATATCTGAGATCCTCCAGTCTAATCTGTGAAGTTTCGTCTGAATCTTTTATCTCTTGCTCTTTTCGCTCTTCTCCTCTTATCAGAGCACCACTAGTTTTCTCTCCTGCAGTCTTGGGACTTTCAGACTGATGAAAAAGCATTTGCGGAGTAATTGCCACTGGTTGCGTTTGCCCTGTTGTCATGGGTCGACTAGTTGCTCTGATTTCTTTAGTTTCCTCCTGTGACTTTACTTTATCGATTGAGGTGCTGCTCAGGTCTTGAGCTGCTGCAGTGACTGGATACTCAATGGATTTTGTCTGTGATGCATCATCTAAAGTATCGGCTGTGATTCTTCTAGATGTTTCTGTTGGCTTTGTGTTCATTGAAATGCTAATCTCTGTAGTGCTTGAAACCAGTGATGTTGGCAAGGGCTCAGTACTGTCTGCCATTGAATCTGTATTTCTCATGCTCATGGTTCGAGGTTTGCTTCGAGGGTCAAGCTTGTCTGTGGTCTCTGGAAAAACAGGTGATTGAGTCATTTTTGTGGGTTGGACTGTGAGAGATGAAATGAAAATCTTCTTTGCTTTCCTCCCACCTGCTTTCTCTTGGTCAAATCCAGAGGTTTCCGTCCAATCAGATTTCACAGAATCAGCAAGGCACTTCATTTTTTCAGAGCCTGTGTTATGTGATTGTTTCTGAGATTCACATATGAGTGTTTGTGAATCTGGAAATACCATTGGCACACTCATTTCAACAGGTGACAATGGAAATGACATCATATTCTTCTCTAAGTCAGTCTTCTCTGGTTTGGCTTTCTCCTCCATTGGAACAGATTCAAAGACAGCAACATTGGCTCCTTTTTCCAAATCTTCTGCCTTGAAAATTAAGCATAAATATACATATATTATAGTTTATGATTCATGATTTAATTGAACATGACTTATATCAATCCTAAAATCAACACTCGCTTTAAATGTTATCAATTGATTAAATGGGCATTATCAGTGGTTATCAGCTGATACATATGGGCCACTAGGGGCCTTCTGTGCCTACTAGTATCTTTTTATTTATTTTTATTTATGTGTTAATGTGTTTATTAATTATATTTATTTGTTACGTTTTCTAAACTTTTCACAACTCCACAAAGCAAGCCAGACCAGTAACAATAATTTTTTTAAATTAAATTAAATAAAATAAAATAAAATAAAATAAAATATAATTGGACATCTCTAAAAGATGGCAGGAGCCTCATCTCCCATTCAAAAGAAAACAACAACAAAGACGACTGACCAAAGAAAAAACGTAGTCAAATTTATTTGGCATTGACCTTTAAAGCAAACAAAAAAATCTTGCAAAGGTAAAGCCAAAACACCAAACAAAAAAACTGAACTAACCATCGCAAGTTTTTAACTAATTAAAACAAATTAAACAACATTCACTTACCTCCCAACTAACCACAATACACGAGAAAACATTAAAACAAAAAGGCCCCCTTGTCATCACATGTCAGTATATGTCTTTTTATATTGATCTCAATAATAGTCAACACTCAGAGTTAAATTTGATAATATCTCTGAGCAAATGCAACATAAGTTTTTACAAATAAACAAAACAAGCTGGGAGAGAAGAGACTGCCCAAACGATCTTCTAGTCCAGTTTAAATAGACTTCACCAACATGCTGGCAAGCTTGCTGGCTACGCTCATAATGAATCCTGTTGAAAAGACAGCGGACAGAAATGGAGAAACGGATAGTACTTGTTGGACCAAAGTAATTTAATCAATTCATGGTCTCTATAAAAGCAATATTTTTGTTATGATCCCCAGCGATCTAGCGGCTGCAGATCTTTGGTTAACACGCAGATAGTCAAAGAACTACAATTGCATCATTATATGGACTACAGATCCAGTCATGCACCGCTGACACGCGCCTGTTCTGGATTCCGCTGATTGCACACACAGCCAGCCAGAGTATTGTCAAGGACTTTAAAAACAGCATACACACAAGCAATGCGACGTTGTGACATTATGACGCGTTTCCTTTGCCTTGCTGTGTTTTGACCCTCGCTTTGTTTGTTTGTTTGTTTGTTTGTTTACATTGTCTGCTACCTGCCTTTTGACCATCTGCCTGTTTATTGACCACGACTCTGATTGCTCATATACATCTGTTTGTTCCAGTGTTGACCATTCTACTAATAAACCCTGCATTTGTATTCCCACTTCCTTTGTCAGTGTCCCAATCACATTACAATTTTTTTTTTTTTTCCCTTGGGCAGAAAAATTTTGATTTGTATTAAATAGCATTTTTAGTTTCAACCCAAGTCAAAACTATAATCTGAGAAAGAAAATCAAAATTAAGATGTAAAAAATTACTATTTAAGTTTCAGTGCAGGTTAAAGGCATAGATTTAGTGATAGAACATCCAAAACTATGCTGAACATGCTTCTGCATAAATGTAATGTTGCTGTTGTTGTCAGCTTAGTGCTTGTGAAAGAGTCAAAATAGAAGCAGAAACTCCTCAGCAGAACACCATGGCCAGATGTTGTGACATCATATCCTGTTTTTGGGTAATTTAGATGACTCTGGTATATTTCATTTAATTGCATTTATATTTCACTCAAACTGCACCAGAAATCATCTGGAAAAGTATTGAAGACGATCTTTTCAGAAGTCTCAGTCTGTTTGTTTTGGATGGCAGGGTTCAAACCTTTTCAAATAAACCCTAATAAAACAGAGGTTACTCAAACCAAGCCTGTCAAGTGTGAAGAGACACTGCATGCCCTGAGTGACACATTTGTGTCCAAAGTAAACTGTGTTTTATCTGCCTCTAAAGATAGCACACTGATGTCGGCTGATTCATGTCCCCTTAGTAGACAATTCTGGAAAAACACATAAAAATACATTGCTGACCAAACAGATTCAAAGCCATTCTGTCACAGTGATAAACTGATGTTTCACTGATTTCTTCTTTGAGCGCCTGAAGAGTTACATTTCAAGTACACAGACATTGGTTTGCAATTAACTGATAGGATGAGGAGATTTAAAAATCACACTACTTGATGTGCAACATTTGTTAAAAATGTGTAATAGAACAGAACTATAGAACGCTTAAAGAAACAGATTTGTTGAGGACTTTGGTATTTAAATAACGCATGTCTCTACAAGTATATCTTTAAAAAACCTATGAGGCGTCTTCTTTAGATATGTTACCAATTTAAAAGGTCAGTGAGATTTCACCTGAAAGAAATTGAGACTTTTATACAGCAAGCAATCATTAAACTGAACATTTAAATTATAATAATATTTTATAAACACAATAATACTCTTTTACTGTGATCCATCCATCCAGACATCTATCTACACATCCGTCCCTCCGTCCGTCCGACAGTCTATCTATCTATCTATCTATCTATCTATCTATCTATCTATCTATCTATCTATCTATCTATCTATCTATCTATCTATCTATCTATCTATCTATCTATCTATCTATCTATCTATCTATCTATCTATCTATCTATCTATCTATCTATCTATCTATCTGTCTGTCTGTCTGTCTGTCTGTCTGTCTGTCTGTCTGTCTGTCTGTCTGTCTGTCTATCTATCTATCCATCCAGACATCTATCTAGACATCCGTCCGTCCGTCCGTCCGTCCGTCCGTCCGTCCGTCCGTCCGTCCGTCCGTCCGTCCGTCTGTCTGTCTGTCTGTCTGTCTGTCTGTCTATCTATCTATCTATCTATCTATCTATCTATCTATCTATCTATCTATCTATCTATCTATCTATCTATCTCTATCTATCTATCTATCTCTCTGTCTGTCTGTCTGTCTGTCTGTCTGTCTGTCTGTCTATTTATCTATCTATCCATCCAGACATCTATCTAGACATCCGTCCGTCCATCCGACCGTCTATCTATCTATCTATCTATCTATCTATCTATCTATCTATCTATCTATCTATCTATCTATCTCTCTGTCTGTCTGTCTGTCTGTCTGTCTGTCTGTCTGTCTATTTATCTATCTATCCATCCAGACATCTATCTAGACATCCGTCCGTCCATCCGACCGTCTATCTATCTATCTATCTATCTATCTATCTATCTATCTATCTATCTATCTATCTATCTATCTATCTATCTATCTATCTATCTATCTATCTATCTATCTATCTATCTATCTATCCAGACATCTATCTAGACATCCGTCCGTCCGTCCGTCCGTCCGTCCGTCCGTCCGTCCGTCTATCTATCTATCTATCTATCTATCTATCTATCTATCTATCTATCTATCTATCTATCTATCTATCTATCTATCTATCTATCTATCTATCTATCTATCTATCTATCTATCTATCTATCTATCTATCTATCTATCTATCCAAACATCTATCTATCTATTCATCCATCCATCCAAACATCTATCTAGACGTCCGTTCGTCTGTCCGTCCGTCCGTCCATCCATTCGTCCGCCCGTCTGTCTGTCTGTCTGTCTGTCTGTCAATCTATTTATCCATCCATCCAAACATCTATCTAGACATCCGTCCATCCGTCCATCCGACCATCTGTCTATCTATCTATCTATCTATCTATCTATCTATCTATCTATCTATCTATCTATCTATCTATCTATCTATCTATCTATCTATCTATCTATCTATCTATCTATCTATCTATCTATCTATCTATCTATCTATCTATCTGTCTTTCTGTCTGTCTGTCTGTCTGTCTGTCTGTCTGTCTGTCTGTCTGTCTGTCTGTCTGTCTGTCTGTCTGTCTATCTATCTATCTATCTACAGTAGCTACACCCGCTTTAATTGAGTTTGGGGTTTGTCTATATTTGACCCAGTTTTATTTTATTTACTTTATATACTAGATTTGTCTACAAATACCACTTTCAGTACTTTGTCTACCACTGATTATTTCGTCAAAAGAGACCTTGGGTAAAGATAGTTAAAAAAAAAAAGGGAACGAAATTTTTATATAAACTTTATTTTACCTGTGACTCCTGAGCACAGGGAGATTCATGATCAGCACAGTTGAGGTCATCACTTGGGTCACAGATTATTAAACTAATTTGCTGCATAATTCCCTGCAAAACATGAAAAACATCTCTAGTTGGCAAAAAAATGATCAGTCTGATATGGGAAAACAGAGGCACACATCTCTGAAAATTATTATGTGGATCCTCAGGAGAAACATCTCAAATACTCAGTACAGAGCAAAATACGTATGATGAGCACAATAAAAACCTACAAATGCTGAAATCAATTATGTTTACTGCAGCAATACACAATGACTATCAAATCGATACATTAGTGCTTGTGAGAATGATTCATAATATGTCTCTAGTTCAAAATCGTCTATAGTTTTAAAAGCAAAGAATTAAAAATATTAGTTCAGTACTGTTGTTATTATATTTTTTATTACAGTTTTGCTCAGTGGCTTTGGTGCATTTCTCACATCACAATTTACATTTGCACAAAAGTTAATGCATTTCTCAAAACAATTAGTCATTTGTGCACATCATATTTCTAAAAAAAAAAATAAGTAAACTGTCATAGTGAAAAAGGACAAACCCATTTGACTATCTTGTTCATAAACAATGGTGTCAGGACTCTTTATCTTGATCACACTGACACATTCATTGACATCAATACTTGCTTTTGAGGAATGAACTGTCCATTTTGAGCAAGTAACGCTTTGGCAGGTTATCAATTAGGTTTTGCAGCTTGTGCTAATTGTTTTGAGAAATGCATTAACTGTAAATGTGAATAGTGTTGTGAGAAATACACCAAAGCCACTGAGAAAAACTGTAGTTGTAGTCTTTTGCTCAAAATCCGTAGTTCATCTATCAAAACTAAAATTTCAGTGTCAATGAATGTGTCAGTGCCATCACAATGACAAATCCTTGTCATTGTGTATGGATAAGACAATCAAATTACTTAGTCATGTTGTCAATATAACTGTGTTCTGGAGAGGTGTTCTGATGTAAACTATGGCTTTTTTTTTTGCTGTTTTTTTTTTGTAATTTGTTGACAGATCATGGCATTGTGATTCAGAAAGGGAAAGACAGCACTGCATAGCACAAAGAAAAACAAAACAAAAGCAGAAATGTGAACATACGCCAATCTGCTTTAAAATGCACCTCAATTAGAAAAAGTCAAGAATCACCTAAGGGAAATTTACCCATTCTAGACAGATTTAAAAAAAAGTCTAATGGAAATGTATAGAAAAATGTATTAAGACAAAATATTATGACAGACATTTTGCATGTAAAGACTTATGCTATGAACAAGATCTTAAATGTTGTGGGGGGTGAGACTATTCAACATAGACCAAAATAATACATTTTGATCAGCATTCATTCATTTTATTAATCTGGAGTTGCCACAGCGGAATGAACCGCCAACTTATCCATGTTTTACGTAGCAGATGCCCTTCTAGCTGCAACCCATGAGTGGGAAACCTCCATACACACTCATTCACACACATACACTACTGGAAATTTAGCGTACCTAATTCACCTATAACTCATGTCTTTGGACATCTTATTAATTATTATAAAATATTTTACAGTTCAACACTATAATAGTTATATTTAATCACTTTAATATTAATGTATTATGGATGATATTTAATGGAAAATAATTCCAATGCATAATAACATCTAATTTAATTAAGATTAGATGCAGTTGTTCAGAATTATGACCTTTCCAGTGATTTATTATTTTTTTCTTTCTCAAATATTTTTCACAGTATTTCCTATGGTATTTTTTCTTCTGGAAAAAGTCTTATTTGTATAATTTCTGCCAGGATTAAAAAAAAAACATAAAGTAAATATTATTTCCAAGACAATTGGAATTTATCCAATTGACTACTGTTACAATGACTTGACTAATTACCTAAGTAACCTAAAGAACCTTTAATTCGCACTTTAAGCTGAATACTAGTATCTTGAAAAATATCTACTTCCAGTACTGGGTTGCAACTGGAAGGACATCCACTGGGAAAAACATGCTGGATAAGTTTTCGGTTCATTCCGCTCATTAATAAAGGGACTAACTTGAAAAGAAAATGAATGAAATGAATGAAACATATCTAGTCAAATATTATTTACTGTCATCATGGCAAAGATAAAAGAAATCAGTTATTAGAAATTAGTTATTAAAACTATAATGTTTAGAAATGTGTTGAAAACAATCTTCTCTTCGTTAAACAGAAATTGGAGAAAAAAATATAGGGGGACTAATAATTCTGACTTCAACTGTACATGGCAGGTAGAAAATGTTAAAATACATAAGTCAGATGTGGCTGAATGTTAATTTTAGAGTCTAATCATTTTATGCTCATTTATCAGCAACAATATGTGAGACTCATCCACAGTTGCCATGACAATATCTCACGGCCTTGTTATGAAAGCCCAGATGTGAAAATAATCTATTATTTTTCCATCCTCTGTAAGACTTTGAGATATGTACTGCAAACATGTACACTTTCCCCCAATACTGACTGGATGTTTGGCATTATTTAATGGCACGGGTCTACACACGGCTGAAACCATGTAATTAGTTGGGAATATATTTTATCTGTCAACTCAGTTTATTGAAGCTTAAAGTTAGCATAGAGTATGGGAATTTCCTTCGCTTTTCAAGGGGCTTTCTGTTTTTTTTTCACTCGGCTTTTTCCTTCAGCTTAGTCCCTTTATTTATCAGGGTCACCCACCACCAGGGTGTGAATTGTACATCGATGAATGGGGGGATTTATGTTTATATAAATGAAAAAACAAAACAGAGATCCATCTGTACATCCATCTGTCTGGACATCCATCCATCCATCCATCCATCCATCCATCCATCCATCCATCCATCCATCCATCCATCCATCCTTTAACTCTTAATTTTACTTTAACTCAAACTATTAATTCCCTGCTTATTAATAGTTAAAAAGGTAGTAGTTGAGTATACTGTAGGTATTAGGGATGAAGAATAAGATCATACTTTATAAGTTCTAATGAACAGTTAATATCTTAATAACAGACAGGTAATAAGCCATTAGTTTACAGATTGAATCGTAACAAACTAAAGTTTTACTGTATTTTTTTAATTGCGATGTGATAACAACATACTCTAAATTCTAAAGCTCTATGTAAAAACCTTTCATTCTAAAATTTAAAAAAAAAAAAAAATCAACCCAGACGTATTCTGATTACATACCCCTACATACTGTACATTTCTGGAGAGAGCAAAATACGTCCCAGGAGCTAAATCTTTTTGTAGTTTAGGTTTTCGCGAATCCACTAAAGGTCACTGTGTATGCTTTCTCATAACTCAAATTTCTCTCGTGAGTGCCATTCGACCCTGCTCTTCTCACGTAAATCCACCAGAGGCCGCTGTCGACTGACTGACCAACCAACCGATAGCCCCACCCGCTCACTTCCCTAAAGCCAACCAATAGTGTTTTAAAAAGCACCGAATGCCCCCCCCCCCCCCTCCATAAACCAAACCGACTGTCTTTTAAAAAGCAATCCAGAAAAAGCCCCCGGATTTTTACAACGTTTTCAGATTTTACCAGATTCTTAGCCTGTTATTTACTTGTTTATTTTATTTTATATTTTCTTTATTGTTTGTTTTTGTCTTACTCAAACCCCACTGTTGCGGTCAACTCTGCTCTGCATCTCAGGTCCACCAACGTACATGTCAAGCTACCAGACAAACTGGTAACAGCAAAAAACCCATTCATACGGATGGTCAGCTGGTCAGCTGGTAAGCGAGAACAGGAACAGTGTCATATCGGCTCGTAGCATTCATTTTAAAGATGAAATGCAGTTAAACGTAGCTCTGGCTACATAATTGGTGATCTCCAGGTATTTGGGCTACATTTTTAGAATGAGCCTATGTTGAAAAAAATAAAATAATATATGTTCAGAATTTCTTGCTAGGCAGGTATGCAAACTGAACAAGAATGTGTCATTTCATTTTTAAATATAACATTTTAGAAAATTTGTAAAACACAAAAAAGCGACCATTCAACTGAGGAAGTAAAGTGATAACTAGGAGTTAATTTTATTCACTGGCAGTGCCTTGCCTTAATAGTAGAAGTACAGTCTTAATCAAGGCAGTGTTAGAGCGCTTTCTCTCAAGTGGCCATTGAGCTGAAGGCAGTGCTTTGACTAAATGAGAGCCTGTGTTTGTCTTTCTCACGTGGGCTCCAGAACTCTCTGAACTTCACTTTTCTTTTCATACAGCTGCTGCTGTTTGTTGAGGCTGCCGCTGCTGGTTTGCATTGCAAAGAGAATTAGCTGTTTTGTGTTAATGGCCAGACCGGCATTAAACCTGGACTGTGATTATGGCAGCGGTGGTTGTCAGGGGCAACAGTCACACAAGAAAGAGAGTCACCTTCCTCATAAACCAACGAGACTGACATGGCTTTACATTCTCAGTATACTTCAGGGTGACAAATAACATTTACATTCTTTCTAACATTAATTGCACTGCTACAAAAGAAAGTATTCACATTTACAGTGGGGAAAATAAGTATTGTTTTCTTTCCAGAGAATAATATTCCTGAAGGAGCTGTTGACATGGAATTAAACCAGATTTTGGTAAAGAGCCAAACAATACAAATATAAAAGTAAAAAAAGGAAAAATCTAATAAATGAGTGATGTGTAGTAACAATAAATTGACACAAAAAGAAAGTACTACTGGAATTAACAACAAAGGAAAAAATAGGGTGGGGAGAGTTTAGCTGATGCGGTTAACACAGTTAAGTCTGAACATCGTACTGTGTGGATTTAAAAAAAAAAAGAGAAATAGTGTGATTTATAGGTGTAAATGCTTTAGTACCCTGAGAAGTCTCAGTGGCGCAGCTCGTAAAACACATGTCAACATGTTTTGACACGTTCAAGCATGAACTCGGTTCAAATCCAGCAACCCCCCCCCCCCCCCCGCTACATATCAGATTTTGCCTACTATTTATCACGATAAAGACAAGTAGGAATCATAAATAAGTCTGTGCATCATATTTTATTTGCACATTTATTGAACGGAAATGTTTCTGATTCACGCATGCAAATGCATCTTCAAATGGCACCTTTATAGCAATGTGCGTGCAGTAGATCGCTCCCATTACATTGGGAAAACAGGCGACTGCTGCAAATTGCGCTTTAATGTTTGGCGGGCCAACTGAATGGTATGGAAACCTTATATATCTGCTGGATAAACCTGTCTCATACAGCTGCCATTGCACGGCTCAAAGACACTATGTAGAGTGCAATTTAACACAACTGCCTCTAGGAGTCGCGAATGGAAATAAAACAGACACGCACAAAAAATATGCGTACGCCAGCTATAAAGCTGGCGTGGAGCTGCCCACATTCCCACGTTCATTTCATCCCTAGTAAATCCAAACGTGAGCGATTCTGAGCATGAAACCTGATGTACACAAAGTTTTTGTGCGTACGCAGCGCTGCTACATGGAGCCCCTGGTCTCTGATCTAACACACAGAATACACACTGCGCTCAAACCACATCAAAATACAGATAGAGGGAATCATTCACCTGTGCTTGTCCAGACTGGAGACCTAAAACCAGTTCTCATTATAATATAGTAATGGATAAATTAATTAAACTGTAATCAGCATAAACCGAGCAACGATAATGTAAGCATTTTCGGTCACACTTTATATTCAGGTACAATTCTCACTATCGCAAATCATTAACAATGATTTTTGCCTCAATAAACCCAATAAACTAATAAAATAAATCAAGATAGGCTCCTTCTAAAAACGTAGCCCTATATACATTTCTAGAGATCGCAAATTATGCAGCCAATCTGGGTCACTGGGTCAATCTGTGCTTTTTAAAATACTATTGGTTGGGTTTAGGGAAGGAGGAGGGTGGGTCAGTTGATCAGTCAGTCAGTCAGTCATTCAGTCAGTCAACCAGTCAACAGCGACCTCTGGTGGATTTATGTGAGAACAGCAGAAGAGAATTTGAGTATTCTCGAGAGAGAATTTGAGATATGAAAAAGCATACACAGCGGCTGGATTAGCAAAAACTGCAAAAAAAGTACACTCTGGGACATATTTGGCAGTCTCCAGAAATGTATACAGTGGTACATTTTTAGAATGAGCCTGGGTTGAAATAAATAAACCTCAATAAACTCAAATGTATTTGATGCATATTAATAGTTATTAAGGTAGACATTACATATGTTTAGGTATTGAGTAAGTTTGAGTAGGGATGTACAATAAGATTATGCACAAAATAATTCTAATAAACTGCCATTTTAGTAAAAATTTACGATCTTAATAATAAGATACTATAATTAAAAGTAAGAATCGGCCCTAAAACTAAAGTGTTAATAAAGTATGTGCACAGTTACTGCAGTTAACAAAAAATAAATAAATAAGTAACTGAAATAACAGAAAACAGAGTAGTATGTTTTCAAAAAGCAGTTGTTTACTGAATGTTTAAAATTGAACCCAAAACATTTAACCCAACCCAAGAGGGTTAAGTAATGTAAATACCAGAAAAACGGCTTCTACGGATTTTGGTAAAAACCATGCTTAAGCAGGTAAAAATTTATCTTCTGTAAATGTTGTGACTTAAAAAAGAGAAAAAAAGTTGAATCTGCACCAAAATTAAAGACAAAAAACAAAAACAAACAAAAAAGAACTGTCAATTAAACTTAAACAACAAGCAATTAAAAATGCTTTTTTAATACCAAAAATGGTAAAAGAGCATTTGTGCTGGTACAAGCTCTTAGTAAATCTGGCTCCAAGAGTCTGTATTGTAATGCTTAGACTAAAACAACAAGTGCTACCAATAAAATATATATAATTGTAGTTGTTAATCAGGGTAAGAGAAACACTTACTATGCAGCAGAGAAGTTTGAACAGTGGTACCAAATCCTGCATTGCTTTCAGAGTGAGACAGCCTGGATGGTCCGTGAGCACTTCAGGAGCAGGTATGGTCAGTTTTGGACTCTTTAAGGACACTAAAACAGAGGTGTACTTGGAAAGTGGCCAAAGATGGGCTGTACCATACCATACAAACTCTCTATGACAGCTCAGTGCAAAGCAATGCAGACCTCACTACTGCAACTACACTGTAAAAAGTAAAGGTTCCTGGAGGCACTTTTTGGGGTTCTTCACATTGCAAGGGTGGCGGAACCCTCTAAAGAACCTCTGGGCACCATTTCAAAAGGAGCAGTTCTCTGAGGAACTTCAAACTAACTAACTAACTAACTAACTAACTAACTAACTAACTAACTAACTAACTAACTAACTAACTAACTAACTAACTAACTAACTAACTAACTAACTAACTAACTAACTAACTATCTATCTATCTATCTATCTATCTATCTATCTATCTATCTATCTATCTATCTATCTATCTATCTATCTATCTATCTATCTAGACATGCATCCATCCATCTGTCCATCCATCCATCTATTTATCTAGACATCCATCTATCCATCCATCCATCCATCTAGATATCCACCAATCCATCCATCCATCCATCTAGATATCTATCCATCTATCCATCTATCTATCTATCTATCTATCTATCTATCTATCTATCTATCTATCTATCTATCTATCTATCTATCTATCTATCTATCTATCTATCTATCTATCTATCTATCTATCTATCTATCTATCTATCTATCTATCTATCTATCTATCTATCTAGACATGCATCCATCCATCTGTCCATCCATCTATTTATCTAGACATCCATCTATCCATCCATCCATCCATCTAGATATCCACCAATCCATCCATCCATCCATCTAGATATCTATCCATCTATCCATCTAAACATCCATCCATCCATCTAGACATTCACCCATCTATCTAGACTTCCATGCATCCATCCATCCATCTAGACATCAATATATCTATCTAGGCATCCATCAATCTATCCATCCATCCATCCATCCATCCATCCATCCATCCATCTATCCATCCATCTAGAGATCCATCCATCCGTCTGTCCATCCATCCATCAAGACATCCATGTATCCATCTATCTGTCTAGACTTCCATCCATCCACCCTTCCATCTAGACATCCATCCATCCATTCATCCATCTAGACCTCCATCCATCTATCTAGACCTTTATCCATCTATCTGTCTAGACATCCATCCATCCATTTAGACACCCATCCATCAATCTAGACCTCTATCCATCTGTCTGTCTAGACATCCACCCATCCATCATTCATCCATCTAGACATCCATCCATCTATCTAGACATCTACCCATCTATCTATCTAGATATCCATCCATCCATCTATCTAGATATCCATGCATCCAAACATCTAGACATCCACCTATCTAGATAGACATCCATGCATCCATCCATCCATCTAGACATCAATATATCTATCTAGACATCCATCCATTCATCCATTTAGACATCTATCCATCCAGACATCCATCCATCCATCCCTTTGTCCGTCCATCCATCCATCCATCCATCCATCCATCCATCCATCTACCAGTCTGCCTGTCCATCCATCCGTTTGTCAATCTATCATCTATCTGGCCATCCATCCATCCATCCATCCATTCATCTTTTTTACCTATCCATCTGCTTGTCAGTTTATCCCACCACTTCAGTTTCATATATATTATTATTCAGTTCTGTTAGATCTAAAGCATGAGGCCATAAGCTCACAGTTCTCCACAGTGACTCATATTCACAGCAAGAGCAGTCGAAAAGCTCTCTCCTCATCACTATAGCGCTCTTTCCTAAGCATATGTGAGCGTGTCTGTTCGGTTCACACTGTGACTCGGGTGAGGAATGTGACAAGGTGTTTAGAGGAGTGTGTAACTTACAGTAAAAGGGTGTGATCATGGCTGCCTGGTCCTCCCAGAGGTATGAGAGTCTATTAGATGATAATCTCCGCTCTGTAATAATCAGTTTGGTCCTGCGCAAATGTGACACCACTGAAAACATGAACACAAATATGTGGTGTAAAAGCTCTTTCATGCCACTAGAGAAATAACATTTCAATTAATGTCACTTTACAGCCTAGTCAGTTTAGCTGTGGCAAAAATTCTGTTTTAAATGAACTGCCCAGTGAGAGATTTCAATTAAAATGCTATTTTAATGAACACCATCATGCAAGTGTGATTTTAGGTGGGCTCTAACAACAAAATCAAAACGAAAGTCATGTAATGGTATGAAAATACGTGCAATAAATTGTGACAGCATTCAAACCAGTATCAAACAAAAGTCGTAATACTGTCAAACTGGTGCAACTAAATATAGAAGAGCATTTTGAAAAAGGTCAATTGCTTTGGCTCAATTGTTTATAGAATTTTTTTTTTCAAAACAATAAGTTTAGATCTCTGAACAATTAGCTTATTTCTCACTTTAGATGGGCATTTGTTATTGATTTAAGCAAATTGGAAATGCTTTGGTGGATGTGTGCAAACTGCAAGTACAAATTTCTGTAGTTTGGACAAAAACTAAAAGCATATGGATTGTTGATCAAAATAATGAGCCGATTCTCATTTAAACTGTTAAACTTCTCATAACTTCTCAATCATTTTTCATTGTGTAAGTCATCACACTCAAAACCATCTATTCAGTTATCAAACATTTGTATACACACGTTCACACTATAAATATCTGATATTGACATTGTTTATAATGTCTGTCAAATTGGTAAATGACCAATAATTGCAATACAATTTGAATCAACAATTTAACCAATCAGTTCTGGGAGCATATATACAGTAGTACTGCAGTCAACGTTTGAGGTGGATCAAAATGTTTCATCAAAGATGTCCAAAAACTATTCTGCAACACCCACTCTTGTCTTATAGTAAGACAACTTTGATTTACTTCAATACTGTATATGTAGATACAATCACAATCACTACCCTTTTCCCTGAACTGCAGAATCATGCTTGTGGAAGAGCACATGGAAGACATGTAATCTATGCAAGGCCAACAAGAGCGACAGGATGTCCATCAAGAGTAATTTTTTCATAGATAGATATTTTGTAGTTTTTGGTGTGTATTTGTGGTAACATGAGAAATATGAAATGTACAATACATTAATTGGACAACCAAGATTGCCTTTTGCATGTAATACAGCTGAACAAAAATAAATGTACTGTATAAATACAAATGCTCATATTTTTTCTATGTACTATTTACTCTTTTCAACATATATCAGATTTTTTTTTTTATTTTAATTTCCACGGACCATCATGGTGAAAAAACAACTAATAATTTTGGCTCACACAATGACAAATACTATGTTTTGGTGGCCATAGCCAAATTACTGACACCATAAATAGATTTCGAAGCATGAATTAAAAATGTTTTGGATAATTAATTACATTTTTCAGACATGAAATAAAGTTCTGAAGTTCCAGCAAACTTCAGAACTTGATTTGCACTTCGAGTTTAGAGCATATTAAGAAATGTACCAAAGCAATTGAGAAAAACTGTAATGAAAAATATTGCATTATTGTCGTTCATTAGCAGATTCGAGGGATGATGAAATCGAGCTGCACCAACAATCAAACCTCTCTGCATAAAAAAACTGTTAGAAGTGTAGTCATCAGAGGACCTGAAAAACACAGACATTTAAACCACCTCATACATACAATTCAGTACATTCATACATACAAAAATATAGCATCTGTGAAAATCTCACTAAATCTCTCACTAAATATATAAATATAATTAAAACTAAATACACACTTCAGAAGATCACTTTCAAGAGCTGTGATGAATCAAAAGTTCTGCTTTTACAGTAGAGAGTGATGCTTTCCCCACCTAACTCCAGCTCACAGACTAATGTTAGGTTTACCACAGACCTGACAAGTACATTCAGTAAAGGAAAGTGTCATGTGGAGAATGTCAAATACAAACAAATACAACTTTTCAATCTTCAATCAAATGTTATGGTAATTAAAAAGGGATTTGTTTAAAATGTATATACCGTGAGAACAAGGAAATATGATCATATTACTGCAGTTTTTTCATCATTGCATTGGTTCCCTATTAAATATCATAAACATTTTGAAATTTCATTGACCACCTACAAACGCCTGAATGGCTTAGCTCCGCAGTATTTAAGGAAGCTCCTGGTGCATTATAGTCCCTCACATCCACTACGCTCAATTAGTTCTGGACAATTGATTATTCCCAGAATATCAAAATCAACTGTAGGTGGTAGACTTTTCTCTTATCTGGCACCTAAACTCTGAAACATCCTTCCAAGCACAGTTTGGGAGGAAGACTCACTCTGTCAGTTTAAAACTAGATCCACCAGAGCTGGATACATTATAATTTGAACGACATCTACACTTATGTAGTCTGTTTTTCATCATTCCCGAGTTTTCCATAATCCTGGATCAGGCCATATCCTAAGCAGATGCTGTGGTGGTCATGGAAGAGTGGAGAGAGTGAGAATGATTCCTGAAAAAGGCCCAGTGACAATCGAGTCTTCGCATTGATCCCAGGAGCCAGCCTGAACATCCGCCGGTGACCCAATCACACCTGCAGCTTTTCCACATTAAACGTCCAAGGTATTTCAGCCTTCAGTGCCTAGACTGCAGCTCTGCACAGGACAATTGGCCAGAGGAGAAATGGTCATGCCCAACTTAGCCGGGTTTCTCTCAAGGTTTTCTTTTCTTTCACTTTCGTCATTTAGTGAAGTTTGTTCTTTGCCACTGTCACCACTGCATTGCTTGTTTTGGGATTTGTGGAGCTGCGCATCACTGGATTTGCTCTTCAGTGTTTGGACTTTCAGCAGTGAAATTTAAACCACACTGAATTAAACTAAACTGAACTTCACCTCTAAAAATGTGTCTGAAACAGTTTCAGTTTGCTAGGGCTTCAATGTTAAGCTGCTTTGACACAATCTACATTAAAAAGCCCTATAGAAATAAAGATTAATTGAATTAAATTGAATTGAAGCATATGAAAGTATCAGGTATTTATAATCTTTTTTTATTGATTATCAACAGAGAAAAAAATGCATGTTGTTGTCCCTTCTTAAAATGTGTCAGCTCCTACATGCAAACAAATATGAATTGGCTGATGGATGCTTTGGTTTAGAGCAGCAGCAGTGATGTGATGAGCAGATGGTGGTCTCCATCACATATGCTGACCTGATGTACCAGGCAGATTGGCAGCACCTGGAACAGGTTCAGCTCTATGCGTCGCTTCTGGCTTCACTTGCGCATAAACATAAAAGGCAGAACGCTTCACCTGTCACTGAGAAATGTCTATATGGACTCTTCTCATACCCTGACACAATATTTTCTTCTTTTTTCGGCGGTCGGTGAGGGTCAGTAGCAGTTTAGATTCAAAACTGTTTTTGTGTGTGATTGCAGGAGGCCTATAGAATTTATATCCTATTGAAAGTTCTTGGGAAAATGTCAGGTTAGCAAAACATATGGAATAGTATATATAGCTTTCATAGATTAAACTTTAAAAAACCTTTTAAAACAATAGAATGATGTACATAAAATGTCTTAAGCTATTTTTGTCTATCTATTCTTCAATACATCCATTTTCTCTCATTTTGTCTATTTGTCCATCCAACTGTCCATCCATCTATTTGTCCATTTTTCAATCTATCTATTTATCAGTCTGCCTATCCATTCATTTTGTCCATCTATTAATCCATTTATCCATACATTCATCCAGTCCATCCATTTCTCGACCCCTCCATACCCCTCCCCTGCTTATGCGTTCATCTTGTCCATATCCCTTTATTTGTCTATCAATCAGTCTATCCATCCATCCATGAATCTATCCATCCATCCGTCCCTCCGTCCGTCCATCCATCCATCCATCCACCCATCCATCCATCTATTTGTCCATCCATCCATCCATCCATCCATCCATCTATTTATCAATTTGTCCATCCAACACTTTTTCCATCCATCCATCTATCCATCCATCCATCCATCCATCCATCCATCCATTCGTCCATCCCTCCATCTGTTTATCAGTCTGCCCATCCATCCATCTATCCATATACCAGTCTGCTCAGTCATCCATTGTCCATCTACAGTATCCATTCATTTGTCTATCAATCAGTCTATCCTTCCATCCGTCCATTCATTCATTTTCTATCCCTCTATCTATTTCAGTCTGCCTATCCATCTTTTGTATCCATCTGCCCATCCATTCATCTTGTCCATCCATGCATCCATCCATTCCTCCAACTATTAATCAGTCTGCCATACATCTGTCCATTTATTCATCCATCCATCCATCCATCCATTTGTTCATCTCCCATCTATTTATCAGTCTGCCCATTCATCCATCCATCCATCATCCATCCATCCATCCATCCATCCATTTGTTCATCTCCCATCTATTTATCAGTCTGCCCATCCATCCATCCATCCATCCATCCATCCGTCCATCCATCCATCCATCCATCTAGCGTGGGATCACCAGTAACCTCTTCCTCAATTCTTTCTAAAATAATCCTTACAGTTTACTGTTATATATTTAGCATGTTTGTGGGCATTCTCACTTTTTTTTGTAGAAAAGCAGATGGTTGTGCTTCCAGGAAAGTGGGACAGGCCAAATATAGTCAGCAGCAGTAAATCATCATCAACAACACGAAGCTGAAGCGCTATAGAGAATCTCACAGTTTGAAATGGAGTTTATAAATAACTGTGATACTGCCAATAGGGCCATATAGGAGAGAAGAAATAGTTTTTAACACCCTCAGAGCTGACTGAAAACAGCATCAACTCTAGTCACTAAAACAGGGCACAGCGTCAAGTACAAACTGTTTAAAACGCCACACAAAACATTAGTAATAAGATTTAGGAAGCAAAGACTGAGCTGCAACGGAAATCTTTTTTTTTATTTCATATAATTCACAAGGCAGCTACCCCCAGCAGGCCATGAAAAACGAGTACCAAATACTCACTATTCACATTCAGAAACATGTCAAGAAAACAAATTACAACACAACACATGATACAGAAATTCTCTTTAGGGAAACTGATGCTTTTTTAAAGATGTTGGATATAAAAAAAACTAACCAGAGTGTTTTTTCAAAGTAATAAAAATGATATGTAATTATCATTTTTGATTTTCTTAGTATTTTCTTGTGTGGAATTGAGTGAAGAGATGGTCAGAAGTGGCATCTTTGGAAACCAATAAAATCAGTTCCTTACTTTGGCTATGTTTCTCTGTAGACTAATATTATACTTTACGTCCATTTCCTACAGCTACATTTCAATTCCAACTCCACCATATTCAGGCTAAACAAACATTCTGAATATCTGCAATACCAAGCACATCAGAGGGGAATCCAGGACTTGTTGAGTTTCTAACCCAAGCTATTAATCTACTACAAATTACAAATGACAAAGGTTATTTGTAACTGCTTCCCCATTCTCTTAATCAAAATACAGTGGTGAATCACACTGAAACAGGCCTAGGTCATATTTTACCCAGGTTTTTTATTGTTGCTGTTCTTCTGAAATTATAATATGCATAGAAACCCGATTATTGATCATTTTTGTGACATTATTAACATTTCCTCCAAATTCTCATTACTGCAACACTGTAAAACCTAAGCATTTAGTGTCAAAATCACTAAATCAGGGGCAGCACCTGTGGGGAGTTTGCATGTTCTCCAAGTGTTCACGTGGGTGCTCCGGTTTTCCCTAAAAGTCCTAAAACATGTGCTACATGTGAATTGGGTAAGCGGAATTGTACGTATTGTATGTGTGTGAATGAGTGTGTATGGGTGTTTTCCAGTGATGGGTTGCAGCTGGAAGGGCATCTGCTGCGTGAAATATATGCTGGAAATGGCAGAATAAAAGCACTCGACCGAAAAGAAAATGAATGAAAGAAATAAGTTAGTTAAATTTTTTAAAAGGTTACTTTGACTCAATAAAAAAAGAGTTATGATAACTCATGAACTAATCATATTTAGCAGAACTCAAAACGAAGGAGTTATGAATGAATGAATTATATTTATTGTGTTAACTTAACTCTAAAACTAGGAGCAATACCAAACCTTTTGAGTAGCTATATAGTTGTTTGGACTTAGTTTGTTGAACTTATCTGATAACTGAACATAAAATGTTTAAGTTATTAATACTCTAAAAGTTCGACAATAAAAATTATCAGCACAAATAATACATGTGTATATGACTCTATGGATAGTCATAGTCATATAGTTTTTAGTACTCAAACCATATTGTTTCAAAACTTAAATGGTTTGGCGCAGATAACCTCAGGTTTTACAGTGAATGAATACAGATGTTTTTTCTCATGAGAATAATATTATGCATGCTTTCATTTCGCAAAAGTTCACAGCCATATCACCCTGCAGCCCAAGACCGGTTACTCACTAAGCGTTGAGCCTGGTCAGTAACTGGATGTGAGACCTCATAGGAAAACTAGGCTGCTGCTGGAAGGGGTGTTAGTGAGGCCAGCAGGGGGCGCTCAACCTGCGGTCAGTGAGAGTCCTATTGCCTCAGTAAAAAGTGAAGGGGACACCAAACTGTCAGTGGGCGCCGACTTTTGAATGAGACATTAAACCGAAGTCCTGACTATCTGTGGTCATTAAAAAAATTCCATGGCATTTCTGGCCTCCTGGCCAAATTCCCTTCATCGGCCCTTACGATCATGGCCTCTCAATCATCCCCATCCATTGAATTGGCTGTATCACTGTCTCTCCACTACACCAATGTATGGTGTGTGGTGAGCGCACTGGTGCCATTGACCTGTGGCTGCCGTTGCATCATCCAACTGGATGCTGCACACTGGTGGTGGTGTGGAGAGACCCATTTCATGATTGTGAAGCACTTTGGGGGTATGACCATACACAATAAAAGCGGTATATAAATAAACATTACTTACTTACTTACACAGCATATTTTGTTTTCTGAATTTACTGTATGAAATGTAATGTTGCAATGCAAAAAATGTAATAATTTTCCATGCCAAAATTTACTTGTCCTCATTTTTTCAGAGTGAAATAGTGACCCTGACATGCTCAGCGAAATTCACCTAAAAGAGACATTTTGAAGATTTCCTAAGGGCCAAGAAATATCTGGATTTGTCCTGATATAAAAAATAGAAATTGGTCAAAAATCTAAAGTCTAAACAAAAATAACATGGAGCATGTGAATCATATCCATTTCAAATAGACTGCATTACAAATAGATAGGACATGATCATCGTGTCACAAAAGATAACATCTTTAAGACAGTTTAGGCTCTTTACAGAAAACATGGCTTTGAGACTTCTCAGTACATATACTGGATTTGTAACATTTACATATGGTACATGAGTCCTCTATATGGACTCTATTGTTAAAGGCCAGGACGTCACCTGGATCCACTTGCATTAAATGTCATGCACTATTCATCAGGCCCTTCGCATCTCCGTTCCCTTCATGGAATGTCAGTCATTATTTTGATATGCAGTTAAAGGGGTTTTTTACCTCCCGTCATAGACAGACTGAACATCATTGCCTGTGGTCTGAGTGTGTGTATTTGATATGTATGTGCGTGAGTGTGTACCTCCTAAATGAACCAACAACACAGGTAGTAAAACCATCTGGATGCCAAAGCTCTGGCTACTCTCTGCCCATTAGCCTCTGAAAATCAAGAAGACATAGTTTTCACATGTATGTTGCTATATATACCATGTTAGGAAAGAACTATGTAAACACTGTTTTTCATGTCTTCTGCTGATGGGGGTGTCTCAATATGTCAAGGTTGGAAACCTGAGTGCATTTGGCAATGGCCCGAATCTGCATAAGCCTGCACTTTATCAACAGGATGGTGCATCAAGAGAAAGAGTAAGGGCACCAACCTGATCTTAAACCACAGTGTGCTCATGCTAGGACTTGATCATTCAAACCTTTCACCACAATCCGGCTATGAGATCTTCTTCTGAGATGGTTACACACCTCCACATTCACAGACACACAAATAAACACACACAGGCATATTTTCCCTGGACTGAGGCACAAAGTTCAGAGGCATCAATCCAGCCCCTTATGGTGACACCGAATTTGCCCCTAACAGCGGTCATCCTCATCGGTGTCACTGAGAAGCTCACAGCCGGACGTCCCAGCTGTGGCTTGTGCTAGTCGTTTGCGGAAATGTCCATTAGGCACCTGCCAGGAGTGACGTAGCTGTGGCGCCGAGCTAATGGTATTAGAGCGGCCCAGGCTGGTTGCTATTGCAGCCTCAAAAGTGAGAGTCTCCTCCACACCACTGGAGTCTGGACTGTTGACGTCCTCCTGCAGTGGCAGGTAGGGCTCTGAGATGTAGCGGTGAGGGGTAGAGTGGGCCATGGCGGTGCCTGGGCCGGTTGCAGTGGGCTCCTCTCCTTCCTCTGCGGGTGGAGCTCGTGGCCGATCATCCCCTGGTGCTGGATGGGCACGGCACACTAAAGGAGAGTAGGAGATATGAGGCCGAGGGCGAGAGGGTGTCTGTGGGAGTTGGCGGCGTCCTCGAGGCGTCCCTGAATCAGACGTGGAGGCAATAGGGCTGCCTGTATTATTTCCCTACAGGGACAAGAAAACATTTGTGGGTAAATACAGTTGAAGTCAGATTTATTAACCCTCCTAAATTATTAGTAATTATTATTAGTATTAATAATTAATGATTCTGATTACAACTGTATCAGCAATGGGGTGATGGAATACAAAAATCATGACTAAAACATTTGTCCAAAACAGCAGCTTACGTTCAAGACATACAAGAGAGCTTACATGAGTAAAATATATCATTTTTTTAAATTCTCTGAATAATAATCTGAAATTATCTTATTTAACTAGTAATTTAAGCTCATGAATAAAATGATCCATGTAAGGTTAGGTTATTTTAGGTTACTTTATTTATACCTGAAAGTAGATTTGGTGTGCAGTCAAGAGTCCTCATTTCATAATAGTACCCCCCCCCCACACACACACACATACACACAAAACAAACTCACATAGTGAAAACAACAACACATGGACATAAGGACATAAAATATAAACATACAGAACACTCTTTCAAAAATAATAATAATATTTATATAAAAATAAAATAAAAACAATAAAGGATACGTCAACAACTACTTTAAGGGCAAATGTTTAAAACAATCTCTAAAATGTAAAATATATAAGTCCCAGAAACACTTCTGCTTGAGTCCTTATTGCAATATCTAATGGCTGCTGGTATGAATTTTATTTTATTTTTTTGGGATTATTTAGTTCTACAGCTTGATATTAAAAACCTGAGACCAGAAGAAAGGAGCTGAAACTGAGTATACAGGACAAGCAGTGTCCCTTAAAATTTAATTTGTAATTCTCTTTAGCTGCCTCGTGTACACAGCTTCCAGACTGGCTAGTGACACCCCAGTCAGCTTACTAGACCACTTAACTATTTGATTTAGTGTGTTTTTATTCTTAACAGAGAGATTCCTAAACCATGACACCAATGTAAAAGATAAATCGGATACAAGAAAAGCATGGTAAAATAAAAATGTGAGGTATGTACAGACTGATGAAGTTATCAAATAACAAACAAACACATTCTTGAATAAATGCTGGCCTTTTTGCATTCTCCAGATTTCCTTTTAATATAATATCTTATATGCACATTGAGGAAGAAAATTTGGTACTTACAGTAGCAAAAACTACTTGCATACAGTATATGAACAGATGTACAATACACCATTAAGGGTTTTATTAAATTATTAATCAATGATTATTTTTTTTACAATCCTACAAGCCTTTTCCCTTGAGTGAGGATGCTTGCATTGATGATCTTTGATGATCTCTTGATCTTACAATTCAATAAACTGATCATTAAATGCTGATTTATCATGGGAATTGGCATCTCCAGTATGTGTGCACGTGTTTGTATCCTCACCTGTCTGAGAGCTGTGTGCTTCCTCCCCTCACTGGGCGATGGAGAATGACGTCTCTCCTGAGACTGACTCCTTTCCTCTGAGTTGCAGCGAGACACATCTGGAGACAGCAGGTGTCTTCGTTCTTTAGACCGTCCTCTCTCTTTGTCCACTGGCTCCCGCAGGTTTGACCTGACACCTGCACATGCACAGACATAAGCACATGTTTAAACATAAACGTGGTATCAACACAGAACACATGCACATTGATGTTCATGCCCAACTGAGCCTGGTTTCTCTCAAGGTTTTTTTTTTTCCCTTTACTTTCGCCAAAGTCGTCAAAGTTGGTAAAGTCTGTTCCTCGCCACTGTTGCTACTGGCTTTCTTGATTTGGGACTTGTGGAGCTGTGCAATGATGGATTTGCTCTTCAGTGTTTGGACTTTGCAAAGTGAAATTTAAACTACACTGAACCCTGAAAACTGGACCGACACAGTTTCAATTTAGTAGAACTTTTATCTTAAGCTGCTTTGACACAATCTACATTGTAAAAGCGCTATAGAAATAAAGATGAATTGAATTGATACTATACAAAGATTGTTTTTCTTTTCAATTTTAGTACCAACTGCATCCTTTAATGCAAACTGACCTCTGAAGCTTCTTTGCCTGGGTCTCTCCAGCCGGTCAGGACTCACCCTCTCCAGAGAGAACTCTTCCTGCCAGTCACCATTTACACACTGATCCCCGATGGTGGAGAATGAGCGCTTCATCAGTTTGTTCTCTAAAGAGGCCTGTTGTACATGTGCAATGCACAAATACATACAGAAAATAAACAGAAGATCCATACAAAGCCCAACAGAGCACACAGATCAACAAACAGCCACACACAAACACAAATACTGTATTATGTTATGTTGCAAGATGTTCACTCTCTTTGAAACCATACATACATTACATTAAATAAGACTACATGATGTATGTGAAATGGGTTTCGATAAACAAGTTTTCTGAGCTAGGTTCTAATGAAGGCAACTACCACCTCCCATCATTCCCTGCTGGAAAAATAACTAGTAAGTCAGGCTGGTTCTGGAAACTGGTTAAAGCATCCTCACTAAATTAAAAAGTGATACAGGTTAACTTTAGGCACACCAGTTAATCAACTATCTAAAATTTGACAACATTTAAAGCATATATAATATGTACTAATTCTAAGTATAAAAATACTTAAAAAATTTAATAAATATATATATATATATATATAAAATGTATGTCATTAAACTGAATATATATATATATATATATATATATATATATATATACACACTCACTCAGTGCATTCGGAAAGTATTCATAGCGTTTCACTTTTTCCACTTTTTTTTTTTTTTTTGTTACAGTCTTATTCCAAAACAGATTAATTTCATTTATTTCCTCAAAATTCTACACACAACCAAAATAGTTGCAAATTTATTAAATATAAAAAAAAATCACATGTACATAAATATTTACAACCTTTGCTCAATACTTTGTTGATGCACCTTTGGCAGCAATTACAGCGTCAAGTCTTTTTGCATATGATGCCACAAGCTTGACACAGCCTCTCAAGCTCTATCAGTTTGGATGGGAAGCGACGGTGTACAGCCATTTTCGGATCTCTCCAGAGATGTTCAATAGGATTTAGATCTGGTTTTAGATCTGGATTTAGATCTGATGGGCCACTCAAGGACATTCACCGAGTTGTTGTGAAGCCACTCCATTGATATTTTTGTGGTGTGTTTTGGGTCATTGTCCTGCTGGAAAATGAAACGTCGCCCCAGTCTAAGGTCAAGAGCACTCCGAAGCAGGTTTTCATTCAGGATGTCTTTGTACATTGCTGCATTCCTCTTTCCCTCTATCCTGACTATTCTTCTAGCTCCTGCATCTGAAAAACATCCCCACAGCATGATGCTGCCACCACCATGCTTTACTGTAGGGATGGTATTAGCCTGGTAATAATCTGTACAGTATCTGGTTTTCTCCAAGCGTAACGCCTGGCATTCACTCCAAAGAGTACAATTTTAGTCTCATCAGACCAGAGAACTTTGTTTCTTATGGTCTGAGAGTCCTTCAGATGCATTTTGGCAAATTCCAGGTGGTACAGAACGTACCTGAGCTCAATTTAGAGCTTCACGGCAAAGGCTGTGAATACTTATGTATATGTGATTTTTCAGATATTTTATTTGTAATAAATTTGCAACAGTTTCAAAAAACTTTTTTTACATTGTCATTATGGGGTATTGTGTGTAGAATTTTGAGGAAGTCAATTAATTTAATCCATTTTGGAATAAGGCTGTAAAATAAAAAAATTTTTAAGTTAAAACTTTCTGGATGCACTGTTTATACTGAAACATATAAACATATAAATATAGCAAAAATAATAATAATGTATCATTGACAGTGTGTGTAACTGATATTGATGTAGCCTTCTGTGTATAATTCATTATTAAAATTATATTTAATTATTTTATTATATTTAATTGTTATATTTTCATAAATAACCTTTTTATAATCACTGCAACATAAACACACCAGAAGTTGGTTTAAGGGAACATTTCCAGTAAAAATTGCCATCACAGTCCCACCAAATGAAAAACAACAGCTTTCTACCCACTGCTTCCATTCCCACTTTGGAACCAATGCCCACAATGATGCTAATCACAGTGTAGGATTAGAGAAAGCAGCTAGTTATCAGCGCAAGTCTAAGCTAACACAGGCAGTACCTGTGGCTCTACCGCCAGGCGAGGCATGGAAGAGGCTCGGATAGAGACGCCTCTTCCTGGCACTTGCAGTGGATCAGCCTGCATGCTAGTGGGGCACATCACACTGCTAAATTCTTTGTGCTCAGGCACCTACGCAGTTAGAGAGAGGAGAAAAACGGGGAGGAGGAAAGACATTCAGTCCTTACTTAAAAATACACTTACTATAACAGAATCAAGTGTATTATGTATAGAATTATTGTTATAGAATTGAATTGCAGCAAGGTTTACAGCCTAAAGTAAAAAAATCTCCTTTTTTATTACTTTATTACTCAATAAGAATCCATAGAGGAAAAGTAAAGTGGCAAAAGGACACGTCGTAAGCAAAAACACGTAGCCAATACGCATGAGCAACTGATAGGGGGTGTAGAGCGTTTCAAAGCAGAAGCCACAGATACTGGGCGTAAACACAAGCGCTCTTGCACAACAGAGATTCAAACATAAACCAACTTAAAAACCCTAGCGTTATATCACAGCTCATAAGAAAAAAGCAGAAAAAAGCTACCAGGAGAGATAGAAAATAAGAGCATAAGACACATAAGAGCACAGGAAGACATCTAGGCTTGTGTGTAACTGCTTACTGGTTATATAATCTTGACCTAGAAGTCTAACCTTGAAAAACCACATCAATAAACCCTTCCAAACCTCTAAAAGAAAGAAAGAAAGAACACAAGTCTCTAAAAGCACTACCGTTACGAGGCCAGAAAACAAATAATAAAGAGATGGCAAAAAAGCTGCAAATGTGGGGAAGTCTGGAAAGGTAGAAGCATCATGCAAGGTGGAAACCAGGGAGGTGATGTTCATGCAGATGACCTTCTGATAATTAAGCTTTCAACACAATCACATGGCACATTTATGACATTCATAGAAGACCATTTTTGCCACACAAAAATAGAGATGAAATATAATTACAAATATTAGGTCCAAAATTTTAAGATGAAAAGTTATGGTTTGACTTTTGAGAATATGATTATTTTAAAACTTAAAAGGTCAAAATTAAACTGTAAAATACGGATGTCGTAAGAGGCCATGCTTAAAAATATTTTTTTTCTCGTTTTGTTTTGATCTTGACATAACAAAAAGTTGTTATGTCGTGATTACGACTTATCTTTTTGCTTTAATTTATGTAGCATTTATTTATGTATTTATTATTATTATTATTATTATTATAATAATAATAATTATTATTATTATTAATAATAATAATAATATCTGGCCAATGTATGACCACACAACCTATTTTTTTCTGCCTGGATGCCCTAGGCATGCTTAACGTTGAAGCCGTGGGAACGGGGGGCTAAGTTAAGTGTGCAATACATAGGCTTGTACGGAAGTGTTAAATCATTTTTATAAGAATCAGTTTAGTTCAGCTGGACATGTTATGCTACAGATATGTGGGAAGCACCGCGCGTCTGTTACAAGCATCTCTGAGCTGCAGGAGTGACGAGAATGATACGATATGACGGATCCAAACTCGCAGGAAAAGGATTGTTTTCTAACTACTTCATTTAAAATAACATAGTTGGTCTGTATGGATGTCAATTTCAACAAAGTCCTGTGATCGATCTTGATTTAAATTAACGATCAATTACAGATTAATCGTTATGACCACTCCATCAAAAACACAATAGATACTTCCCATGGCAATGTGCATACAGTAGCTTCATATCGCATTATTTGCAGGAACTCACTTTTTAAAGTCATTGTAAATAACTTGTGGAAATGAAAAAAGCAAAAGCAGGATCTTCAGCATTCTTCATAATTTAATTCATAAATGCAGCAAGTTATTTGGCGCCATATTAAGTTGCTTTAACAGTTTAACAGTTGAGAGGATTTTATTGTAAATTATGATATAAAATTTTAGAAAATAGGAATAATTTTTTTATTATTTTTGTCTCTTTTTCTTTTAATCAAACAATTATTTGTATTGGTCATGTAAGGGTCATATATTAACAACTTCTACTGTTGTGTGTGGGATGCTGTGCATACTATTTAGCATTTTTGCAGAAGTAGATAAATGCTGGTGCAAAATTAAATTCATGTAAATTCATATGGACTGGACAATGATTGACAAATGACGAATTTGACGAAACTCCACATGTTAATATCAGCTGCCTATATAAGTTGGAGTCAGGAAAAGAAAGTGGTTGTGCGCCTCCTCAATGTAACTTTTGCATTGCATTGAGGATAACAGAATTCTTTGAATCAAATTATTAATTTGTATCCAATAAATTGTTAAGATTTTGAACATTGAAGAAAAACCTCTCCTGACCTTTTTTTTGAACACGCATGGAATTGATTGAAAATTACAACAATAATCATATACATGAATATAATCATGAACGTAGATTAATTATGAGCATGAGCGTTTTGAGCTCATATTAGTATAGCTTTTCTGAAAGTTAGTGTTGCAAGAATGCATGTCTGCAGTTAGGCAGACTCACTGCTCTAGTCTTAACACTCGTGCTGCCCCTTCATTATAAGCAATCATTAAGTTACATGAGGAATATTCTGTTTTAAAGGCCAGAGAGTACATGTAAAGAATATCGGTGGCCTGGTTATATTAGGCAGGAATAATAATAATATCAAATAATAATAATAATAAAAATCAATACATTAATAAAATACATAAAACAAGTTGTGATCACAACATAACTTTGTTATGCCGAGATGATGAGATAATTAAGTCGTGATCACAAGAAAACAACTTTTTGTTATAATGAGATAACGAGAAAATGAGTTGTTATGTCAAGATCACAAGTTAATTTAAGTCATGATCATGACAAAACAAGAGAGAATAAATATTTTAACACATGGCTTGTGAGGACCGTAGAAATATTAAACTTTGCATCATTTAAAATGTAGTTGAAACCTGATTAACTTAATAAAGTAAGCTAAAGTTACAAAAACATTTGTAGTCATGACTTTTGTGATATCATTTTTTACAGTCTATGGCCTTATCAGAACAATTTTACTTTGTCCCTCTTAATTCCAATTTATCAAATGTTTTTCCCCATTTTTTTAGAGGTTCTTCAAATTTTAAATAATATTTGCTGCTTAAAAAACAACATAATAATTAATAAACAATAACTGACCAAAGTTTTACACTTATAAAACCTTGTATTATTGACCAGATGCTGCCATTTACTGTCTGTAGTTTGCAAACCCCAAACAAGAATATAAAAAAAATGAGACTATTATACATTAGAAGAATATTCTGTTCCACTGTTCTATTCATAAAACGTTCAGTGGATCAGCGTCTTCAGTATGTGGTATTCAGACCCTGTTACCTTTTGCATTTGATTCTAAAATGAATTATTCATAAACCCCCATGGAATTAAACGCTGAGCTTGAGTCTGAGTATATATACAGTCAGAGAATTTGAAATAGCTGATGAATTTGAATGTTTCACCAAACATAGCTATTAGGTATTTTGTGCACACAATGAAAACAATGAATGTCTTATATGTCATGCAAGATTTGTTAAGGCCTACTGTGTCAATATGTAAGAGATGAGATGCATTAGTTGGTGCATTTCGGATTTAGCTTCTCATACCATGCTTTGCAGGTGATACGGGTGTTGGTATTCCTCCCTCTCCTCCATGCTGTCTTGGGTCATGGGCTGCATGAAGAGATCTTGAGGAGAGATAGGACTCAGTGCCACAAACCCACCTCTAGTGCTGAGGAAAAAAGCAAAGTCAATTATGTGGGCTTGCAAAACAAAACAGGATGTGGAAAAAGCTAGTCATAGTTTTGATGGATCTGAAATTAGTTCCCTTTGTGTGACATTGCCTGATACACACAAAAGGCCGAGACCCCTGAGCTGGGAATAGACCAAGATTTTTTTAAAGTTGGATTTATATAAAATATACATTAAATAACATAAAATATGTGTCATATAATATGTTGTTTTTATGTTATGTAAAAATTGTTTTAATATTTTGTAAAAAACAACATAATTCTATAAATATGTCTCTTCAAAACATTGCTCTAAACTCTGTATATAATGAAAAATTTTAAAGAACTAAGGTGGGAAAGTGCAGACCAGAGTTATTAGTAAATAAGTTTAAATGGACACCAATAATCTGATTTTAATTAAGACAATACTCCTATCAAGAGTTTACCATTTAAACAGTGATTTTTGAATAATCCGAGTAAGGTCATAATAATAGTTTGTGGGCATGCATAAAATGTTCCTGAATAAAAGTGAATGTGCCAAACTGCAGTCAACAAATTAAAAATGAAACACCTGAAACTACATGAAACTCCAGAGGAAATGTGTGAAAGTGTGGTGACGCAATGGTGTTAATCGAAATATGTGATATAACATGTAAAACGGGATCATGAAAGGAACATTCAAAAAGTAACTCATGTAAACACCTTAATCATATTCTTGTCTTATTTAGATTAAGGCAAATAATTTCATTACTGATGTCCATGTAAACATAGTCATTGTTATCTAACACCAAAAGAATAACTTTAACAAAGTCATTGCTTGAAATAAAATAAAGATGAAATGGAAAAAATTCAGCAATAAACCTTAAATTGCTTTTACATTATTTAGTTGCCAAAGCAAAATTTCTCATTCGTGTTAGGATCACGCACTGACATACTAAACAATGATTTAATAACTAAAAATAGCAAAAAGTAAAGAAAAAAAAACAATTAAGATATTAAAAACAAACAAACAAAAAGAAACATTTAAAAAATCATTCAAAATATTAACCCTTGTGAATCCTTATAAAATAGTTTTTATTTTGTAAGGATTTTTATTTTTTAAAAAGTTTTTATTTTGTCACATAATGTCATTTCTGATCATTGACCTATCTAAAAGTGTATAATGAATAGTTAAATAAAAAAAACAACAGTCACATTTTGTAAAGAAGCTTGTTTTGTTAAAGCATTTAACAATTTTAGAATTTAAAAAGTTATAATCCTTTAATAAATATTTATTTATCAATTAATGCTTTGGCAGTTATCAGGACTGATGCTGTTGCTGTGATGCACATTATTCAGGGCCAATGTAAGCACACACGCAAACACACAACATATACAATTACAGGGCAGATCCTGCACTGTGAGTCAGGAATGGCAAAGCCTTGGCACTGCAGAGGATGTCCTGCGGCAGCGAGGATGCATCCATGCGTTGGAACATTGGTGCGTGTTTCTGCAAGACAATATCAGATGGTCAGCAAAACCTCACCAGTGGCACAATGACCCAGTACCCATTAAAACAAACCACAGGAAATGCACAATGATATATAAGGATTCGTTAACGTGTCTTTACTGAAATTAATACTATTGCATACAGTTATACGCTAGAATAACAAGCATAATTAATAAACCTGAGGTTGTAAATTGACCTGTTTTTAGCTCTCAAGCTTCATATATCTTAAGTTTTAGTCACCAGTGCTGCAGAAGTTAACATGTCTCTACCTGTTCCTCGAGCTGCTGACGGAGCTTCTTGGCTTTGTTCTGCTTGTAGTAGTCCATGATCATCATGGCTGCATAGATCTTCCCAATGGTCATGTCACTAGCTGGAAAAAAGAGTTGTTTTTTTGTAGTAAATGAATTTTTATCCAGGCTGCAAAACACATTTACATTTAGGGACGTCAGTGGTATCCCTAGTGGACAACACTGGTACAACAATAACAGTGATAGTTCATCCAAATGAAAATGCATTCACTATTTATTCTCTCCCATGTGGTTTCAAACCTATGAGTTTCTTTCTACTGTTGGAAACAAAAGAAGATATTTTGAAGAAAGCTCAAAACCTGTAACTATTGACTTCTATAGTAAGAAAAACAAACACTATGGAAGTGAATGGTTATAGGTCTCCAGTTTTCACTGAAATATCTTCCTTTCTGTTCAACTGAAGAACAAAGTTAAAAAAAAAAAAAAGTTTTGTAATAAATGAACGACGAATAAATGATGACTATCCCTTTAAAAAATCAAAATCTGCCATACTCCAATCTCTTACCTTTGTGAATGGGTACAAGCAGATCAAGAGATTTCTGTGAGAGATGCGGCCAGATGACACTGATTTCCTTCTGCAGTTCAACATCCATCTGACCCCTGTCTTCCCCTCCTATTAAACAATGATCATTTTGCTAATATTATTGTGTTTTTTATTTATAGACAAAGAAATAAATGAGTGATGCCAACCTCGAGCAATTTTAATGTCCAGTGCGGTGCGTATGAGGGCCATAAGTGTGGAGGTGAAGTGGACAGACATGTCTTCATCCACTGGCATGTTCATCAGAACCAACCGCTAAAAGCAGATCGCCATAAAGACAAAAGACAAATGAAATACAAGAACCGCAAAACTAAACAGTGGCTGTGCATGATTTTTAAAACGCTAGACATCTAGGTTTTCTAAGTTATCAACTTTTACACAAAGAAGATGTCACAATATCACGATTCATGCACACAGTTGAAACACATATATTGGAGAGGGACAGATTAGAAACTGGGAAAGTTTGACGGATCACACTTTATGAACATGCCCTTTGTAATTTGTCTGTAATTGTTTTAAAAACTCTGTATTAAGACTTGCATGGTTTAATAAAAAATATTACTGAAATTTACAGGAGATAATACATGAAAGATCTAGATTATTTAAACAAAAAAATCACGTGTATTTTGGACTAGGGGTGATGCCATCATTTTAGGTATAAAGCCAAATAATTGCACTTGGTGAGCACAACAAATGATATCTTGGAGCTAATAGCTAGAGTGTACAATAGGGCCTATGAGATCCAAAATAGATTTTTTGGATGAACACATCACTGTTTTGTCCTATCACTCTCTAATGCTTTGTCATTTCAAAATTACATTATGAACAGAGAGATTAAACTGTTCTATCAAATTTTAAATAGTGCTACTTCAGCAGCCCTTTGTGCTTTGGTACCAACACTTAATATAAGGACTGACCATTTCACCAGATCTGCAACTATTGGATGTCTGCTGTTACCAGCTTTTAAAAACTGTTGTGGCCAGAGATCCTTCTTTTATGTATCCACAAAAGCCTGGAATGAGATCCTACAACATCTAAAATCAAAACCAACACAGAGACTTTAAAACAAATCCCATGCTCGTCATCTAATGGTCAACTATCGCTGTGGCCACTGAGAAAGTAGCCTGTTTGGTGATTGTTTGTACTGTGCTCATGTGTTGATGGATGAGATGGCAAGTGTGTCTGTATGTTTTTATGTTTTAGGGAAACCTGCTGAATAGCATTCATACTGAGTCAGGCCCGATTATCTTTTAATCTTTACCGGTTTAAAAAATTACAAAAAATAAAAATAAAAATAAAACTTATTACCACAGCACGACTCGAAATACAAACAAATTATATTTTGTCACATTGCATTATTTAAAAAGGTGGTTATTCCAAAAAAATGAACAAAAAAAGTTAAAATAAATAAATGAGCTAAATATAAATACAGCTGAAGACAGAATTATTAGCCCCCTTTGAATTTTTCTTTCTTTGTTTTATTTCGGCTAGAATAAAAGCAGTTTTTATTTTTTTAAAAAACATTTTAAGGGACAAAATTCTTAGCCCCTTTAAGCAATTTGTTTCTATAGTCTACAGAACAAACCATCAACATACAATAACTTTCCTAATTACCCTAACCTGCCTAGTTAACCTAATTAACCTAGTTAAGCCGTTAAATGTCACTAAGCTGAATACTAGTGTCTTGAAAAATTTCTAGTCAAATATTATGTACTGTCATCATGGCAAAGATTAAATAAATCTGCTTTTAGAACTAAGTTATTAAAACTATTATGGTTAGAAATGTGTTAAAAAAATCTTCTCTTTGTTAAACAGTAATTAGGGAAAAATAAACAGGGGGCTTATAATTTTGACAACTGTATTTTTAAATACTATAGGGATCTACCTTATTGGATTTTCTCTGATATTTTCAAACTCTTTTTGGCTGAGCTGATGATTATATCTGTTCTGTTGTGTGTTTTTGCAGAGTTAATTGACAGGTTAATTAACAGATTCAGGCTTGAGATTTGTATTCGGCATAAGTGTAAGCTTGTTTTAACAAACTTAAATCAACTTGTGATTATATGATCCCAATTGATGCTTTCTTCCTAGATCCTAATTTTGTTCCCAGATCCTAAATAAAAAAAGATTAAGCTCTGATTTAAGCTCTGTATGATCACAGTCAATAAGTCAATAATTTTTTCCTATATTCTGACCAATATATCATACCATTTTATATCATTCATAACTTTGTGTTATTTGTGTTTTGTACTTTCATTTTCCTAGTATAAGGTTTACAGCACCCCATGTGAATAGAAAATGCTGCCACCACATAGTCCAAAATGTATGTGGATTTGTTTAAATAAATGAAATAACCTTTCATGGGTTTTCTAATACAAATTAGTAAAATATATATGCTTAATTAAACCATATATGTTTTAATACCCAAGGTTCAGTTTATAGTGACATATTCAAGTAAAGTATTATTGGTGGATGCACATGGACTATAGGGAAGGATGATTAAAAGACAAACAACAAGTAGTAAAATCACTGATGGTCTATGAATGATAAAATTATATGTATGTACTGCAATTATTTGACATACAGTGCTCTTAAAAACACTAAAAATGTAATTGACTTAGATACAAAACATAGTATCTTGTTTCACAAACATGGTTTAATATACTTTTAAAGACATTTTGCACACAGAGATATTCATATTCTTTGGCAAAATTGACCAGATTTTTTGTAGACACTGTAACTACAGTCTTGAACTCGAGCCTTTATTCAATGGTAATACTGCAGACTACCTTATACGCCACTTTGGAGGGACATTTCTTGCCCAGGCCAAGCGGTGGCGACATGCAGGTCAGCATCTCGTACATATCAGTGTAATGAATACGGCCACTGGGAGGGGGCAGTCATGTGATGAAAAGGAGGAAGAATTGGGCATTCCCAAGGAACGAGGGAGGAGAGGAAGAAGAAAAAGAAAACAACAGAAAAGATAGAAGGAGAAGGAAGAGACAGGAAAGGGAAGGTCATTTTAATGTGTTTCATACTTAGGAAAGGAAAACACTGTCAAGAGGGAAAGTGATTAAACAGATAAGTGAAGCCAGGTGGAGGTCTTTCTATGCTATACTAGCATAGAAGAGGCTAGAGGAGAAAAAATATTAAAACAGCCAAAGATCTGAGGAGTCAAGTAGGTGGATCTGAGGGTTTGACTGGGTGGATTGAAAAGAACGCCTGTTATATAATACCATGCTGGTATAATACATAATCCCAAAATAGTGTTTTTGTTCAGTGTCAGAAATTAATGTGGGAAAGAAATGCAAGCAAAATTCAATAAATAAAAGTCAAAAATATTAAATTGGTGTGCATGTGTTATTCAATACAATTTGAAATAAATATTTAATAATTTTTTCCAATAAAATATTTCATTCATTAATTTTCCTTCAGCTTAGTCCCTTTATTCATCAGAGGTCACCATAGTAGAATGAACCGCCAACTTATCCAGCATATGTTTTACACAAAAAATGCCCTTCCAGCTGCAACCCAGTGCTGGGAAACATCCATACACACTTATTCACACACATACACTAAAGCCAAATTTAGCTGATTCAGTTCACCTATAGCACATGTCTTTTGACTGTGGAGGAAACAGGACCACCCAAAGGAAACCCACACCAACAGGGGGAGAACTTGCAAACTCCACACAGAAATGTAACTGGAACTCGAACCAGCTACCTTCTTGCTATGAGGCGACAGTGCTAACCACTGAGCCACCGTATCACCCCTTATTAAAATTTGTAAATAATACAAATAAAATTGACAATATATTCTAATACGAACTCTATGTATAGCTGATATATATACAGCTAAAGAAAAACATTAAGGGACCACTGGAAAATTCAGTTTTTCTTGATTTTATTTCTTGATTTATTCTGTAAACTGATTTCAGTTTGTATTAATTTAAAATAATGTTGTAATTTAGAGTAATTTGTTTTTGCATAAAATATATATAAAACTGATTTCCATGTTTTTAGATGTTTTTGTGTTACTAATAATACTAATGTTGATAATAATGTGGTTAATAAAATACTCAAATTGACAATATTTTTTTTATTTTTGGAGGAACTGTTAACAAACATTCATTTTCCTTTGGCTAAGTCACTTATTTATGAAGATTCGCCACAGCAGAATGCACCACCAACTATTTCTGCATATGTTTTACGCAGAGGATGTCCTTCCAGCCGCAATCCAGTACTGGTAAACACTTATACACAATCACATTCACACACATAGTCCTACACTAATTTTGTTCATCCAATTTACCTTTAGTGCATGTCTTTGGACTGTGAGGAAAACCAGAGCACCTGGAGGAAACCCGCACAAACCCATGGAAAACATGCAAACTCCACAAAGAAATGCCAACTGGCCCAGCCGGGACTTAAACCAGCAACCTTCTTGCTGTGAGGCGACAGTGCTAACCACTGAGTTACTGCGCGGCCCATTATTGAACATTTATAGAATAAATGTTAATTATATCAATATAATATAAACTGTATAATTATAATAAAAGGTGGAATGTGGTGGCGCAGTAGGTAGCGCTGTCCCCTCACAGCAAGAAGGTCGCTGGTTCAAGCCTTGGCTGGGTCAGTTGGTATTTCTGTGTAGAGTTTGCATGTTCTCCCTGTTGTTGGCGTGGGCTTCCTCCGGGTGCTCCGGTTTCACCCACAAGTTCAAAGACATGTGCTATAGGTAAATCGGGTAAGCTAAAATTGTACGTAGTGTATGTGTGTGGATGAGTTTGTATGGATATTTCCCAGTGATGGGTTGCATTTGGAAGGGCATCCGCTGCAAAAAACATGTGCTGGATAAGTTGGCGGTTCATTCCACTGTGGCGACCCCAGATTATTAAAAAGACTAAGCAGAAAAGAAAATGAATAAATCAATAAGTAAAAGGATAAATTTACTAAAAAGTAAAAAAAAAAATCTCCTAAAAAATGTAATTAATTTCTGACACTCTGGTAGGTCCAGTGAGAGATAAGTGTAATGTTCTTTTGATTTACAAACAGGTAGACATTGATGAACATGAGGAGTGTGACCTCATCTAACCCGAACAGCCCACATTAATGTTCAATAAAAGCCCCAAATCCAATTCAGACACAGAGAGAGCGAATCCCTGCTGACATCCATCGACAGTGTTAGATATTATCTAATGGAGTTCACTGATGGATGGCTCTCAGTGTCATTAACTGCAGCAGTTATTCACACTTCAGGAGCGGGACGCAGGCCGAAGGGATGAGCTGTCTCTCTGTGCACTGAGCTCTTGTCTCTGCCAGTCTTTGACCCAGTGGAAAGTAGCACTGGAGTAAATCACGGAAACGAGAGATAGGGGTAAGGGGTGTTAGCTAGTGAAGGAATAGGGGATGATAAAGGAGAGGAAGAGAAAAAAGGCAAAGGGGTAGTTTTTTTTTTTTTTTTTTTCGTGGGTGAGCCAAACCTTGCATGCCACCCTGTAGGGGCAATTCTTTCCAAAGCCCAGAGGAGGTGATATTGTGCGTACTACTTTGTACATCTCCTTATAGTGTAGTTTTCCACTGGAGAAGGAAATACTGGCCGTTAACGATAAATAGACAAGATGTAGTAGGATTAGGCTATTTTCATAAATATACACTTCAAAGGGGTCATATCATGAGTAGTTTGCTGTATTTATCATATGGTATTGTAATTCTTGTTTTAACAATGTGCATGCTGACGTTAAGTACTAAAAACAAAAACATATTTTCAGGGTCTAAAAGAATTAAGTGCATGATGAAGAATTTACGAAAGCAGTAAGAGCTTCTAAAACAAATGATATACAGTGGTCCCTCCTATAACGTACGTTCCCTTTTCACGTCCTCGCAGTTTTGCCAATTTTTTTGTGTGTAATTTGACATGTTTTTTTCTACAGTGCATTAGGTTGTTTATTGATTATTGTTAATCAATTTCCTCCATGTCTCCTGCACAGTGCAGAATGCGTTCTGCTTGCCAAATTTACATTCGATCCTGTGATTCTTCGATCACTAGCAGTGTGACTGTGAAGAGTGCAAGTTCTCTCCCCAAAATGTCGACGAAAAGGTCAGCGTCATCAAAGGCATCTGCAGTAGCACCCAAAAGGCAGAAGAAGATGCTAACCATCGCACAAAAAGTTGAACTTCTGGACATGCTAAAGGAAGGTAGAAGTTAGGCGTCTGTAGGGCGCCTTTACAGAATAAATAAATGAAGATCAAATTGTTTTGATCTTTGCTTTCATTCTATAATACTGGACTTATTTTTCAACAAAAGTTTGAACTTTGAGAGTGTTTAAACTAGAGTAAAAAGTGTGACAATGTTAATGCCTGTCTGAGAAAAGCGTATAAAGTGTGTAGTGAGGGGTTTTACAGCCTTAAAACATCTATAATAATTGTAAAAAATAAAGCTGACTACTTTGTCTATCATGGGCTATTTTTAGAATGCAACTCCTGCGGATAACGAGGGACCACTGTAAATATAATCAATCTGCCAGTATGGTTTTAGTTTTTACATTCATTAGATATGATATAGAATTTCACACAAAGCAAAAGTGCTGCCTTTTTTAACCTAGTTTTAGTCTATTCTGAGATGTCTATTGGATTTTCACTGACAGCCCAAGTTTAGCCTTGTTTCAGCCAAGCTGTCTACATTTAGGTGTCTATTAGACGTTTATTAAACACAAAATTGTTTGCTGGGCTCCTATCAGACAAATTGTTCAAAGATCCATTCTATACTCATTTGTTTCTCAATGAAACCTCTAATTTGAATAAATCATTTGAATTATTAATTTATCATTAATTAGGAGAACGAATGCTATTTTCTATATTTAAACTATCAATTTCTCCATTTAATTACCAGTAAGCGAAGTAAGATGTCTTAAACTGATTATTTTCTACTACTTATTAAATTTTAAAACTTTACAAAAATTTGTTCTTTATGACATGACCCCTTTGAAGTCATCCTAAAGGATTTAAAATTGGTAAACATATTAAACATAACTGACAATTACAAAGCATTTTAACATGTACATCTCATAAATAGCATACATGTGGCATACTTATATAAACACACAGTAAATAAACTATTGTTTGTTTATGCATTAATATGTATACAGTTATATAACACAATATCGTTCCAGAATACAATTCATTATAGCATAAATTATGTTCTTTTATTATGCATCATAAACAGAAAGGGTATAAAGCTGCATCTCTTACCATGCAGCACGGTCATACTCTCCCCAGATCCGTACAAACTCATCTAAGTGGTGAGGACCCAGAATGGATGAGTCACGTGTCAGGTACTCAAAATTATCCATGATCACAGCCACAAACAGATTCAGCATCTGAAAAAGACAAAGTTCAGTGAATAAACCGGATTTGGTATGAATAGACCTTAAGTGTGTGGTCTTTAAGTGTAAAGATTTGTAGAAATGTGTGTTTGTGTCATTAAATACAGTATGTGTTGCCTCTCACCAGAAAAGAACTGAAGAAGATGAAGGAGACAAAGTAGAAGTAGGCAAAGTCGGTACCGCAGTCGTTTTTTATTGTCTTTGTTGTTGAGTTGACAGAAGTGTCAATTTCACACTCCTTCTCTCCTAAACACGATAGCATGATTTCCTGCCATGATTCACCTGTTGCACTCCTTAACACAAACACACACACACACATACACATACATATGTATATCAGAAATTAAATCACATTCATCAATCCCGGAAGGGAAGTCTGTTTATTGTATCTGCTTCAAATTGACATAATTAATAACTTAGAGGATGTATTTTCACTAGAAATAATAATGACATTAAAGCATGCAGAATTCATTACCATAATCTTACCTGAACAAAAGCATGAGTGCACCAAAGAAAGTCCTGAAGTTATTGTGTTCATTGATTTGGGTTTTCTCATTTATCTTGATGTTGCCAAATACCTTCAGAGAGATTACAAACACATAAGAGCCATCTGTCACATTATAGGCCTAATGAAGTAATGGAAGAGCAAAGATGGCAGAGAAACAATGGAAGAGAGAGAGAAAGAGGAAGAATATAAAATGGAGACAGACTGTCTGGGGACAAAGACAACCTTTACCTGCATGCCAATGATGGCATAGATGAAAAACAGCATGGCGATGAGCAGACAGACATATGGTAGAGCCTGTAAAATAAATCTCACGTTAAAGTCTAATCTGAAAAATGATTGTTAAATTATATTTGCATAAGAAATAAATATAAAACTGCAACTAGGAGTCTTTGTCTGCGAATAATCCATTTAACTGATTCATTTTAAGAATTGAGAAACAAAGCAAGTGACTGTTGTTGTTATGAATGATCCACTCAATTACTGACTTCTTCGATTAGTTCAATAACACAGATTCAGTCATCAATTACCTGCCCTAACGAGGGCACATCGCAGGGCAAACACAAATGTCAGAATTACCTTTGACAATTTTGTTAACAGTCTCTTTTTTTAACTTCAGTTGCCATTACAACAAAGAGATTGTGATGTTTAGAAACAGATCTCTACAATACATGACAAAAGTCTTGTCATGGATCCCAGTTGCAAGAGCAACAAATAATAACTTGACTTCTAGTTGATCATTTGGAAAAGTGTCAAAAGGTAGATTTTTCTGATGAATCATCTGTTGAACTGCATCCCAATCACCACAAATATGGCAGAGGACTTACTGGAACTGGCATAGACCCATGATTCTTATAGAAATCAGTCTAGTTTGCTGAAGAAAAAATCATGGTTTGGGTTTACATTCAGTATGGGGGGCGTGCGAGAGATCAGCAGAGTGGATAGCAACATCAACAGCCTGAGGTATGAAGACATTTGTGCTGCCCATTACATTACAAACCACAGGAGAGGGTAAATTCTTCAGCAGGATAGCGCTTCTTCTCTTACTTCTGCCTCTACATCAAAGTTCCTGAAAGCAAAGAAGGTCAAGGTGCTCCAGGATTGACCAGCCCAGTCACCAGATATGAACATCATTGAGCATGTCTGGAGTAAGATGAAGAAGGAGGCATTGAAGTTGAATCCAAGGAATTTTGATGAACTCTGGGAGTCCTGGAAGAACGCTTTCTTTGCCGTTTCAGATGACTTTATTAATAAGTTATTTGAGTCATTGCAGAGATGTATGGATGCAGTCCTCCTAGCTCATGGGAGTCATACAGTATAATAATTCTTCTTCCACTGCGCCATGACTTTATAGTCTTAACTGTACATTATTGCTGTTAAGTGACAGGACTTTTGTCTAAAAAAAGTCAGACCTTACTGTCCTAAATAATTAAAAATCAAGGCATGATCATATTTTATTTTGGTAAAATAAGCGTAATCTAGAGGCCTGTGTATATCATATAAGTCACTTCTGATACCAAATGGTCAACTAGAAGTAAAGTTATTATTTGTTTTTCCTAAAACTTTTATAGGCGACAAGACTTTTGTCAGGTAGTGTAATGTTGTCTCTATTCATTCTTAATGCTCATTTTTCTTGTGGAGGATTGGAAACTGGGTGATCCATTGGTTTAATCTTGGAGTGATGCAACATTTAGTGAAATATTGTTTCATGTTTTGTGTTGAGTGTCTTGCAAACGCAGCATTAAAATCTGAATTTCTGTTTTGTGTTGAATAAAAGCAAAAACTGCATTTGGAAGAATAAGGATAAAAAGAAGAATAAGGGATTTCAATCTAGTGCAGCGCAAGACATGTCTGACCTTGAAGGACTGAACAAAAGTCCAGAGCAGAATACGGATGGTGTAGCCCTGACGCAGGAGTTTAATCAGCCGAGCTGCCCGGAATAGCTTCAGGAAGCCCATATTAAAAGTCTGCAAATACCAATGAGAGCACAGAGATGACTGCTTATGCAAATAAATATTGCAGACACACCAATCAAAATACAAAGGTCATTGCTTCTGCAAATAAATACTCTGCACATATTAATCAACACCATGAAGCTCATGCAAATACACACCAGCTAAATAGCAATTATTATACAGATGTGATTGTCCATGTAAATGACTTCTGTTTGCAAATCAATCACAATACATACTTAGTTCCTTATGAATATCAACTCTGACTACAAAGAACACACAAATGTAATTTAGTTCTCACTTTTCCAGTCTGAAATTTGTCCACCAGAATTTCTGTGATGCTTCCTAGAACCGTGATGAAGTCAAATATATTCCATGTGTCTCTGAAATAGTTCTGAAAGATATAAAGGTAATGACGTTATTTTTGAAAAAGTATTTCAACAGAGATTTTATGAAGTGATTCACATTCAAGGGTTAGCTTACCATTATACCAAAAGCCAGGATCTTGAGAACACACTCAACAGAGAAAATAACGGTGAAAATTGTGTTGAGATATTTGAGCACATCGTCATAGCCTTCAAGACGAGGATCATGATGCTGACAGAGAGCAAAAAAAGAACACACAGATAGCCTTGTAAAATATTTGTTATTTGTTTACATTCATTCATTCATTCATTCAATCATTCATTCATTCATTCACTCACTTTCTTTTTTAGCTTAGTCCCTTTATTATTCTGGGGTCGCCACAGAGAAATGACCTGCCAACTTATCTTGCATATGTTTTGCACAGTGGATGCCTTTCCAGCTAATACCCATCACTGGGAAACATCGATACACACTCATTCACACACATACACTACGGACACTTTAGCTCAGCCAATTCAGTCTTTGGACTTGTGGGGGAAACCGGAGGACCCAGAGGAAACCCACGTGAACACAGGGAGAACATGCAAACTCGAAGGCACTACCCACTGCGCCACCTGTTCACATTTATATAATATTATATATATATATTCTATCCTTACAGAGATTTTGTCAACAATTTTTTTAAACTAATAATTTTTTTTTCATTTATTTATCTTTTTTTTTAAGATTTATTTTTGCCCTTTTTGCCTTTATTAGATAAGACAGTAATAAGACAGGAAGTGAATTGGGGAAGAGAGAGAGTTGGGATGCCCTGACATTGTACTGCACCATATGTTGGAACGCTAACCACTGGGCTATTGCGCTGACAATAACTTATTTCTAATATCTAATTTATTTTGTTGTTGCCATGATGACAGAATGTAATATTTTTGTTCTGTAACCAATCAAGGGGCTTGTAATATTGTGATGTGTATTAATATATACAGTGTGCAGCATCCACTTGGATGATGCGACGGCGCCCACAGGACAACAGCGCCAGAGCGATCCCCACACACCAGCTATTGGTGGAGAGACAGTGATACAGCCAATTTGATGGATGGGGATGATTGGGGGGCCAATGAAGCAATTTTGGCCAGAACACCGACACTCTTTACAAGAAGTGTCATGGGATTTTTAATGACCACAGAGAGTCAGGACCTTGGTTAAACCTCTCATCCAAAATGTGGTGCTCACTGAGAGTATGGTGTCCCCTTCACTATACTGGGGCATTAGGACTCATATAGACCACAGGTTAAGCGCACCCTGCTGGCCTCACTAACACCACTTCCAACAGCAACCTAGCTTTCCCATGTGGTCTCCCATTCAGGTACTGACCAGGCTCAGCCTTGCTTAGCTTTAGTGAGTAACAGGTCTTAGGCTGCAGGGTGATATGACTGTATAACAATAATAATATTGACAAAAAAGCTAAAAGAGCCAAAAAAATGTATCTTTAAATGTTCTAAGTATTAAATAAAAGATATTCCTCTTTTCTACAAATACAGTAGTGCTGTCATGATATTGGAATTTGATACCAATCGGTACCGGTATTTTAGCGCATTCCTAAACTGCGCTGATTTGCCATTGTGTTCTGTGTTCAACAGAAATGACAGTGATTGGCCGTGAAGGTCATCAGTTCACCGAACTCATCGCGGTTTACTGAGTGTCTCTGTTACTGTGGTTACACTAAGAATGTGCTCAATAAAGAATTGGTATTGAAATCAAGTATTGCGACAACACTACAATACAGGCTATTGATTAACGCTAACCAATAGCCAGATTTCATAGCTATATACAGTAAGCATCCTTTTACACACATTCAGGTCTGGAGCCATTCTGGTATTTACCACCAACATATTTCATGATCCAAATAAATCCTGATGGACCTTAATACGCCAATAAAGCACTCAGAAAACTGAAATGGAAGACAATATGAAATGGACAGACCGCGAGGAAGGAAGCCATTCAGACTCCAGTAGAATATCTAAAAATATCTGTGCTCTATTACTCTCTCTGTGAAGCACGTAGTGACTAGTGAAGGGCCTCCTCTAACTCTAGGTAAAATTAGTCACGGAAGATGTCAGGCCAAAGCTAATGAGGAAACGTTAAATAGTAGCTGGTGCTTCAGATCAATATTTAATAAGCTGTGACTCATGACTGTCTGGTTTTAGAGCCATATCACAGACCAGGGGTCTCCAGGAGGGGCCGAACAACAGCTAAATCAGCCCAATTTATTTTGACAAATACACACATGGAGTAAAGAAGGCAATGCCCCTGCAATACTCACAGGTTTAAAAGAAATTTAATAGGAATTTTATTTATTACCAAAACTAATTACAAGAGTAATGTCTCCAGGATTATACTGTAATACATAATGCTCAAATTATTCTTGTTTTAATAAACAAAAAGAGATCACAGTGCTATAACATCCCTTCTTACCTTCATCATGAGAACGATGGTGTTAAGGGCGATCATTGTCAGTACTGTGTACTCAAATGAGGGCGACACCACAAATTGCCACAGTCTGTACTGTAAGGTCTGTCTGTTCTGGGGCATGTAGCGAGTCAAAGGTTTGGCACTGATGGCAAAGTCGATACAAGCCCTCTAAAAGAGAAACAAAAAGTTCAAAAGAGAGATTTGTTAGAGCTTTCAACAGCCAGAATAATTAAAGCTAGAGCCTCGAGACTTGATGCATGGAAAATGGCTGCAGACAAACTGGCAGAAAGACTTGTGTATAATCTTTAAATCTCTGAGAGTTTGTGTGAATTTCTACTTACTTTATTTAGTTTATTACTATGTTGGTAGGGATGTATATATGTTTATGTATGTACAGTTGAAGTCAGAATTATTAGCCCCCCTGTTTATTTTTCCCCCATTTCTGTTTAACATACAGTAGAGAATATTTATTCAACACATTTTTAAAGATAATAGTTTTATGAACTCATTTCTAATAACTGATTTAAATAATAATTTACTAGATATTTTTCAAGACATTTCTATTCAGCTTAAAGCAGGGGTGTCCAAACTCGGTCCAGGAGAATTTAGCTCCAACCCTAATTAAACATACCTGAGCCAGCTAGTCAAGCTCTTATTAGATATACTAGAAAATTCCTGGCAGGTGTGTTGAAGCAAGTTGGAACTAAACTCAGCAGGACACTGGCCCTCCAGGACCGAGTTTGGACACCCCTGGCTTAAAGAGACATTTAAAGGCTTGACTGGTTAATTACAGTAGGTTAACTAGGCAGGTTAGAGTATTTAGGCAAGGTATTGTATAATGATGGTTTGTTCTGTAGTTTATAAAAAAAAAAAAAAAAAAAAAAAAAAATATATATATATATATATATATATATATATATATATATATATATAGCTTAAAGGGGGTAATGATTTTGACCATAAATAAGTCCTTCTCTAGAAGAAAAAATATTATCAGACATACTGTGAAAATTTCCTTGAAAAAAATTCAAAGGGGGTTGAATAATTCTAATTTCAACTGGATATATATGAGTAGGTATATATACATAAATTTATGCATATGTGTATTATTTTCTCTAATTTTATAGACTGTAAATAAACCTTGTATTTATTATATTTGTGCTTAGGATATGTGTATCTTATGTTCATATGTATGTATATATTTTCTGTAAGTTATTTGTCTTGATTGCAATGCTATTTGTGGGATGGCATAGACCTTTGCACCGCTGGGAGGTGGGGTGGGTGTTGAGGAGTGGATCGTGTTTTGTTTATTGGAAAGAAAATTTTAAAGATGCTTTGACTACATGTAAAATCAATAAAAACTTGATCACAAAAAAATAGAGATTTGTTTGGATTAACTTCACATTAGATTTGCATTTGATCGTCGGGAGGAACAGGAATTGCTTGAACTTTTGCAATGCCAGTAAGAGAAGTACTAATAAAACATTAAAATTGAGAAGGACATGATGGAAAATACAATTAAAACTGTCCATATCAGGTGGAGCTGTTCTTCAGTGGATCGGCCTTCAATAGTGACGTGTATTAAACTGAAATTAAATAAACTGAACCGAAGATCAACAGTGACATTTGTGTTAAACTGAACTGAACTATACAGAAAAGGACATTAACAGTGACATGTATTACATTGAACTGAATCAGTTTTAATTTAGAAATACACCAGCATTCTACCTCTACTCTCCTGCCTGCCTGATATGCTGAAATGTTCCACAATCTAAAATATTGTTATGGCTTTTTATTCTCTATTCTTCATATATTGTATATAAAGCTGCTTTCACATAATCTACATTGTTAAAGCACTAGAGAAATAAAAATGACTTGACTTAGTAATACAAAACAAAAAAGTACAAGTGAAATTCTCTCTAAGCCACAAAAAGGCATGGATCATGTTTTCACATTGACGGCTTGAATCTGGAGCTTTTCTCAAAAGTTCCTTTGAAATTGTGCTCAGATAATCATTCAACGCTGAATCACATAAGTGCATTATTTATATTTTGTACAGTATGTTCTTATAATAAAACTATAATGATATGTCACCTCAAGTATACGTCATTGCTTCTATTTCCACAGGCACTCAGCTAGAGTTCAAAATGTACAAGCAAACATTTTTATTCACCTCGTTTTTCTCCAGACTACACTCCTCCATCATTTTGTCACCCTGTTCTTGGAAAGTGATGATGATGAGGGCCACAAATATGTTGACGAAGAAGAAGGGGAACACCACAAAATAAATGACATAGAAGATAGACATCTCCATCCTGTTCCCCTGACTGGGACCCCGGTCCTCCTCTGTCACATCCACAGAGTGTTGCAGAACTCTAAAATGTCAAACAACAATCTGTTTAAAGACAAACTTTAAATTAAACAAATAAGACATTATTTGGAAACGTTGAGGTTTTCACACAAGTAAATAATTGAAGTAGTTCATTGATTCATTCATTCTTTGATTTTCCTTCAGCTTAGTGCCTTTATTTATCCTTCCACTGTGGGGTCGCCACAGCGGAGTAAACCACAAACTTATCCAGCATATGCTTTACACAGCGGATGCCCTTCCAGCTGCATACACACTCATTCACACTCATACATAACGGCCAGTTTAGTTTTTTCAATTCACATATAGCGCATGTCTTTGGACTGTGGGGGAAACTGGAGCGCCCGGAGGAAACCTTCGCCAACATGCAAACTCCACACAGAAATGCCAACTGACCCAGCCGAGGCTTGAACCAGCGACCTTCTTGCTGTGAGGCAACAATGATAACCACTGAGCCACATTGTGCCACCTCTAATTTAAGTAGTTAAAGGTACAATTTGTAATTTTAGCAGCTAGAAGGAGCATATTCACAACAAATAAAAGTGTAGTCTGATGATGGCGTGACTGAGTGTGGAATCATGAGAATTGTGATCTTCATTCAACCCTATGGGACTCCTGCAGAAATCATGTTGATGAATGAAGTATGAGGCAAAATAAGGGTGAAAGCCGTCAAAAAAGTGAAATGAGATGGTTTTCTATGAAACCAAACCAGAAACTGTGAGTGTGTGAGGTCATTAGCATGGTAATACATGATCACGCATATAACAGTCTCTGTCACTAGTTAAAATTGCTTATTTCTCTGGATTTTAACATTCTAAAACCATTTGGCTTTGTAAGTACATAAGTCAGCAAAATATATAACACCATTTTAGGGTTTTATGATTGTTTTAAAGAAAAATAATCTTATAAATTGTGCCTTTAACATAATAAATTACACCTAAGAATGCTGTAAGCTAATTCAGATTTGTTAACAATGTGTTACACCTGACATCATCACTACATTAATCAAAATATGCTTTGGGCCTGCTGTGTAAGAATATGCTAAATTAGCACACAGCTTCTAGAAAGGTGTTAAGAGGAATATAAATGTTATTGGAGTGTTAATAATGATATTGTGTGAAAAGTTGGCTCTTACTGCGGCCAGCCTTCGCCAGTGGATACGGTGAAGAGAGTCAACAGAGCCCAGACAACGTTATCATAATGGAAATCGCGTCTCTTCCACTCTCGTTTCTCCTTTTTCTTGTCTTTATCATAGTCAATGTAGTAGCCTCTATAAACATACAGGAAAAAAAAAAAAAACATTTTCCCATATAATTTTCAGAGAAGAGATGTTCTTAAAATGCCACACTTCGGTTTATAGCAGACTTTTGAGATTTTAATTGTTCAAAATTTGTTTTAGTATCATCTTATAGAATTAAGATTGCAGTTGTATTGGGGACCTACTTGCACTCGTTTTCAGTGTCCTTGGAACTGTCGGTACAGTAGTAAAATTTCCCTTTGAAAAGCTGCACGGCAATGACGGCAAATATGAACATAAACAGCTTGTAGACGATGAGGATGTTGAAAACATTCTTCAGTGATGTTACCACACAGTCAAACACAGCCTGAAAATCAATACAAGATATAAAAATTAGAGACCATGACATTTTTTGTTTTTGTTTTGTGTGTACATTTGTACTTTAATACCTAAACACAATTTATTTTAGTTTGTTGCCTAAGTTTAGAATTTTAAAGTTAAGCCTTTCATGTATTATTTACAATATATTTTATTTCAACCTTAGATCTAGGGCTGCACAATATATCATTTCAGCATTGATATCGCAAAGTGTGAATCTGCAATAGTCACATCGCAGGATCTGAATTTGATGGGTTGGAATTATAGTTGTCAGCACCACAGTTTAGTTTTGTGAGGTCATTGCAAAGTTTAACCCTAAAATAGATTGAAAGATTTTTGTTTGTATGTGTTTTTTAAGACCTGTGACTGTGTATAATTTAAGCAAACTTAAACCAAGAGGTTATAAAGTTGTATAAACCTAAATTAATTGTAATTAATTATTTATACAATGAAGACTCTACACTAATACAGTGTTATTTTATATATATATATATATATATTTATTATTGAATTTCTTTGCAGAAATTCGAGAGAAAACCAAAAGATTACTTTGTATCTATTCAGTTGTATTACTCAAAAAAATAAGCCCAATCAATATAAAATGATGAATTAATTCCAAATAGAGATTTAGGACATCTTGTAAAAATTAAATTTATATCACAATATAATAATAAATAATAATTCCTTACATTTATATATCGCTTTTCTAGACACTCAAAGCGCTTTATACATTGGAGGCAATCTCCTCATCGGCATGACGCAACGGCCGTTATATTGCGCCAGACTGTACACAACACACCAGCAGATTGACAGAGGCCAGTGGGCAAATTTGGCCAGGATGCCAGGGTTAAACCCGTACTCTTTTTTTTTTAAGGACATCCTGAGGTTTTTAACGACCACAGAGAGTCAGGTCCTTGATTTAACCTCTCAAGTCCCTGAGTCCCTGTCACTATACTGGGGCATTAGGACCCACACAGACTACGGGTTGGGCGTCCCCTGCTGGCCTCACTAACACCACTTCCGACAGCAACCTAGCTTTCCCATTTGGTCTCGCATCCAGGTACTGATCGCTGACCGGGCACATCCCTGCTTAGCTTCAATGGGCGACCATGTGAGAGTTGCAGAGAGCTAACTGCCAGTAACAGAACAGAAGACTCAAAAGAATAATTTAATACAGTATATAAATGCAAGGAATTATTATTAATGTTTACAATATATATCGCAGACAAACTAAATATCGCAATGTCCGTTTTTGTCCGATATCCTGCAGCCCTACTTAGAACTGAATTTATGTACACACAAAAGCTTGGGTTGATAAATATCAGTCCAGTTAATGATTTAAAAAAAATTTTTTCATCCCAAACAGTTGAGATATTTTACAAACATGCTTGTTTTTTAGAAAAAAATTGCTTCACTTTAGAAAAGCGTCTGTTCTTCTGTCTTTTAAATCTGTCCATCACACTTTATCACTTTGCTTCTTTTTCCACACACATTTCTGACACACATTTCTCTGCCTCTCATGCCATGCCTCTCTCATTCTCACAAACACAAGATACTCTGTCAGACTGTTGAGTTACCATGTGTGAGGACTGAGAAAAAAAAAAAAAACTGATGCAATTTTTTCATATAAGGCAAGAGTTTCATCACCTTCCCTCTTATTTGATCACATCCTGCTGGTTTAATGACGGCATTCTGTCACGTAAACAACTTCAATTGGTTCTGATGGATGCATGAACTCCAAAATTAAGCAAGACAGATACACACAGTGTTCCACTCGTTAAGTATGCAACTAATGTTATCCAGTAATGTTTTGCAATATTTTCAGGATTTTGAATTTTTTTTTTTTGATGAAGAGAAAGCTCAAAAGAATAATTTAATACAGTCTTGCTAAACACAAGTATGCAGTTGAATTCAGAATTATGTATATTTTTCCCCAATCTCTGTTTAATAGAAGGAAGATTTTTCAAACACATTTCTAAACATATTGCTTTTATTAACTAATTTCTATTAACTGATTTCTCTTATCTTTTCCATGATAACATAATATTTTACATGACATTTTTCAAGATACAGCTTAAAGTGCATTTTAAAGGCTTTACTAAGTTAATTTGGCAAGTTAGGGTTATTAGGCAAATCATTGTATAATGATGGTTTGTTCTGTAGACAGAAGAAGAGGCTAATAATATTAAACTTGAAATGGTTTAAAAAAAAATTAAAACAGCGTTTATTCTAGCCGAAATAAATAAATAAGACTTTTTGCAGGAGAAATAATATTATAGGAAATACTGTGAAACTATTGACTTCAACTGTACATTTCTTTCAGTTAATACAAAACAAACAAACACCTGAAAGGAAAGACTTGATCACAAATGTTTAAATGGCAAATTTCATAGTCATATACCTTGAGTTTAGGAAGTCTTTTAATCGTCTTGAGAGGCCTCAGAACTCGGAGTACACGCAGCGATTTAATGGTTTTAATGTCTCTTCCTGTGTTACTCCTGCATTGCATGAAAACATGTTTTACTAAACACTAACAAAAAAACAAAAAAAAAACATACACACATTATTATATGGCACAAAATCAGAGTGTTTTTACCCCATCACATTCCTGTCAGATGCCGTGAGCCACAATCCACAAGAAGACCAACAGAAAAACAAACAAGAAACAGACAGGCAACTTGAACCAGGGAGCTTCTCAATGAACACAGAAATGCTTTTACACTCACAACAGAGAAAAGAGAGCATTTACTAACAGCAATATGTGTCAAGAATTTGAAATGTCTGAATGTTTTTCCTCACATAACTCATGGAGTGGCATCGCATGGCATTAATGGAATTTGAAAACGAATAACAAAACATTTGAGCAATGCAGCTAAACAGCTAAATCAACATGGTGCAGATTTTAAATCAGAATGCTAAATTGAACATATTATTTCTCACGATTGAATCAATTTGACTTACGTGAGAGCAAAAGCCACCAGAGCTCCCACCACAACTATGAAATCCAGAATGTTCCACGGGTCACGAAAATAGGAGCCATAGTGTAAGACCAACCCCTGATCAATCATCTGAGAAAAATGTAGCATATGTTAATTTCGTGTATATATATATATATATATATATATATATATATATATATATATATATATATATATATATATATATATATATATATATATATATATATATATATATATACATTTTCTTTTTTTTTTTTTTTTTTTTTTTTGTTAAAGTCAGAATTATTAGCCCCCCTTTGACTTTTTTCTTCTTTTTAAATTACTTCCCAAATGATGTTTAACAGAGCAAGGAAATTTTCACAGCATGTCTGATAATATTTTTTCTTCTGGAGAAAGTTTTATTTATTTTATTTCAACTAGAATAAACCAGTTTTAAAACTTTTAAATTATATGAATGAATGAATTATTAAAACTTTTATGTTTAAAAATTGGTTGAAAAAACTTCTCTCCATTAAACAGAAACCAGAGAAAAAAATAAACAGGGGGCTAATCATTTATGGGGGCTAAATAATTAATTAATTCTGACTTCAGAATTAATTATTCTTCATTAATACATTTATTAATTCTGGCTAATTAGTTCTGACTTCAACTGTATATACACACACTCACCAGCCACTTTATTAGGTACACCTGTCTAACTGCTCACTAAACAAATTGCTAATTAGCCAATCACATGACAGGAATTCAATGCAATAAGGCATGTATACATGGTCAAGATGATCTGCTGCAGTTCAAACTGAGCATCAGAATGGGGAAGAAAGGTGATTTAAGTGACTTTGAACGTGGCATGGTTGTTGGTGCCAGACAGACTGGTCTGAGTACTTCAGAAACTGCTGATCTACAAAGATTTTCACACACAATCATAACTAGGGTTCACAGAGAATGGCCCGAAAAAGAGTAAATATCCAGTGAGCGGCAGTTCTGTGGTCGCAAATGCCTTGATGATGAACTCAAATGGCCTCCACAGTCACTAGATTTCAATCCAATAGAGCACTTTTGGGTTGGAATGGGAGATTCATATCATGGATGTGCAGCTGACAAATCTGTAGCAACTGCATGATGATATCATGTCAAAATGGACCAAGATTTCTGAAGAACATTTCCAGTACCTCGGTAAATCAATGCCATGAAGGATTAAGGCAGTTTTGAAGGGAAAAGGGTCTCCAACCCGGTACTAGTAAGATGTACCTAATAAAGTGTCCGCTGAGTGTATATATTTAAAGGAACTTACAGGAGCAATCCCAAAACTCACCTTGATTATCATTTCAAACGTGAAGACCCCAGTGAATACATAGTCAAAATAGCGCAGAACCTATTCCACATAAAAACAAGAATTTAATATGCATTACAGTTTCAGCATAAGCAAATATGCAAAATGAGTTTTAATAATACATGAGATTTATGAGAACTTATCATTGTTTGGAATATGGCTGCTTAGATTGAACATGCCAGAATGTTGCTATTCTCCTGAAGCCTCTATTGATTCCATTGCAGCAGTGACAGCTGCATACATGTAAATCCTAACTTGTGTTTCTGAGAGGGAAAGTGGCTTTTCTTCAGCTGTCCTCTACATCTAGAGAATGGTTTACGTCATTTGTTTACATACATGATCTCATCTGCTATTACTGGAAGAGTCTTAGCATGTAATTAGCTGTGGTTTAATACAGCTGGTGCGCTGTCACTTGGGAAATTTAAAAAGTGCAACAAAAATGTAATGTCTATTAACTCGCAAGCGACGCCAAATTCTTCATGACCCACTGAGAACAATTTCATTTAAAAAACTGATGAATGCTAATTTATTTTTATTGGCAAAAATAAACAACAAATAACCTTTTTTTCCTTTGTTTAAGACATTGCATTTGTGATGACACCGAGCTATTGAGAAAAATAAATCATATTTCATCAATATTTCATTTGGATACATTATAGGGATGAATATTTTCTTACATATTTTAAGATGTCAAAAAATGCAAAAAGGACAAATTTTCTATTTAGTCTCTTAAAGGGTTAGTTCACCCAGAAATTAAAATGACGTTACTAATTACTCACTCTTGAGTCATTCCAATCCCTTGATACTTTTTTTTTTTAAATCTCCCTCATTCTCAATAGACAGGAATAGTCACAATTCCTTTAAACTCCAGAAAAATACCAAAACACATCCTCAAAACTGAACATATGCTTTGAGAAGAAGAAACTGTTGAATAAAGTTTTTGTTCTTGGTATTTTCATAGCTTAATAATACTCTGATTGATCCACTGCAGTCATGTTTTTAGGAGCACGTCATGATTTTCCCAAATACGACACGATCCTGTATTAACATATATGTTGATCCTGGAACATCATGTTTGTTGAAAAATGTAATCCATACCTAGGAAATAAAAGTTGGATAACACTCATGTAGAAGTACATAAACCTTATTGTTTGCCTAAACTAAACATAAACAGATCCCTTAATTCTGATTGGAATGTCATTCCAGGATCAACATAGATGTTAATCCAGGAACATGTTTAACTGGGTGAAATCAGGTTGACGGTTTTGAGGATGTTTAAGGATGGTACCTTTGAGACCAATGCTGTCAGAGCATTCCAGTCAGGTAGCTCTCAGATTTCATCCAACAAATCTTAATTTGTTTTCTGAAGATGAACAAAGTTCTCAGGGGGTTTTGGACGACATGAGGGTGAGTAATTATTGGGAGAAATTAAATTTTTTGGCGTGAACTAATCCTTTAAATAATATGAGGCCATATAATCTGCAAGAATAATGTCTTGCAAATGAATAAGGACGTGGCTATTTACAATAGGTTAATAGTTGCTCTGAGATGTGTGTCATGCGGATGAAACACAGGGCAACTTTTTGAGCAATGTTGCAGGGCAACTTTGAAATATTATACCATAAATGGGCAACCAGGTGAGACATTGGGTAACTAATTTGGGCAATGGGTTACAGATATAATATTCTTTCCCATTCTGAGTAGAAAAGTAGCCGGGCAATATCGCTTTGGAAAATTGCCCAGCAACATTGCCCAAAAAGTTGCGCTGTCTCTCATCAGCATCATCAGTTTTATTACTGTTTAACAGTTTCACAATATTCACTGTTATGAGTCAATAGGGTAAATTAACCTAATGAAATATACTTGTTATTGTTTGTAAGCTTCCTTAGGTGTCAAAACCCTGCTTCAACACACTTACTATAACTAGGTTTCAAAAAAGCCTAAGGAACTCAGTTCAATCAGGTTTAAATAGTGTTAAAGCTAAACCTTAGACCCTAAATTAACAAAACAAAAAATAAATAAACAGCTTTTTTTTAGACCATTTGTTTTGTGCAAGACAATCATTGTTATGTGGCGTTGGGGAATTCTTACTTTGTTCCTGTCCGAATTAGTGTTGACGGGGTCTTCGGCAGCCAATGCGATACTGCTGGCGGCGATCACAAGAAGGATTGACATCTCAAAATAACGAAGGTTGACAACGTAGTGGCAGGCCCTGCGGACCCTGTAGGGGAGAACAGAGAATAAGAGAGATGAAATGGGATCATATTCATAAAATATAAAATACAGCTGTGGCTCCACAAACATCCAGCCTTACGGGTTGTTGGGTTTGAAGATGAACATGCTGACAGGTGGAGGCCCTTTGGGTGCATCTGGGGTTTCTTCTTCTTTCTCTGGCTTTGAGGCCTCCACATCTTTACTATTACCTGGAAAATTCAGGTACATTTTAGAAACTATGTATGTTTACTTAAGCTTAGTCATGAGACAGCTGGGAGTCAGCAATAATGCAGTAAATATAGACACTGTATTTATTACAGTGTAATATTAAAGATCTATCAACAGTAAATATGGAAAAGCTATATTTATTTATTTTATATTTTTATTAGCATTTCTCACAAAAGTCATATAGAGACAAATATTACTATGTATTTTTCCAACACATTTCTAGTAATAATAGTTATACTATTAATACTAATTACTTTTGTCTTTACTATGATGACAGTAAATAATGTTTTACTAGTTATTTTACAAGATACTTATATTAAACTTAAGGTCCTAGGTTATTTAGGTTAATTAGTCACTGGATGACTTTTTTTTTGCATACTTTTAATTGTTCCCCATTAAAAAGTATATAAAAAATCGATATTTTTCAAGGCATCATATCAAAGTTGAATTTGCATTTTATTTTACTCTTATTTATGTTGACTATTACTTATTATGTTTTTACTTTTTTATTATTCGCTTTTACCACTTTAATTTCTGTTTCCATTTTTAATTTCATTTTAAAGGTTAATTTTTGTTGTGTTTATGGGTTTTTATTTTAGTTTTAGTACTTCAACTTGATTTAACTGAAAAAAGTTTGCTTGAGATTTTTTTTTCACATCTTTTATTTTTCATTTTAGCTTAATGAATTTATTTTGAGCTTTTGTTAATTGCAATAATCTTCTATGTAGCACTATTTTTATTTTAGTTTATAATTAGACAGCTAATAATAGGTGGTTTAAACAAATTATGTTGACAATAAAAATGTATTAAAATAACTTAAAAACAGCTTTTATTCCTGTCGAACTAAAAGACAAAATATAAATACTAAATACATTTTTCTTGCACTGTTAAACATCACTTGGAAAATATTTGAAAAGATAATAAAATTCGCAATAGGGGTAATTATTTTGCCTTTAAATGTAGCTAAATTTTAACAAAAACCTTTCATGGATTATTACAAAATATTTTAGTAAAATTATATAGATATTAAATCTATAACAAAGCAACAGTGCAAATAAATTGTTATGAATATTTTTTTATTTTCTTAGAAACTTTATGAAGCCAATTATGAAGTTTATAAACATTATCTGAGTAGATTGCAGACCAAACATACAGTATCTATGCAAAATATTTAATGTGTTATGGGGACACAATTTGTGCATATTTTTTTTAAGCTGTCAATTTCTAATGTCCATTAGTAACTTAATATCATATGCTTATATATTTATGTACTTTCCCTGCTGAAAAGACCTGCATTGCTGGTCATGCTTTGGGATGGTGGTGTTTCTACTAGGACCTTCTTAACCAGCAAAGCAGCCTTTGCTGACCAGCTTCTCCAGAATCACCATGCATTTGCTGGTCAACAGCTTAACTCTGCTGGTTTCCTCTAGTTAGACCAGAACCAATCCAGCAGTGACCAGCAGCCTTTATTCTCAGCTGGTCTTATCAGCAGGGCTATGGGAGGTGTAGGGATGCTCAAACCCGTAATGGAGGTCAGCTCCATGGATGGCTGAGTGTCGGTGACCTCTATCACGATGCTGGTGTTGAGGGAGGACTTATCCTGATTCAAGGACCCGTGGTTATTGTTATCGGTCTCACCGGCACATGTAGTTCCCTGTGAAGACTGCTGCAGTGTGTTGTCAGTGAGCTGTAGAGTAGCAGGTTCAGAGTCAAGAGGTGGGATTTTGCGGGGGGAATTTGCTGGTTTGGACTCTGTGGATGATTCTGTGTTGTCTGGTTTGTTCTGCCTGTGGAAGGTGAAAAGTTAATAGTGGAGTTCTCTCTCCAGACTCTCAAAAAGCAATATTTGTGCACTTGTTGATAAAAATAGTAGGGTCTATATTAAATTAATACAAGCTGTCACCATGTTGTAACAGCTGTTCTGTCATAATGTCCATTTTTTTGTTAACCTTGAAGACCTATTCGCTAGCTTCCTCAGAAAGTTATAATGGCTTTTTAGAACAGCAGCTGTATGATTTATGAGTTGTCTTTTAGATTTATGAGTTAAATAAGGTTTGTGGCTAACATGATTGTTGTACAACATAAATGACACATATCCATCTAAAACACTGATTATAAACCAGTGTTTATCGCAATTTTCAAACAACAATTTTGTCATATTCTCCAAAACAATTGTTATTGCAGTAAGATTAATACAAAGGTAAGGTTAAAGCCAAGAAACTGCCCAACCCATTTTAATCCTTCATAATATTTAAAAATAGTTTCATCTTTCTTTTCTGACTGCATATTTTTCCTTTTAAACATCAAAATGTGTCTAGGATTTTGACAACCTAAACCAGGAATTTTGAATTAGTAAATTAAATATAAAATAATATTTTGGTCTGTAAGATACGACAAAATATTTCTACTTTACAAAGGTGATGTTTCCCCAGTGACACGTGAAGTAACCCTTCAAAAATGATTCTAACAAGCTAAATTCCCACTTTGTACTGTTACCAAAACTGAAAACAGTTATTTAGCTTATTGTTCTTCTGGAAAGTGTGTTGTATACATTTTTAAAAACCATTTGAATAAAAAAGGTAAAAACTATCAATAGTAAATATAGAAGATCTATATTTGTTTTATTTTCATATTTTTATCAGCATTTCTCACAAAAGTCATATATGGACAAATATTATATACTATATATTTTTTACAACACATTTCTAAACATACAGTAATAGTTTTAATAACTAATTTCTAATAATTAATTCCTTTTGTTTTTACCATAATGATGTTTTACAAGATATTAAGCTTAAGGTACTAGGTTAATTTAGGTAAATAGATAAGTCACTGGACGACTTGGTTTGTTCTTTAGCTAATCAACAAAAAAATCCTAAGGAGGCTAATAATAGGTGGCTAAAACTAATAATATTGACATTAAAAATGAATTAAAATAACTTAAAAAAATGATTTCATGGTTAACATGATTGTTGTACAACATAACTTACACACATCCATCTTAAACAATGATTCTAAACCAGTTTTTATCGCAATTTGCAGACAACAGTTTGTTATTGCAGTAAGGTTAATACAAGGTTAAGCCTAAAACCAAGAAACTGCCCAACCCATTTTAATTCTTCATAATATTTAAAAACAGTTTAATCTTTCTTTTCTGACTGCATATTTTTCCTTTTACATATCAAAATGTGTCTGGGATTATGACAACATGATTCTAGAATCCGAATTAGCTGCTAAATCAAACATAAAATCAACCAGCATTCAAATATTTTTGAGCTGTAAGATACAGTATAAGACCAAATATTTCTATTGTAATGCATTTTAAAATGCTCATTATAACCAAGATGACAAAAGTAATGTTTGTTCAGTGTCACGTGAAGTAACCCTTCGAAAATTATTTTAAAATGCTGATTTCCCACTTTCTACTGTTACTAAAACTGAAAATGATTTAGCTTAATGTTCTTCTGGAAAGCGTGATGTATATTGTTTTCAAAACCGCATGAACAAAAAAAGATAAAAAACTTACATAATATAAATGTCTTTTGATTAACTTTAACAATCACCATCCAAATAATAAGCTAATTTAATGATTCTGATTGGTAGGAAACATCCTTTATACAACTAAAAACAATAACTGCTTATAAATTAAAAATATTAATGTTTACCTTTGTTCAAGCCCTCTGCCATCTGGACTGATTTCTCCATCACTCTTTTCATCACCCTCACTTCCTGGCTTTTGTTCTTTACCGTCAACACCATCACCTTGCAGAGTCTCTTTTCCCCTGGGGTCTGTGTGAAGCTCGCGGTGGCGTGGCCGTCGGGGCCTGGGCCCCATATCAGGGGTCAGCATGTCCCCCATAGCAGGAGGTCTGTGCTTACGGACAGCCCGCTGCCGCCTGTTCCCATTTAGTCTAGGGCAATGGTTGTTGATGTCCAGAGCACCCTCGGGTGAAGTCTTTGATTCAGATGGCTCTGTTAAGGGCAGATTCAGTGTAACTGGGGGTTCAGGGAGGCATGCGTCCACGGGCATTGGTGGCTCTGGAATTGGAATGGCTAAAGGGGGTTCAGGAATAGAAATGGGCAGAGCTTGCTCATCCACCGGCATGTCCATAGGCATGGGTGGCTCTAAGGTACCCTCTGGCATGATTGTGGTTGAAGTGGTCTCAGTGGCTCTGCGCTTGCTGCCAGATGGAGATAGTCCAGGTTTCCGGTGGAGAGGGCAGCCTGGTGGTCCGTCCTGTTCTTCACTGGGGCTGCTGAAAAGGATCTCGCGGCTGGACATCTGCCTGTGCCGCCGCAGCTGGCTGGTCCTCTGCTCCCACACTGACATGGTCAACCTCCTCCTCCTCTCTCTCCTGGACATGAAAGAGTTAGAGGCATTGAATGGACGAGCGTCAGCCAGACTCTCTGCATCCTCGAAGGAGTAGGCTGCACGGCTCCGATGAATTGCACGCTTCCTGTACAGGTAGGGCCTCCTCCTCCTCCTGAGAAAAGAGAGAGAGGACACTTAACAAGACTGGAACAAAGAAATATTTCAGAAACCACATTATGTCATCACTCATTAGCTGTATAACTTTTTTGTACCCTTCTGAAAAGACTAGCCTAATCCAGTGGTTCTTAACTGGTTTTGCACCAGGTCTATATAATGCCTTGGCAATATATGACACATAAAATGTTTAGCATAGAAACAAATGAGCAAACAATTTCTTAAGATAATTAGTTTATTTGTTAGTTATTTTACTAATTTCTAGTTTTCTAAATCTCAATTAAACAAAAATGTTTCCATAAACCAGCCTCATGTTGGACAGGTACGTATATTTGTTGGAATAGCCAAAAATATACTGAGGGCCTACTCACACTAGCCTACCCAAACCATGCCTGGACGTGTTTCCATGTTCGTTTGACAGGTGTGAGTGCCCCGAATTGGGCCCAGGCATCGATCAGTTGGCCGGCCCTGGCCCGGTTGGAAGAGGTGTGTCAGTGCGGTTTGGTTGGGCTTTGGCACAGTACGCATGTAGTATGAGTGCAAAGCACGCCTGAGGTCGAAACTGAAGATGCAACGTCACTATTAAAAGACTTTCACATGGATCTATTAATTATTCTTACTTTTCAATGAACATGAACTGTTATAGTTTATTAAAGATACAACCCCCTGGCTGCATCTCAGCTGCACCTTTAGCAAATCTCTTAATACTTGTAGCACAAGGACTTTTTAAACATTTATGAGCATCAAAAGTGGTGGATGTGTTCCGTACCAATTGTAAAATTTGTACCAATTGTAATGGTTTGCTTCAGTTCAATTTGGAATTTCCCTAACCAACGCAGAGCTGGGGGGAACAGAGTGAGTGCTCTGACTTGGCCACACCCTGATCCTTCTCTTCTGTTAGTAAACTAAACAGTCGCATCATCGATGACGTAAGAATGCTCTGGCTCGGTAGGTAAATGCAATGTGTTTGCATGTGTTTTTATGTATCCAACTTTCAGATGATGTATAAAGATATATAAAAAAAAAAAAATCAATATGTAAACAAATACTTTATTGACCAGGGTTGCAAACTCTTTTAAATCAGCATGAGCTCTTTAGATTGAACAACATACAAAATAAACAGGATGTTTTAGTTGATATTTATATTATTTTTTAAGTTTGACTTTGAAATATATCTCACATTTTAGCCATGAATCTTTAAAACATGCAATAAGCAATGGAATATCGTTTTGAATTGAAGTATTTTTAATCATACATCTGCAATGGAAAAAAAAATGTATAGATGTATTATAGCAACTTTTTGCAGAAATGTCATATATATACAATAAGCGTAGGAATGCTGATGGTCTCTTGCTCTTAGCAGCCAACAACTCATTGCACAAAGCACACCTATCAGATGAATGTGTATTGTCAGATAAATATAGCAGATTTTGATTCAATTAATCACAACAGCAGTTGTTCTATTAAAAGCCAATATATATTGATTTATTTTTATAATGCTCTTAATATACTAAATATATAATGCAAGTTCACATTTAGCATTCACATAAACAAACCTGCAAATGACCACATAAGAGCCACTGGCTTAGACCAGTTAATCATACTGGCTATTTAGGAAATGTATAAGGAACAGTGTCCTGATGCACTGGTCTATTCAGCAGGGTAGCTCAATATGTAAACTTAAAGAGATAGTTCACCCAAAAACGAAAATTCTGACATCATTTGACTCCCTTCACTTGTCACAAACCTGTTTGAGTTTCTTTTTTCTGTCCCATTGACTTCCACAGTATTTGTTTTTTCTACTATGGAAGTCAATGGTTATAGGTTTCTAACATTTTTCAAAATATTTATTTTGTGTTCAACAGGAAAAAAAACACTTTAATTTTCATCTTTGGGTGAATTATACCTTTAAGCATCTGTGTGCAAAATATTGAACAGATAGCTGTTAATAAGTACTTTTCAATACACGGTAGAAAGGCTCCATAAATTCTGTTTTCGTGACTTTGTGTGACTGGAATTCATGGTCCAGCTAGTAAGGACAGCAGATATGGAAAACAACAGGATAGAATTGCAATATCAAAGTGAAAAAACAAAACAAACAAAAGTAAAAACAGTGAAACTGGAAATAGAGTTCATTCAGAATGGAGATAGGAATAAGAGTGCAAAAATATCATTGCAAGAAATTGAAAAACTAAATTCCAACCAAAGATCAGACTTGAAAATGTGAAATCAGACATTCGATAAAGATGGCAGAACAGAAAGCTTCACCCAAATAGATAAAGTAGGCGGTGCTGAATATTAAAATTGAAATAAACAGGCTATTACTTACTGGCACTTGTACTCTTGTGAGGTCCGTGTAATCAATGAGCGATTGGTTGAAAACAAGACATTAGTGCTTTCCAGAACAAGGACAAAACAAGCCAAGCATCGCAGCCCAAATACTCCAGACAAATATATATTTTTCAATAGTATTTCAGTGCTCTATGGAAGCCAATTAAACAAGATTTTTAACCTTTTTATTTGCGTTACACTGAAATCAAAGTCTTACAAATTCAGATTTCACAGGTTTTGGGCTGCGTAGCAGGGCAGCAAAGCGTAACGTGACAACATGATGGTAGATATATTAGAAGCAACAAATACAGTATTCTGAAACATTTTGAAATGCTGAGACAGTAAGAAACATGGCACAGATATAAGACACATATAAATGGGATCCATATGCATAAGCACACAATATCAGAAAGAGAGAGCACCCTGAATCATTTTTGAGTACAGTAGTTAACTACAGTCATAGATATATGCATTTCCCAGGGATGACATCCATAGTTGTCATGCTAACCGAAGACATGCACTCATTTCCCAGTTCTCGTCAAGCAATTTCAGACATGCTCCAACAGCTTTTGTTTAACTTTGAAGTAAACATGCAAAACCCAAATGCCACAGGCCACAATTTCCAGTCTGAGTTCACTAACAACCAGCTCTCACATTATTTCCCAAAATGCAGTAGAGAAGAGACCCTGTGGTATTCACATCATACCAATTTGTTCTAACAAAGGCACGGCCTCCATTGCCTCATATGGGATGTTGTTTATTTTGTTTGTTTGATTTGACAAATTTGTCCAGCAAAGATGTACTGTACTTTATAGAACTCTCATTGCTCAACACATGAAAATAAAGCCTCTTTTCTATATAGTGACACTCATCACAGACACTGGTTAATAGTTGTTGCAATTTGTGAGCATGCCCCTAACAGTTAAAAATGTTTATATTTATATATTACAACAAATGTTTACACAGGGTCCAAATATAACACCTGCCAATCTACAAATATAACACTTGCCAATCACCAAATGTAAACTGGATTTGTTGACTCATTCAAAGACTGTATGGCCAGTAAGAGATCGTGTATTAGGCTGCAACTCAATTCATAATCTTCAAATCATACATTATTAATGATATGAACTACAGTATCTACTAAACATTTCTGCAACCTAGGCTCATTAAACATTGATGTTGGCCTGACGTTGAATTCTGACGTCAACGCGATTTTCATTTCTAAACAAAATCCAATGACCCCACGATGTTGGGGTACATTGGGGTACAACGTCAATATGACGTCATGTTGACATCCTGTGTCTGTTGGGTAGACACTATTTGTGCTATCTGCCACTAACAAGAAGCTAATGCAGAGTTCAGACTGCACAATTTTCCAAGTAGTTGTGTCACAGATGTTTTCACACTGCACGACTATCTGCGGTAGTGTCCATCGGTGCTGTGTTTACACTGCAGGGTGGATCGGTGAAAGGAGGTTTCACACTGCATGACATTACGATAGGAGAATCGCAGACAACTTTGTCTCAGTCAGCAAACTACATTTTACAGCCAAACGCATGTGAGAAATGACATGGAAACAACACACGGTCATGTAGTATATATTTTGTTATGAACTACATCATGCGAAAGAAGCCTTTATTGGGGTAGAAAATTTATTTATTTGTCTCACCTAGGTTTTGAAGGGAATTAGCAATTTCTCTCAAACTTTTATCTTCTACCTGGTTGTGGTATTTCTCAGATGACATGTTGAACAGACACGGGTGCTCCAGCCAAATTTCCATTTTCTTGGACCCTAAATAAATTGAAAATGAGCGCTAATAACGTCTCCTCCAACCCCTCGCTTGCCTGCAGATACCCATACTAGTGGATGCTCTCTCATTGGCTGTTGGTGATCGCCAATGTTATTTCAATCAGAACACATTTCACACAGCATGATTTTAAATCAGCTCCAGATATTTAGCATGCCAAATGCTAAATTAGCATGCCAAATGCTAAGAATCTGTGATTCTTTCAGATCTTATCTTTGATAGTTCATACTGTGTGATTGTTACTCACGTGAATGAGAACCGATTTCTCAAAACCTGTCGGCGAGTCAAAATCAGGCCTAAAATCATGCAGTCTGAACTCGGCATTAGTGAAGAGCTAAATAAAACAACTGGTTAAATATATGCTTTTGCTTCAATGCAGGGGTGTCAAACTCAATTCCTGGAGGGCCGAAGCCCTGCACAGTTTAGTTCCAACCCTGCTCCAAGACACTTACCTGTAGGTTTCAAACAAGCCTGAAGGACTCAATTAGTTTGATCAGGTGTGTTTAATTAAGGTTGGAACTAAACTGTGCAGAGCTGCGGCCCTTTTGGAACTGAGTTTGACACTTGTGCTTTAATGGATGTTCATTTTTCCCATACTTGCCATACGAAAGTGTGGCAGAAAGTTAGATTTGGACCGTGGTTTTACATTTCTTGACTGAAAAATTTATTCTGACTTTACCCCTTTCTAGACACAAAGTGCAGCATTACTGGGTTCAGAAAGAACCATATTTATCACCTCTAGGATGAAGCAACATCTGATAAAAGGTGAATTAATGTTACATGAACTTTCCTAATACACAGCTGCACTAAAATCAGCATTCAAAACAACAAGATTCAAATCAATTATGCTATTAATGAAAAAAAAGAAGAAAAAAATATTTTGTCTATGATCAATCAAGAGATGTAAATGTGATTGGACTGTAATTTTGAGGACACACTATGACCAGTCATCCCAACTTGCACATGCTCAACTCCAAGAGTCTGACATCACATCCATGCAGTGGTACAGAAAGTTCCCAAAATCACAGAAAGATGCATCTGTGCATGTTATATAAACTTTCATTTGTCTTTTTAGCCATCTGATTCTCGATATGTTTTGCTATTAAGGCTCGCTGGATGGCTGTTCTGTTACTGAAATATCTAGGCTGACCAGTGTAAAGGCATTTAAAACTCTGTAATTTTCTTTTAATGGGAACATAGTTGTCTCTATGACAACATAATACACTCATCCCTGCAAAGACTGGGAAGCTTACCGGTTGCTATGACAACTCGATGCTGATTTTGAAGCAAATTATTGTGCTTTGAGAATAAAAAGTGCCAATAATCCGTACGCAATAAATCGCATGATCATTGTTTACAAAATTCAACAACTGGTCTCAAATAACTGCCTCATGCAAACTAACTGAAAATCAAAGCTTTTAAAGTTTTACTTCATTTTTCTAAACTCTTCACACTCAACAACTTTTTTTGGCTTATCATTGAATGAATTTGACCCAGCTCAGTCTACAGTGGGTCAAACCTTTTCCACATCATTATGTTCAAAAACTTTATAACATTTAATTTGTAGGATTCTGGGAGAAAGAAATTTCTCTAGAAGTTGAGGGCTGCACAGACTAGTCGACTGTCTATAAAGCTCTTCCGTAATGCTTTTTGATTGGCGTCGACTAGTCGCGCAGAGCAGATCACGTTTTTTGACCTGAACTACATGATAGTTTTACACACGAAAGTGGTTCACTGAATGAAACTGCACTTGAATTGTCGAAATTAATTTAAATGTTATTTTTCTCATGTCAATGTCAATGATTCATATGAACTTTGAGTGAACTTTAGATAATCAAACAGGTTGTATTGCTCTATGCAAATACCGTAAAGCAGATGCATGGCTGTTGTCCTCTGCGAAGTATAGATGCTGACATGTTTTGTGAATTAACTCACAGAAACCGTGAAGCACACAGGAGCTTCATATAACGTGTCTATCTATGGATGAATGTGTCTACATATAATCTCAGGTAAACGCTTTGAAGATGTGCAGTACGGAGATGTCTGATAGCCAAGATGAGCCAGTAACCAAAAAGACCTTACTTGAGCAAGATTTTGAGCAGCTCTCTGGCACACACTATCATGCATCTGAGCAGAACTTTGCCGGGTAGGGCTTATATTGTTTGTCTATCATGCACTATGTTATTAAATAACTTTGTCATGCCATTAATCTGATTTCTATGTACTGACGGTGTATGCATTACTTTGCACTAAAATATCTGTTATTGTTACATTCTCAGAAGAACCTGCAGTTATTATTGACTACGCTAACATGGACATTAGTAATCAAATTATTTACCTTAATCTGAATAGGACAATAATATCATTAAGGTGTTTACATGAGTTACTTTTTAGATGTTCCTTTCCTGATCCCGTTTTACATTTAATTCGATTAATGTCATTGAGTCACCACACTACCCAACATTTCCTCTGGAGTTTCTTGTAATTTCGGGTGTTTAATTTTTAATTTGTTGACATTAACTGCAGTTTGGCACTTTCACTTTCTTTCAGAAACATTTCATGCATGGCCACCGTGACAAACCAGATATTGGATGCGAGTATGGACTGCTGGAATAGTGTTGCTTTATTGGAATTTGAAAAAAACCTCCATGTTGTCAGTGGTCCTTTAATGACTCAGTAGGTGCAGCTAAGGTGATAGTTTGATTAAGATGTTAACATGCCTGTACTGCACTTAAATTATGCGACACACATTGGCATACTCCGCATGTCTTAATCCGAGTACTGTTTACAGTAGTTTGATTATGACCTTATTCAGATTAATTTAATCAAAAATTGCTGTCGACTATTAATCAAAGTACTGTCTTGTTCGTATTAAAGTCTGAGTATTATTGTCCATGTAAACGTACTCAATGTGTTGTCTGCATTCATTTAGAATTAAAAATAGACTGTGCTAATGTTACGTTATTGATGAAATGAAAGTGTTTACAGTGCATTTGTTTTGGCATTTTTTGCAATATATTATGAGCTGTTGAACCTGTTATGAACCATTAGCATGTAAATATATTTGTTGTGCAAATAAATCACAAATTGTGGTGTTTTGCGAAATATTTGCTCCTTATGTTTTATCAATGACTTCACCAGCGAATAGTTGGCATAGGCTCGATTTAAATAACATAAAAGACAACTTCCGATAATGTAAAGTCGCTCATTCCCTATTAGAAGTAAAGACTTTTAATGTTTATATGCTCCGGCAATAATGTAATAAAGCCCCTGCAGACCTAAACTAGCTTGTGAATCTATAATAAGTCAATTTGGCCAGTTATTGAAGTTGGGAGGTCCAACAGGTATACTTCAGCAGACGTGCCAATCTAGATATCCCTGAAACCAGACTAAAAACATCCCAGACACAGGACTGGTGTTAGTAGTGTTAGTTGGTGTGTTAGCATCTCTGCGAGAGGGCGAATGCAGCAGGCAAGGTTGTACTTGGTTCACTTACTCTGAGGACATGAAAGAGGACATGGGCCCAACCTCCTTGGCTTTCTGCAGGGCATGTTTCTGATTAAACGCCTCTTCCTCCTCCTCTTCGTCCTTTGGAACAGCAAGGCGTTATCATTATTCAACGCTTTACAAATCCTTCAGCATATAAAGCTAAAAGAACCATGCTGGAGATACCTTTGTGAGCTCCTGGGCATTGGCCAAATTGTCGACAGCGATAGCCAAGAAGACGTTAAGCAGCGTATCTGACCATTTTGTCAAGGATTTTGAGCTATGCGGCATTAACCATCAAACCCTTCAGTTTAAAGCATATTCAAGGCTTAGCACCAGCAAGTAAATGTAGAACAACTCTGAAACTGTCCAAATGTTCAATTAAGTAAAAAACTAACAAGAAAGCACATGGTAATATTCAAAACTGTTAACATTTGTGCACAGAACAATGAGTAAATTCATACTTCATAAATTTAAATACTTAATTCAAATACTTAAACTGTTGAGTTAATCACGATTGGGATGAAACAATCTAGCATTTTTGTGAGTGAATTTAATAGTGTACTGTATATTCTGCATTCCAAAAAAGTTTAAACATACTAGGTATTACTGGTGAATGATAGACAAAACATGAACCAAAGATACAATTTCCAAACAGAGTGAGAACAATGAAGTAGACAGACGACCACATCCCAGATTTCACGCCACCTTGAGACCGGATGCCATTGTACATGACTTCATTCCAGTCCTCACCAGTCAGAATCTAGAACGACAGTTATTCCAGGCTCACATGAAGAGCACAGGGAGGCAATTCAGAATTTTTCCCCCTTTTGTGTTAGTTTATAATATATTTAGTCAAATTTCATAATCCCAAAGCTACTAAAAGGAGAGCCAGTATATTTCTATGCTCTATTGTACTATGCTCCTTCAAAATTGACCCAGAAAGAAAATCTACAGATTTTTTTTTTTTTTCTGAAGTGCTCTGTGCTTTTAACTTAATATATTCTATTTATTCAATTAATCATTAAGAAAAGTAGGAAATCATTTACTGTATGTTTAGTGTCTAAGCATGTTTTTGTTCTGCGGTCCTTGTTTCCTCTCTATCAGTAGAATTACATCCTGGTCTAAATAATTAGCCATCCTTCTAAGCAGTTTTTTCACTAAGAAACATCTGGAGTCATGCATACTCATATTACTGAGTGGAATCTTACTTGAAACACTGTCATGATGGCTGCTGGGAAAGTGTCAAAATTGGTGGGAGTGTACTCATCAAAAATGAACCTGTGGACAGAAAAAAAAAAGAATATGTGACATCTGTGTGCAGGCCCTTTTATTCAACATGTGTCTGACAAGGTTACTGAATAATATATTACTTGCTTTTCACCTACTAGAGAACCTAATCTATGTTCTATTGTCTCGCTACACCTGTCACACGAATTTATAGTTCCACCTCAACCATAACTTTTAGCATGACATCTGATGCCATGTTTCGACTATTTAATTTCTTGTTGAAGAGAAAGTTAAGGATTTTACATTGTTAGTGATATGACACAAAGGACAATTCTTATCTACAGGTAGGCCTGGGCGATATAGCAAAAATCTCATATCACAATACAGTCATCTGAAATCATAACAATATCCACTAACCGGCCACTTTATTAGGTACACCTTACTAGTACTGAGTTGGACCCCCCTTTGCCTTCAGAACTGCCTTAAACCTTTTTGGCATAGATTCAACAAAGTACTGGAAATATTCCTGAGAGATTTTTTTGTCAATTTTGACATGACAGCATCACACAGTTGCAACAGATTTGTCAGATGCACATGCATGATGTGAATCTCCCGTTCCACCACATCCCAAAGGTGCCCTATTGGATTCAGCTCTGGGGACTGTGGAGGCCATTTGAATACAGTGAACTCATGGTCATGTTCAAGAAACCAGTCTGAGATGATTCGTGCTTTATGACATGGAGCGTTATTCTGCTGGAAGTAGCCATCAGAAGATGGGTACACTGTGGTCATAAAGAGACGGACATGGTCAGCAACAACACTCTGGTAGGCTGTGGCATTGATACGATGCTCAATTGGTACTAATGTGCTGCGGTTTGAACTGCAACGCATCTTGATCATGTCTACATGCCTAAATGAGTTGCTGCAATGTGATTGGCTGATTAGAAATGTGCATTAACAAGCAGATGTACAGGTGTACCTAATAAAGTGGTCGGTGAGTATATCACAATATAATACCATTTTGTAAATTCAATGAATCAATCATTTATATATTGCATATTTCTTTTTAACATTTTAAACTCATATGTGATCATCTTTCATACTTTATTTAGAACTTGAGTGCAAATGTTTGATTCAAAATGTCTAAATTTGAAATAAATAATAAACACATATTGTTTCATAAAATATAGTTTTTATGTTTATCATAATAACAAAAACATATTGCCAAATAAAATGCAAAATTTAAACATTGTTTATTCAAGATTGAAACTTTCTCACGATGCTGTTACTCCTGTAACTGTATGCATCCCAATAATAGTGTAATATTGGGCTCATATACATTTTGAAAAAGTATTCCCGTTAACTATGTATTTTATGAAACCACAAAATAAATTATTGAGCATAACATAAAACAATAAACTTTTTTATCCACATGATATACATCGCCATATTGCGCAGCCCTAACTACAGCAATGTTCAGTCATAAATTCAAATTGAAATCTATGTCTACAGGCATTGTATGCACTCAGACTGATAAGCTCTTACCTTCCACCAAAGAGCTGCATGCCCAGAAGTGCAAAGACCACAATAAAGAGAAAAAGCAGGAAGAGCAAACTGATAATAGACTTCATTGAGTTCATCAGAGACACGACCAGGTTCCTCAGGGACGCCCAGTATCTTAACAAGACAAAATGCAGCATCTCTGAGTTCAGCATGAGGACATACAGAACCGAGCAGAAGTCAATAAACAGATTATTGGCTCTGTAAGAGGCAAACAAACCCAAGAGGCCGTTATACCAAGCAAGCCTGCACTTACTTGGTTATCTTGAAAATTCTCAACAACCGCAAGGCACGAAGAACGCTGATCCCAAAGGATGTGCCAGGTCTGAAGAAGCCCCAGAACACCTCAAAGATGCTGCCTACTATAACCTAGAAAGGAATTAAGCAATTTCACAGCATTGAAAACATGATCCAAATGCATGATGTATGAACAACAGGAAATGTGACTGTGAATGACTGAACCAACGAACCAATGAATGAACGAACGCACAAATGAATAAACAAATAAACAATATGGGTATACACATTTATGAATACTATTTATCATGCTTAAAACCAAACATTGTCTTTGTAAGAATATTTCAATGTTAGATAATGTACAATCTAACAAGTTTCATCGTATTTAAACAGAAAACCTGTGGAAATGATGCAATAGGATCTGCATTTCCTGAAAGGCCCAAGCGCAGTACAAGTAATTGATTAAATTACAGATTAGCCAACAGAGAATCATTATATATTATGTGACAGAGTCCAGAACTAAAACTGAATTTTAATTGAATAAAGCTATATATTGATATTCAGAGCTGGGCCCTCACATTTACATAGAAATGAGAGATGTGTTCATAGTGCCTCGAGTGGTGAGGCATAACTTCATAAAAGATCAAATAAGATCTACAGTTTCCTCTGCTCTCATTTATTTGCATATCTTTTATCTTTCTTAATACAAAAAAAAAAGTTTACAGTTTTTTAGAGACGTCATCTTGATCTTTGACAACACCTAAGCTGTTGTGTTTTTAATTCGATGAGAAGAATGACAGAAATGCACTTACCCCACAATCGAAGCAGTTGAAGGAGGAGTGAAAATAGAGTCTGGGTCCGAGTCCATACATCTTCAGAAACATCTCGGTAAGAAACAAACCCAGAAACAAAAACTCTGCATAGTCTGCAACAGAAAGAATCCACTTTAACGTTTTTACATTTATTAGTATATGACAGCATAGGCATAGATACATAGGTTACATTTCATTTGTGGTCTTACAGAGGAGACTAGATAACCACTGTGGCTGTTTGTGATGTACGATGGCTACACAGAGAGTGTTGAGGGCTACCAGACCCAGAACAGTCCAGTAGAACGTCTGAGTCTTCACCATACGGCGGACGGAGATCCGTAGCAGGCGCTCTTTCCGTCGGAAATAGGATGTTGGTCCTCTTTTAGCACTGCGTATGCTGGCTCTGTTCAGTGGCATCCCTGACGAACAAAACAAATATAAAAAAAACAGCTCTAGACAATTCATGCTTCTTGAAAAAATTAGGCAATGATACTAGCTGTACATTCATTTTAATCTGAAAATGAGAACATTCTCAAACTTGCCTATTACATATTATTATGTAACAATGGTGGTGTTTCATTTGTTTTTGTCATTTGATGAAAAAGTAAAGGTCCAACAGCAGCGACATACAAATGTGGTAAATATAGGTTTGTTTTAGTTTACAGTATTGGAGCTAGGATATTTGGTTTTGTTGTGTTTGCTATGGGAGCAGTGCTTGTGGTGTGGCACCAGAAATATTAAGGTACACAAGATTCCCTTCTGACCTCAACAGCAGACTAATCAGACATAAATGCTTTACCTATTTTTGGAATCTTCACTTAAGGTTATAGTTCTTCAAATACACCAAGGGTTTTCAAATACAAGTACGATCTATCTATCTGTACATACACATACACGTACATTTTTTGTGCATTTGTAACTATTTTGAATAATACTAGCATAACTAGCTATTTAGTTCATTCAAACATTAATGCAAACACAATTAACTTTTTTTTTTTTTTTTGCATTTACACAACTGTTACGGCCGTAGTTGTAAATTGGTTGTATTTTTACATCACTACATCTCTCTCTCTCTCTCTCTCTCTCTCTCTCTCTCTCTCTCTCTCTCTCTCTCTCTCTCTCCCTCCCTCCCTCCCTCCCTCCCTCCCTCCCTCCCTCCCTCTCTGTACGTGTTATTTCAGTTAGGTCCACCTTTGCGATCAGCTGATTAGTCAGGAGACAGGACTTTTTTCCTTTGATCTCGTTTTTGTTTGTTTTTGCTGACATGATTTTGATTTTTCGTTGTTTTTGCTTAACTTTCGTTTGGGTAAAATTATTTTGCATCACTTTTGCCCACTTGAGAATTCTGTGATTTTGGTACATTTTTATTTTGTTTGATTTGTTTGTTACTTTTTTCCCAGCTCTTTCCAGTCATACTGAGCTATACCTCTCATCAAGTTCACTCTTTTCTCAGAGTAAGGTGGATAGGGAATATTTCGTGCAAATCTATTCTGCAAACACGTCGGAAATTTATTGTTAAAGACACCAGGTATAAGAGGTAAACGCCATCTTTTGTTTTTATTTAATCTATAGTTGAGTATTGACCTTATTCTAAAATGCGGAAGTGCGCCTGTTTTCGCGATTGTCTTAGACAAGCAGCAAGCAGCGTAACGAGCAGTTTTTAACGTCAAAAAATTAATGGAAGTGAATGTGACCGGAAGTCGCGAGACAAAAAGATTCAAATGGCAGCCACTGCTCGTCGACGGAGAATAAGGTGAATAGGGAAGAATACGACGCAAGCTGATGAACACTTTTCTTTTCTTTTAATTATTGGCAAGGTAAGGGGTTATTCATGAGTTAGAATTGTTTTTTATATTTCTTTCATTGTCCCCTTACTCCTGAGTTAAACAAATTTTTGTTTAATACTTTCTGTTTGAATTTGCTACTTTATTACATTCTTTTTATTTCTGATTTCTTTTATATATATATATATATATATATATATATATATATATATATATATATATATATATATATATATATATATATATGGGCATTTTTATGATTTTCACTTTTGTACATTAAATCACTTTTGTTGGCATTTATTTCGTCCTTGTCTTTTGCTTGCACCATTACATGGTAAAATTGCCACACCTTTAAATGTTATTCCTCTTACCCTGGACCAAAATCAAACAGGTTGTAACATTTTTTTTTATTTAAAAATGAATGGCTTTTGCTTATGTAATACGAGAGTTTTTGACACTTGAAACTTTTGGAAAAGCAGCAAAGCTTTAGTTTGAATACTCTTTGGGTGCTTTTCAACCTCTTTACACTACGAGAGTGGGCACTATGGACCGTGAGGGATATATCACAGTTTTTTTTTTTTTTTTTGGTTCAATTTGAACATTGTTGCTCGCCTAGATAAATTAGTAGTATATTTTGAAGGTCAGGTCATCATTGGATATAAAAGTATGTTGGTGGAGAAAGCCAGTCACCTAGAGATGAGATGTCAGCATACTGCTCTTCTGGAGCTCTTCGAGCATCATCCACTCCTCTTCTCTTTATGGTGGTAGCTCTTTTTAGCACTGCGAAAAAATATCAATAATTTATTTAAATACTATTATATAACAAATTAACAAACTAATAGCTATATGAAACAAAAGCATGTAAAGTTTTGTCACATTTAAGTTAGTCTGGACCATGTCATGTTTTAAAATCGCTGTTTACATTTATATTTTTTTTGAAAGTTATTGAAATTTTTGACCTTGAAAAAAAAAGATTTCAGTTTTAATACAGAAACTTCATATTGCTGTAAACCTGCTGCATCAAGCCAGGTTAGAACACAATATTACAAATGTACAGCCATCAAATGTCATAAGCCATCATTATGTTCTCTAGCTTTCATAGAATACAACATGGCAGACAGCCCAAATTGAAAGTCCCCAATTTAATAAAAGCTATTAGTCTAATAGCCTGCAATAAAGTATGCAATGAATGGCAAATAAAGCTTGTTAGATTTCTCTGTTGTCAAGGCAACAATGAAGTAAATAAAAATCTAATGCATTTACATTTTATGTTCTGAACTTACTTAAAGGTGCAATAGGTGATCTGCCAAAATGCTTACCTACTACAATACTGAACAAAAAAAACTGTATTATCTAGCATGTTTTCAATTATTTAATTAGTAAGAAAAACTTGTCATAATGTGTAATATTTCATGCATGCAAAGATAGCTGGTGTCACTCTCTCACACGCTTTGTCCTAAAGCAACTACTGTATGCGTAGTGGTTAACCGGTGGCATGCAGGAATTACACCTTTTACTAAGCCACACTTACATGCTATTTCAGACTAATTATTCAGAGTAGCATGGTAAACAATACCACAGGTGGATCTGCGTGAATAGAGGTGCACAGTTGTACAAATCTACATTGGTTGACAGACAGTTTGGGCTACTTATCAGAATTATGGAAATTATCAGCATGACAATTTTTAATTAGATGCACATTTTTCTTATCCCTCAACCAGAATATAAAAAAAACATATAAATACATTTAGATCATTTACTTTAATCATTACTGTTGGAATGTGAAGAGACTTTCAACTAGCACAACAACAAAAAGTTTTCAAACAAAATCACCTACTGCACCTTTAATGAAGGAACCTGGATACCTACAGCTGTCAAACCTTATATGCAATGGCCCAAATAGGTCTCAATCTTTCCTGACTCTAGAAGTTGTTGTCCAGGAGACAGCTTTTTTCAAGCATCTTAAATGTTATGATGTCACTCTTACAAGAGAACAGCAGGGGCATCGAAATAGGAGTTCACCATGGTAACTGGCTGTTTTCCATTCACACAGCCTCTGGGAAGCTGTCAATCAACATTTAATAAAAAAATAAAAAAATAAAATAAATAAAAACTAGTTTGATTCTGGGGAAAACCTGTCGCCTTGCACAGGGTTCGGATGTCATGCGGTGGGTTTTCGTTTCACAGATGCATGCCATGAGCAGGTTCATAGCGTTTTTGTTTTTTGTGGCATAAATCTATCGAATACATTATCCCTGTGTCTCTTCAATGGACTAGAACAAGCTTTGTACACCAGAACGGGCTATTGAATAAATGGTGAAATCTGGGACAGAGAAAGAATGCAATACTATTGTGTTCAAAATAATCACATGACCCGACACATAATTAAAATCAGCCTCCCACAATCTACGTGGGAAAACAGAGGTCAAACATCTCACCATCCAAAGCAGAAGGTCCTGAATTCTTGTTCTCCTCTGCAAGCATAACCTCCTCTGCAAAATAAAAGTGTATTCAGTTTTTGTCCATATACTACTCATTAAAAACCAGGCATTTATATTTTATTTATCACTGATTATTTAAAAAAAGGATTTTGGAAAGTTCAAACAGAGAAGCAACTTAACCATTATAGAAATTCTTAACCCTCTACCGCATGATGTTGCCTAATGGCATCATGCTATTTATGTTAATTTCCCTGCCACTGTTTCTTTTAGACAAACGTTCTAATAGCTAATAGTTTTTTAGTTTAGCCAATGATGTGCTTTGGTTAAGTCACATGACGGGCAGTGTTTTTCTGTGGTGCGATTTCTGACAGACTGCACCTTAAAAATTAAAAGTTGACTCAACTTACAATTTTAAGACAACAAACTTCAGGACATTTGAGTTTACTCAACTTTTTTACAGTGAGGCATTTATTGTGAGTAATTGCTGAATGCAAATTAAAACGTCAATACAAACAAAGGATCAACTCATGTCAGATCCACAAAATTATCTGAGACACCACCTTCAGTGAGTTATAACATATTTTTTGATAACATATTTTTATCAAATTGTTTTTTTGTAAATCGATCAAATGTATGTGTAGCCAAATGGCAGTAAACAGTGTATTAGTGTTCTCTGGTACAGTAAGCCTTTTAATGTCACTTTAAGCTGTATAAAAGTGTCTTTAAAATATCTAGTAAAATATTATTTACTGTCATCACAGCAAAGATAAAATAAATCAGTTATTAGAAATTAGTTATTAAAACTATTATGTTTAGAAATGTGTTGAAAAAAAAGAATATATATATATATATATATATATATATATATATATATATATATATATAATTTCCCAAGTTTTCATTTGAGTTGCTATTCAGATGATTTGCTATGAAATTTGCTATGTGCCTTTTTCGAACAGCACTCGTCATCTCCTGCAGTTTGAGCAATTCTGTGCTTCAGTGTTTTGACAGACTTGATTTACTTTATTTGTTTTGCATGGTGCATTTGCCAGCTCAGTATGTAGGAGTACCTGCACGGTCGATCCAGGCCCGATATCCGTTCAGCTCCCTCTCAATCTGCTGCTGTCTCCTAAGCTTCATGAAGGCTCTCCGGTTCTCTACCCGCTCTCGCTCTTTAGCAAACTCCCTACAGGAGACAACAACATACAATTACCCACACAGAGATGAACCGCAGGGAAGAGACACACTTAATTTATCAAAGTGTTTCACCTGCAGAGTAAAGGAATTAACGGCAGAGAGAGCAATTCATGCTTCTAAATTCACAGGATTTAATAAAGCTGAATTTACACTAACTTGTGACTTCCACAGTGAGCAGATTTTTACACAAACTCGAAATGTATACAGTATGAGATAAAAAAGACTAGTTCACTGTTGGTTCCTTCATTAGTTTCCTGTGGGTTTTTATAAAAAGATTTGACCATCATTAAGTCTATGTATTTACTCGTGTAAATGATTGTAAATTTATATTTTCGGTCTTTTAGTAGATCTATTATATGAGAGACTTGCTTTGTTTACCAAATAAGTGGATCTTTTTGAATTTGCATTGTAAACATTAAATAAAAGTTTAAAATGTATTGTTTTATTTAATATATTACGTATATATTTTTGGTTATGATACTCATAAAATCAATCCGCAAAATATCTGCAGGTTCTTTTCAAATTTATCTGCAGATATTGCAAAAACTGTCCGCGGATTCTGTCTGGCTTATAGTCATAGGTTATGGAGACCTCTTGAATGCAATCACGGACCTGATGATTGGAAACAATGTTCCCAATTGTTATTTGCTATTTTTATGTGTTAATTCTGTTTAAAGTAATTTCCTTTTATGCAAGCTTTGTGTAGTAAGAAGCTAGCAGCCTAAATGTTGATTGCACCAGTTTTGAACTAGACAGCTAAGAGTACAAGAAACAGCCTTGAAAATAAAACAGATTGTTCTCTTGTACGTAAATGCTTCCTTGGGCCAGCTCTATAGATCTGGGATCAGCTCTGAATAGCCGTATACTTCCTGGCCTGAACAATTCTGTCACCATCAGGATCCAAGATATGACCCTGCATTTATGTACCTATTTAGAATTGTCTATCTTTGCTTTAACAAAACTTTGCTTTGCTTTTGCCTTTAACAATATGCCCCAGTAAGATCACACAAATGTTATTGACAGTTGCGAAAGTCACTATGTCAGATTATGCAATTCTGTCCTGATTAAATTTTAACTCGTCATGGGTAAAAAAATGTGCCAGACTACACTTTCCATCATGATCAGTCATTCTGTGACATCTATACCGAACATAATTTCCCAAAGCAGTGACAAGTGTTGCTATAACAATATTTTTTTCTCAATTTTTAAAAAAATCTTATTTCAGTCTCAATAAACAGTGAGGCTACACTATTTAAGGGCATTACTTATGAGATTGATAGGTTAAAATGTATATTTCCTTTTTAAAATTAAGATATTTTCTTTTAAATCTAATTGTAGGCTATATTTTCCTGCCAGGGTTGCTCCCTTGCCTGAACTTGCAATGAGTGAGCCAGAGAAAATAAAAGCACATCAGCACCAAGGAAAATCAGATGCTCAAGACAAAATAATGACATATCAAAAAAACAGCAAATAAATGACAGAGGTGTTTGATACAACAATTACAGTGAAGCCTTAATTAAATCCAGCACCCGCGGATATATAACTGAGAAATGTTATATATCCGTGGATATATAACATATATAACATAGGAGATGTGCTCCTATTGCTCATTGTCACCCACATGACAACACTCGTTGTGAAGAACAGGGAAAAAATTAAACATGCTAGACTTTCTGTGATGGTGTCGTGAGGCATCTCAGACATTGTATCAGTTATGGTGAACTATGCCACATTACACGAGAAGAAATGATTGAATCTTGAAACGCCCATTTATCATTTACGACTCCCCCCACCAAGTAAATCATGTAATCTGCTTTAGTTGGCACCATTTCTGGTCTTCTGTAAGAGTATAGTTGTTGGTTTTTTGTACTGTGAGGAAGTAGATCGGCCAGCAAACTCTAAGCAAGTGTGAAGTCCTTCGGCCATAAAACTGCAAACTCTCTTCAGTAAATTTTCTTCATTTTTATTGAATCTCCAACTCTGAGTCTTCTCTTGATCTGACACACCAGGGGCCTCATGTACGAAGACTTGCGTTGAAATCATACTAAAACAATGCGCACACCATTATTTGCACATTTATTGAATGGAAATGTTTCCGATACGCGTATGCATATTCGTCTTTAGATGACCCCTTTATAGCAATGTGCGTGCAGTTGATCACTCTGATTACATTGGGAAAATCAGCGATCGCTGCAAGTTGCACTTTATTGTTTGGCTGGTCAACTGCATGGTATAGAAACCTTATATTTCTGCTAGACATGCGAATGATCTATCGATGGTCCCATACAGCTGCCACTGCACGGCTCAAACATGCTTAGTGTGCAATTTAACACAATTGCCTCTAGGAGTCGCCAATGGAAATAAAACAAACACACACAAGAAATCCACGTACGCCAGGCATGAAGTTGGCGTGGAACAACGCACATTCTCAGGTTCATGTCATCGTTAGTAAATCCAAATGTGAGCGTAAAACCTGGCGTACGCAAAGTTTTTGTGCGTACGCAGCGTTGATACATGAGGCCTCAGGCCTTGTGATTTAAACTGTTAATCTTCAATTCTCAACAACTGTAAACATGATAAACATAAACAGTCAGAATAATCTCCAAAATACTGCTTTATGAGACAAGTCTATATAACAAATGCAAAAACGCTTATAAGTAGACACGGGAATGATTCCAAATCAGCCTTCATTGTATTAACAAACAACAATGCCTCTGCCATTCTGTTTTATGTCCAAACTGCAGAACATTACGACTGCAGAACATTACTGCTGTCATAAAATTTCTGTCAAGTTGTATTCAATTTACCCACTGAAGAATAATAGATAGGATTCACGCCTGTATTATCATGAGGTTCTCTCCCATGAAACTTACAGTGTACATGGCCATTATTATTATACATTTTTAAAAATAAAAATAACAAAACAACCAAGTATTGTCAAGTGATGTTTACAGCAGAACTTAATCACCAACTTTACCAGAACAGCAAAACTTTAATCTTGATTTGAAGCATGATTTTTGTCATTAAACTGGAATGATTTATGAAAGATCATCAGACTCTGAAAAATGGAGTAATGGTGGCTGAAGATTTAGCTGTTACATTAAAGGATTAAATTCATTTTAAAATATATTAAAACAAAAAAACATGTCATGTAAGCTTTTTACTTTACTTTTGATAAAGCAAAGGTGTTTTTGGTGAGAATTAAAGGAATAGCTCACCCCAAAATACTCACCATTGTCGTCATTTACTCACCATTGTTCCAAACGTGTTAGTGCTATTTTTTGTTCTGTTAAACACAAACGAGTGCACATAAGGAAGCATGTTGAAAACCTATAACCATTGACTTCCAAAGTATTTTTATTCCAACTGGACAACCCAGGCTCATTCAGATTAGGTTATACTATATACAATTCTGGAGAGAGCAAAATACATCCCAGGAGGAATTTTTTTTTGCAGTTTTTGTTTTCGCAAATCCACCAGAGGCTCCTGTGTATGCTTTTTCATAACTCAAATTTCTCTCGCCAGTGCCATTCACGCCTGCTAATCTCGCGTAAATCCACCAGAGGCCAATGTCGTTTGACTTACCAACCAACAGATCCATCCACCCTCCCCCTTCCCAAACCCAACTAATAGTGCTTTACAAAGCACCGGTTGACTCACCCACCCCCTTACCAAAACCCAACCGCAGTGTTTGAAAAAACAATCCAGAAGAATAAAAGCCCCCAGTTTTTCAACCTCATTTTCAGATTTTCCACATTCTCACCCTGTTATTTACTTCTTTATTTTATTTTTTGGCATCTGTGTTTGTTTTACTTGCTTTCTGCATCCTTTCTTCACTGGACTCGAACCCCGTTGTTGCGGTCAACTCCGCTCTGCGTCTTAAATCTGCCAATGACATGGCGAGCTACTGGTAACAGCGGAAAAGCCGTTCATACTGAGGTAAGCGATCAGCTGGTAAGCGAAAAAAGGAAAGGCATCATACCGCCCCAAAGCATTCGTTTTAAAGACAAAATGCAGCCATACGTAGCTCTGGCTACATAATTTGTGATCTCTAGAAATGTGTATAGGCCTACATTTTCAGAATGAGCCTATGTTAACTGTGAAAGTCAATGTTTACAGGTTTCCAACATTCTGCATTACATCTTCACACTTAGCTGATGATTGATATTAAAGCTTGTTTTGCATGTTGTCCCACCATGCCGCCTATCTGGAAAGGAGGAGTAGGGGTAGGTAGGGGGATTCTTCAAGACGAAGAATATAAGAAAACTCTGGTTATTTACAGAGAGTTAGGAATCATCTGATTGGATAATCAATCGTGAGTTTATGTGGGATCTGCTGAGAACATGTGGACCAACTACCAGCTAAGCATGTGGACCAGCTAAGCACGTGATCCTCTTGAAATTCATTTATAAATAAACTTCACTTAGTGTTCAACAGAACAAAACAACTGGTATTGAACTGGTATTAAAGGATGAGTAAACGATGATAGAATTTAAACATTGTCTGTGTACTATTTCTTCAAGTACCCCTTTCAAATACATTTAAAAAATGTTTACAATTCCATATGTTTAGCCTGTATTGCATTGTGTGTGAACATAAAGAAAAGAGAGATGTAGACAGAGGAAAAAATAGGATTGCATTGTGTGTGTTTGGCAACTTAATCTCACCTCTTGTCTCTAGAGATGCAGCTAATACGTTTCACATTAACCTCTGATAAAACTCATTACCCTGGGTCAGCTCAAACATCAGGTTAGATGTAGTGTCAGTTTGTCTTTTGAGGAAAGAGTCTATTGAGGAGAACAGTACTCACCCTGACAGGACTCCTAATACCAGATTCAACACAAAGAAGGAGCCAATTATGATTAGAGGAATGAAGTAGAGCCAATTCCAAGTAGAGCCTAAGGCATCGTTGGTCTGTGCAAACACAAAACACAATGTGCATAGTCCTTAGACACCAAAACAAGGAATTTTAATTAGTAGTATATACTAAATACCCAGACTGACAGGGTCTGAAAAAAGAACCTGCCCTTGTAAAGGTACCAGTTCAGCGGGGCTCTGCTCTGCCATGTAAAGGGTGTGATCACTGCGTGGGTAGGCGGCATCATCTCCCAGCTGAGCTGAGAGGGTGTTCCTCACATCCTGACACAGCTGCAACAGCTCAGTTATGAGTGTGAAAAACACCTCTAACTGTGGCAGCATGACTCGTGTCAACGTGTATGACATCACACGGTAGATTAAAAATCACTGTGGACTTAGATGAACTAGCTTGACATATTATTAAAATATTTGCTCTTTTAGATTGTGGCTTATGGTACAATATTTCAGACACTATTCTCCTTTTTATTTTCCTGTTAGGTGTCTACTGTCATAAAAGTTTAAAATCAATTTTAATCTAAATATAAATAAAATGCATGGTAACACTTTAGTTTAGGTCACAATTTATGCTATTAACTACTGGCTTATTACCTGCCCATTATTAAGATGTTAACTGTTCATTACTAGTTATAAAGTATGATCTTATTTTGCATCCCTAATCATACCCAAAACCTAAACCCAACTAACAGCTAATTAGTAGTTTATTAAGCTAGTACTATTAGTTAATGGTTTGTTAATACTGTGAATTTTAAGCTAAACTAAAGTTTTACCAAATGTATTATTATATAGGCTTTGATTTTAATACTTCAAAAGCAGTACTGACAGACAATTTGACCAATGAATTTCTAAATAAATTTTCCATACATTCAAAACTGCAGGATCATGACTAGTTCTGTGTAAAAATCACTAGGATTTTTTATTTAAAAACTACATGAACATCAGTATTACAAATAATTTAAAAACACCTTTCGCTTTGTTTCGTAATTAAAAGAAAATAACAAAGGGAAAAAATCACTACAGAAATTTTCAAATTTAAAATCAATTATTGTTATTATAATATGCATGTGCTTACATCTATTAAACATGTTAATTCTTTCAGCATACACTACAAATTGTAATATTAGCAGCAGAATGTAATTTTCAAAATCCTACAATATATTTTTCGTCATCTGTTGTTTAAATTTTAGTGATATTTTCTAGCTCTGTGGTGCAAATTTTTCTCACAGTAGCAATCAAAGTAGGCATATGCCAATCTTCACAAATCATAAACAAAACTCTCCAAGTAAAATGAAATCCTGACAGACAGAATCAACTTTAACACCATTTAAAATTAATAAGACAGCTCACTTTATGTTTAGTGGCCTTAACTAATATGTACTTACATTGAAATTTATGAACTCTTGACACACATCTCTTTCCATACACCTCACTGCATACCATCAAGATGTACCATGTACTGCACTTTAACCAATCCTTACTTAAAACAATATTGCCTACATTGCCTACTGTAGTTGTATTTTGCACTGCCTGTATTTCGCAATGTCTGGAGCCAGTACCCAAGCTTTTCACTCATCACAGTACACGTGGTGCTGATGATGTGACAAGTGATTTGATTTGATCAATAATATGTTACAATGTACTTATTGTGTAGATTCATGTTTTTACAATGTACTTAATCTTGATTAAATACCTGCATGTAATTACATCTGCAATTTCTGTAATTTAAAATTATACTGTAACATCTTAACCCATCACTGAACCTACCTATACTACCAAACCTGTCCCTAACGTGACCCGTATACCACCTCAATAAATTATGAACAAAGTAAGTACATTGTATTTACTTTTGATGTAAGTACCTAGTATTTAAGGCCACTTAATATAAGATTGGACCAAAAAGACTATAAAGAACAAAGTCAGCTCAACATGTAAAAGTCAAAGACCAAAGCAATTTCACCATAAGCTTTAATAATCTGAAGCATATGGAACACATCAAACCCAAAACTTACCAAGTACCTCAACTAATGAACTGTAAATACAAATATTTCAAACGCAAATGATAATGTACCTTGCTTCATCTAACGACAAAATGTGATAGATTAATGTTTAGACAGGTTCCCTTGACATCACAATTGAAGTGCAATTACCTAAATTCTAGTCATGAGGTTATAAATAAGCTGCTCCAAAGCTATGAACAAAATCCCATTCTAAATTTTTCACACTTCCTAACTTTTCTAGCCAATAGGCAGCAATGGTTTTCATGACATCACAGTCAACGGATGATCTGATCAATCAAATGACTTTTAGCATCAGAAGCATCCTGCCCTCTACAAGTTGCTAAGAAGGTTTCACGATCCTAGGCATTTATTGAAACTTTAGGATCAAATAATGCTTTGGAGCTGCATTACAAAAAAATTATATTTCTATTATTTATTAGGATTTTAATACATAGACAGAGATCCAGAACTGCTTCACACAAATCAGCTAAAATAGAAACTTACGTAATAGAGGATGGTCGTCCAGCCTTCCATGGTGATGCACTGGAAGACGGTGAGTAAAGAAAATAAGATGTTATCAAACTGAGTGATGCCATCATTGGGTCCCGTCCAGTAGCCAGAGCAGTTATAATGGTCAGGACACAGTTTGCTTCCACATGGAAATTCATTCTCAGGCGAGTCTGCTCTCTCAGAATCTGCAGAATATGACAGAGACAAGTACATTTAGTTTCCTGTATGTGTGTCATTTGTGTGTTTGTTTTATTGTTTGGTATTATGCAGAGTTTAATATGTATTGTTTAGTATTATACAGAGAAAGCCAATAAGAAAAGATGATATTAGCTTCCTGAAGGGAGCCAAGCATCTTGATTTCAGATTTGTGTCGCTGCAGTAAAACATCTCTGTACTATACGTTTGTGCATATGTGGTAGTGTTGGTCTTGTACTTTTGCCCATGTGAATCTGCTTACCTTTACCTACAGGTTCACATTGCTTGTGGAGTTTCCCACTGTAGAACTCTAATCCAATAATGGCAAACATTAGAATAGCAAAAAACAGTAGCAGTCCGATCTGAAGCAATGGCACCATTGCCTTCATTATGGATTTAAGAACTATTTGCAGACCTTAAACAAAAAGGAAATGTACATAAATAAAACACATTACTTTAAGCATATGAAAAAGTATGTGCACATTTAATGACAGGAACACTGCCACTTCTTCAAACTAGCAGAGAAATGATAGGTTGCAAATATAAAGACTTGTATTTTGGATCAGAGAATATTACAATCCAGGCTCATTCTGGTTGCGTAACCCTATGTACATTTCTGGAGAGTGAAAAATAGCAGTTTTCCCAGCAGTTTTTGTTTTCACGAATCCACCAGAGGGTAAGTGTGTGCTTTTTGAGATTTCAAATTTCTCTTGTGAGTACCATTCATGCCTGCTGTTCTCACATAAATCCACCAGAGACTGATCAATCAACTGGCCCACCCTCCTCTTTCCCTAAACCCAACCAGTAGTGTTTTCAAAAGCACCGATTGACCAACCCACCCAGTTCCCTAAACCCAACCACTGTGTTTTCCGCTGTGTCTCAAGTCCGCCAAAGTATGTGGTGAATCACTTGACAAACTGGTAACAGTGGAAAAGTCGTCTATAGTGAGGTAAGCGAGAAAAGGAATGGCATCATACCGCCCCTCGTTCGTTTTAAAGACAAAATGCAGCCATATGTTCCTCTGGCTACATAATACGCGATCTCCAGAAATGCATATACTGTAGGTCTACGTTTTCAGAATGACCCTATGTTGGAAATTTCACTTTGCCGCTACCCAAATAAAAATAACTTTTTGCATGTAGCCTGCTGATGTTCGGACTAGATTTATGTCTTTGTCTTTTTTTTTTTTAAATTTTGTACCTTATAGGCTACACAATAATATCTCTCCTAATAAATCAATTCCCACAGTGTCATTAAGAACTCCATATAGATTTGTAAACATACTAGGAATGCCAGAGACCAGTTTGAGGGGCCGTAATACCCTCACAGCCCTCAGTGTGCGCAGGTCTAATGAAATATTCATGTGGGCTCCTGCTGTGGCCAGAATCCTGTTAACAAAACAAAAACAAACTTTGGTAAGATACTTAATGAAAAAGAATTATGAGTATTTCATAGATGTGTTAATTATGATGATGTTTTGTAAACTGTGTAATCTCCATTGTTAGTGACATAATTGTTGCTGTAGTGATGACTGTAATGATGTTTTAGGTAGACTAATTAAAGCAGCAGTGTTAAATGTGTGCGGTCCATAATGAGGTAATTTCTCTCTGTGAATGACAACCAGCGCACTTTCCAATAAGGGTCACTTCTGATTCACAGCTTCTTTCTCAGTACAGGTGACTTTCATCAGGCATAAACAGTGAATCATCTCTGTTTTTCACTCCACTCGTTTGTTAAAAATTGAAAATTATTTTTCATATTTGCATGAACATAATAAGAAGTCATTAGGGACATGTTACACTCAATTTGGACTTAAAGGAACAAATCACTCAAAAACAGAATTACTGAATGTGACTTTCTCATTACTAATTTATTCAATTACATTTTAACTAATTTAGCAGTCGTTGTGGTCACAGACAAAGAGGTCAGTGCAGGCAGCAAACATAATGAACAAAAAACAAGTCAAGTATTCAGTAACAAGGCCGGGCTAGACTATTTAAAAAAAAGTTACAGCAAACAATCAACAACAAGACCCTATGAGCGCGTGAGAGAGGTGAATATATAGTCCATGTAATCAGTCTATGATTCGTTTCCAGCTAAGTGTGTGCAATCAGGGAGAGAACTGGAACTAGTGGGTGTGTGCGGTGCATGATGGGATTTGAAGTCCAGTTCCGTGACAGATTTGTAGTTCTCCAGTGATCTTCAGCTGCTTGATTGCTGGTGATTTTGACAGATATTATATGCTATTTCCCTTATGTAATTTCCCAGTAAGAACACACTCATGCTATAATGTTAGGCAATATGATTGTTTCATTATTTTTCACTACTCACATATTTCAAGATTTCCCTCAAATCATTCAGTCCTACAAGGCTTATAAACTTAATAAAACGTCAAAGTTATATTTGCCATATATATTTGCTCACTCTGTAATTGTTTATTCTTTAAACAAATAATTACTCAAGTCATCCGGTGAAAAATTCTCTATGTTTTTAAATGACAATATACTATATATTGCAGAAAATAAAATAATTAAACAATGGCAATTATTTTCTGCAGTGTTCAGCCCTAATTTGTTGATATCAATATATACTGTATATTTTGTGAATTCATTTAACCAAGGATGTAAGACTTTCAGCAGCTTTTTCTGTGCAAACCAGCAACTCAACACACAACATACAGTATGCTGGTGGTGATAGTCCAATGAAGGGGTAAAATTTCAGAGAGGAATACAAAAAAAAAAATAGTTGATCAAAATACTGATCATAGTTGTTCAGGGAATATGGGTTATCTGATCTATCTCAACTAAGCCTCCATCTCAGACAGCCAGAAAAAAGGACCTTGTAATAATGTGATATGATTGTTGTTGGTCTGCTTAGAATGAACAGAAAGCCTCTTCCCTCATAGGGACCCCATCCAGGCACGGCTCATTATAAGATGCAAATGCCGTCCTTTATTTGCTGTGCCACCTATCAGGAAAAAGCAACTCATCTGTGATGCAGCAAGCAACACTCAGAGGGAAATCAGAGCATCAGTGTGTGAGAGAGAAGCTTTTGTTTATTTATTTATTTACTTTATTTATTTATACAGGGACAATGTACAACATGACATGTTGTGCCAGAGTTAGCTATAAAGCTAATTTACATCTGTAGTCCCTGGGCAGGAAGTAACAAATTTGATTGGCAATCGCCTTCTCACAGCTACCCACGGGAAGCTGTGTGTGTAACCTGGGATGAACCATTCTTTCCAACGTCTCAACCAAAAGCTGAAATTCTGGATTCTCTCTTAGCCCAGTTCACCTGGCACTCCTGTTGTTGGCTAATTAAACTCCATCACCTTCCACCCCACTGAGATGAGAGAGACTGCCAATGAAAGGTGCATGAACCCAAGACACATATACGAGAAAGAAATACTAAAGAATATGTATTTACGCATTTGATCTAATCAAATGAAGAACAGAACCAGATCAAATAGAATGTGCCAAGAGGTTAAAAATAATACAAGATCTTACTCCCAATGCAGTACTGGGTTAAACCTCTTTAAAATACCTATAAGATTTAATCTTTGTGCATCATTTAAAAAAAAATACTCAAACGCCCATAGAGGACAAAAAACACCACTGGAAATACATCATAAAAGTATCATGTTAATGTTTTATCACTTTCACTGACATCCTATTTACCAGCATCCATCCTGATGATAACTATACCAAAAATGCATTAATGTTGAAAGATTTTGAACCCTTTAAATTACAGTTAGTTTACACAAGAACACTGCATTTTAATCGAACAAAGCCTATTAGTTTCCATATAAGGCTAAGAAGATTTGTATTATTAGTATTATTATTAATAATATTACAGTCTTGGATAAGTCAATGAAATTCAGAAATCAAAACAACATCAGTTTTGATGTATTAGAATGTTTTGTGCAAATTTTGTACAAATAAAACAGATTCTAATCTTCATAACAGAAACACCCACATCATTGTAATTATTTATTTATCAGAGGTCGCCACAGCAGAATGAACCCCCAACTTATCCAGCATGTTTTACACAGCGAATACCCTTCCAGCTGGAACCCAGTACTGGGAAACATTCATTAACACTCATTCACACACATACACTACGGCCAATTTTAGTTTATTCACCTATACTGCATGTTTTTGGACCTCTGGGGGAAACCGGAGCTCCTGGAGGAAACCCAGGCCAACACTAGGACATGCATATACCACACAGAAATGCCAACTGGCCCAGCCAAGACTTGAACCAGCGACATTCTAAATGTGAGGTGACAGTGCTAAACACTGAGCCACCGTGCCGCCCACCAAAATATGACGTTTTACACTTTTTAATAATAGTTAGCCAAAGGATTTTTCTTCTTTATGCCACTGGGCTTAAATAGTGCAATTAAAATGGTTTTCAAAGAATTTTTTTTTCCTGGAGGTCCCGAGTAAACTGTCTGTTTCTGTAAAATAGATTTAAGATGGAAAATGAGGATGAAATATATAAATATCAGTTACAATCTATTTGCCAAACTTTATGAATTTGGCATTTTCACTGACAAAATTATCAGAAACAAATTAAATGAAGAAGACAAAATCTTCAAAAGTATGCATGTGGCGAGGGGGCGTGGCCGAGAGCCGTGGGAACAGAATGAGGCCGCTGCGTAATTGGATGCACCTGTGGTGCACACTGGCCTCGAATCCCATGGAAGGAGCTCTGGTCTATAAGAGGAGGAACTATGGCAGAGTAAGCCGAGAGAGGACCGGGCCCGGACATATTGTTTTACTTTTGCTTTCAGTTTGACTGCAGTCTCCGTGAGAAGCTGCCGTCCGTTTGTTTTGGTTTAGATGACAGTCTCCGTGAGGAACTGCCATTCATGTTATAAATAAATATTTTAAAACTGCATCGGTTCTCCGCCTCTTTTTTCCCGGCGGCCAAAGGGCTGTAAACTTCATTACAACGCACAAGTTAAAATCACATACAGTTTAAGTCAGAATTATTAGCCCCCCTGAATTATTAGGCCCCTGTTTTTTTTTTTTCCCCCCAATTTATGTTTAACGCAGAGAAGATTTTTTTTCAACACATTTCTAAACATAATAGTTTGAATAACCCATTTTTAATAACTGATTTATTTTATCTTTGCTATGACGACAGTAAATAATGTTTTACTAGATATTCTTCAAGACACTTCTATACAGCTTAAAGTGACATTTAAACAACCCAAGCTCATTCTGTAAACGTAGTCCCGCGGACATTTCTGGAGACAGCGGAATGCGTCCCGGTAGGTACGTATGGCTGCGTTTATTTTTTTCAAGCGACTGCTGCGGGGCGGTGTGACTCTGTTACCTTTCGCGCTTGCCGGCCGGCCGGCCGCTTACCTCCCTGTGGAGGGCTTTCCCGCTGCAACCCGTTTGTCCACTCAGCTCACCGTGTACGTCGGCAGGCTCGAGATGCAGAGAGGAGTTGACTACGGCGATCGGTTTCCAGTCTGGGGAAGAGCGGTTCCAGCAATCAGGTAAGACAAAAACAGAATCCCAAAAATTAAGATAACGAGTTTCGTAACAGGGTGAGGACGCGGTGAAATCCGAAAATGCGGTAGAAAAAAAAAAATCAGGGCTTTTCTTTTTTTGGACGGCTTTTGTAAACTGTTGCTCGGGTTTAGGGTTGCTCGGGTCAGCCGATTGGCCGGTCGCGCAGTCAATCATCCGGTCAGAAGGACAGCGTCCTCTGGTGGGTTCACACGAGAACAGCGCGGGCGCGAACTGCACTCAACAGCGGCCTCTCGCGGATTTGCAAAAACAAAAACTGCAGCCGTACGTACCCGCCGGGATGTATTCTGCGGTCTCCAGAAACGTCCGCGGGACTACGTTTCCACAATGAGCCCGGGTTGCATTTAAATGCTCAGCTAGGTTAATTAGGTTAATTAGGCAGGTTAGTGTAATTAGGCAAGTTATTGTATAACGATGATTTGCTTTGTAGACTATTGAAAAAATATAGCTTAAAGTGGGCTAATAATTTTGACCTTAAATTAATTTTGACTTTCTCCAAAATAAAAAATATTATTAGACATACTGTGAAATTTTGGAAAAATTCAAAGGAGGGCTAATAATTCTGACTTCAATTGTAAATAATTCATATTATTCCCAATGTTGTCTTGAAAATTGTCATAACACTTCCACCAACATTCTGCAGCCATGCACATTAGAGTCAATATATTAAGACCTTTATGAAATTATCAGAGACATTCATTCATTCATTTTCTAGCCGGCTTAGTCCCTTTATTAATCTGGGGTCGCCACAGCGGAATGAACCGCCAACTTATCCAGCAGGTTTTTAAGCAGCGGATGCCCTTCCAGTCGCAACCCATCTCTGGGAAACATCAACACAC